AAGGATACGCCAAGCGAGGGCAGCATTAAAATCACACCAAAAAGCAGGCGCAACAAATCGATTTGGGACTAGCAGAAAGACCAAGCCGAGACCCAAATAAACCCAGTCAGGCTCGATTCTCGATTCTTGCAGAAGTGCTAGAATAAGAAGAACAAGAACAACAACAACAAGAATAAGAAGCAGAAAATGTTGAAGAAGAAGAGGAAGAAGGGAGAAAATTAATCAATTCGCAACACCGCTTTTGTGCTCATCATGAAAGAATACATGAGCCGAGCGGCTTAAGTGGGCGTGGGCGAACTTTAAGGTATTGCCCATGCCACAAACATTAAAATGCATTTTAATACCATTTTTTTGAATATCCAGCATTCACATTTTCCCACATCGGGTTAGTCGATGGCATTGTTATTGCAGCCCATCAAAAATAATGGTTAATTTATCAAAATAATTAACTACTTAGGAAGTATCTTGGAGTCGACTCTAGTAAAAATATGATATATTTCTATTGAGATAAAAGTCTGATCCTTTCGTACATATTACAGTTACGTTTTTGAGGAAAATAAACTATGAAATATTTGATATATCACGCCACAGGGTATATCCAAGTCTAGCACAATGTATTACCGCATTTATACTTGAATTTTTATTTTGCCTATGGATATATGGGAAGGAGTTGGGGTACATGAAATAGGAAGCACATACGCGTGGGCAATGGCCAATGTGAAGAGTGGGCGTACGTGGGCGTGGCATATTGATAATGTGAATCGGTAAATTTGACATAAACAAATGCGCTAAGCGCGAAACAATAAAATCAAATTAAGTGCAACGCAAATGCATAACAAAACCAAACTCAAAACGCTGACGTTCCTCTCGCCGTACGCACACACACACACACACCCCCATACACACACACACACACACACATATGTCCTGTATATGTGTAAGTGTCTGTGCATTTCCCTTTAGTGGCGAGTCGCTCTCCAAAAAGAGTGCCAAGTCATTGTGGGGCCATTAGCGGCACAAACCTGGCGTTCGTCCGTTTTTGGTCCTGTTCGTTCCTTCTCTGCTTTTTTTTCCTTGTTTTTTTTTTTTTTTGTGTGCTGTCAGCATGAAAAGTGGAAAATTTATTGACTGCACATATGTCGCAGTTTTCTTTTGGGTTACATTTGCCATTGGCTCCTGCTACGCTGCTCCTTTGTTACAGTTGTTGTTTGGTTTTCAGTTTCGGGACGCCTAATACACACACACTGAACAATTCAATTCGATAATAACTAGCCGAGCACATAATAACACACAACAAATAACGTTGTACAATACATACATACATATATTTTAATTTGTATGCCACAGATGTCAACAATGAGGCATTCACCGTCTAGCTGATGATAGAGTTGTTGCTATTGTTGTCGGCCACTTGGCCACTTAAGCAGGCGAATCCCCCAAAAAAACAGATTCACATTCATTGGCTTGAAGTGTGACTGTTATGCTTTAATGTGTGAGGCATTGATTTAGTCACGTCCTGCAGCGATGGCAACTGCCAACTGAATGCCTTGTCAAAGGTGGTTCAATCAAAACCACAACACATTTATACATACTGTGTATGTAAGCGATTCCTGTTCGATTGTGGCCTTGTGTATTCGTTTTTGCCAAACTATTTTTTTTTTTTTTTTCGCCCAGAGAAAGAAAACGCAAGCGAGGCAAGTAAACCACAAGCAAAACTTAACCATATGTTGTAATAATTTTTAAATGAACAAACAGCCACCACAACGTCAAAAACAAAAGAGCCACCAGACAGCCAACATAGCCAACACAGCCAACAAGCAACAACCAAAACAACAGAAACCAAATGCACATAAATTAATAATCACCGATGACCATGTCATCCACGCCCACTAAAAAGACCGCAATCAGCAGAAGAAAAAAAAGAAACCAAAAAAAAAAAAAAAAAAAGGAAAAAATGATGAAAAATGTAGGAGAAAAGAACACTGAAAAGAGGGCCTGGCGGTAATGCGGTGAAGGAAAGTGAAAAGTGAAAAACTAAACACGGGCAAATGTTAAACATTTTCTAGTTAAGTCATGTCCTTTGTCTGAGGATCTTTGAAAGCGCATTTTATGTTTTGTTGGACCCTTGGACACGCTTGCTTAGTACAACAAAAAAAAAAGAAAAAATGAAAGATGAAAGATGAAAGAATGCTCACTCGCCTAAGCAGTGATAATCTCAACTCAATTTGCTGTTGCTGTCCTTGTGTCCCGATGTCAATGCTGCTGTTGCTGCTGGTGCTGCTGCTGCTGGTGGTGTAGGTGCTGTCAGGATCAGGAGACCGTGCGCTGTAACTTCAAACTCGATTCTATGGAAAAGGGCGGTCTCCGTTCCTCTGTAAGATGAAACACAAAGTGCGGCCGGGCAACTGTCAAGTGGTTGTATAACATTTTTATTATTTATAATTTCAATCAAAATTAGAGCGATCAAGTGGATTTCACCGAGTCGCTCGCACCACTTGAAGAAGCGTGTCACGAGAGAGTTCTTGCGGCTTCTTACCCACTCGACGAGTAAACCAGGCACCAAAGCCAATTCTACTCCCTCTCTCTCTGTCATGTAGTGGACCGACCGCTCCCGATTGCTAAGTACGTGTGACAATAATTGCGAGAGCATCTTAACTCTGCCCCTAAGTGTTCCAATGGACAATCTATGGATCGTAGGTGGTGTCAGTTATCGCCAAATTCGTAGAAAGTTATTGAGTCTTACACAAGTGCCACTCAGTGGCAAGGCTCGGCAAATGAGTAGTTGTCTATTTCTCAAACATGTCTATTTAATGTTCGTTTGAGAATAACCAATCAACCAATATCTCAAATATATGATGAGTATAATCATTTTTATTATTATTATTGATAAGCTCAATGAATGTTATGGGCTCATGCTAAAAATCAAATATAAAATAATACAATTCCCATCTATAACTGTTTTCCTAGTAAGTATCAGAGGAGGAATAATATGTTTATATATATTTATATAATTATAAAGTGCATCGAGGAATAAAGAGTTGTGAATACATTTAAATATAAAATTAATAATATCTACTTCTTCTTTTAACTTTCAACTAAGATGCGATTGGTATACAAAAAGGCCGTACTGAAAGGAAGACCAAATTCCCCCAAAGCACAGCCTGTTGCAGGGACGCTAAGATCGGTTGGTCGATCTTGAATGTTTGTTGGTGTTGGCGCATTTGCATTGATTTATGTTTGGGGCATCAATCAAAATGAAAATGGGGCGGGCGCCAAGAAGTGGAACTATTGATCGATCGATGCGCTGGCGAGTTGAGCAAACGGTATAGTTGACAATGGTGGGGCAAGCCGCAGGGGTCCACCTGGGGTAAGCAAAAGGTGTGGATGAAAGCTTCACACGAGCGTTAATCATACGACTCGTTGACCGCAAGCTACATTTTTTGGTTATTTTTAGTGCGTTTTTCAGCCACCTCCTACTTGACCACATACACACAACACATACACACACACACACACACACACACATACGTAGCTGTGTTGGGCCCACGGTGCATACTAAATAGCGAATAAATCTGATTGATTTATAACTGGAGTTGTGGCTAGCCTGTGGCCTAAGTGCCGAAGGGGGAGCCACAATACGACTTTAACTTGAAGTCCGACTGGAATTGGGGCCCTGAACTCTCGCTTTAATGATGATAAATGATCATGTTATGATTTGTTAATTTTTCTTCAAGTCGTTTTTTTATTTTCCTACTTTTTTTTTGTGTGTTTTTTTTTTTTTAATTTTTTATTTTTATTGCGTGTAAAATACAAATACCTAGCGAGTAAGTTACGAGTAGTTATGTTTTGCTTTGGCTTTCTGTTTTCGGTCAGTTAATGGCTCAACAAATTTTAATTTTGTCGATGTTTTGTTTTTGTTATGTTTGCTGTTGCTGTTGCTGTTGCTTTTGCTGTTGCTGCCCATTTACTTCTCTGATTTTTTTCTCATTTTTTTTTTTGAAGTATCTGCGTTGGGCGAAAGTGTAATTTTAAGTATGGGTTACCCCCATCAGATGAGCGATACTTCGACATCGGCTAAACAATTGATTTAGTCATTCACACGACGGCTCTAAATATTGCCCAGTTACTACCCCAATTAGCCCTTAGGTGGTCAGCCCATTTGATAAATCAATAAGCGGCACCTGCTCAGAACTCAGATGCAAGCAATTTAAGAGTTCGCATTGCAACTAATTAATGCAAATAAATAAATTGGCTAAAATAGTATAAATAAAACAACAACAAAAATAAACAGAAATATGTTAAATAATAAACATTGGTTTTTAGTTTTGAATTTTTTTTATTATAATTTTGTGTGCTTGTTTTTTTTTGCGTTTTTGTTCTTGTTTATATAATTTATCTTAAAGACAATTAACAAATATTATTATATATGTATATATATATATGTATTTTAGATCATGGATAAATATGTACATACATGCAAAAAAAATTGACTTAATCTATGAAAAAAAATGTGGTTAAAAAAAATCATCTTAAATGTATTATTGAATTTTATTTTATTTTTTTTTTTTGTTTTGTTTCGTTTTATTCATTCATAAAGTTATATATATATTTTGTTTTATATTATTTTTATGGTTTTACTTTACTTAATAACAACAATTTAGGTCACTATCGAGACAAAAACTAGAGGATATCGGTTTACATTTTGGGATTGATTAGAATGCATTATTGGGGAGTGTTTTCTCTGCACACATATATATATATATATATATAAATATTTATATATACATGTACTATATGCAAGAATATGGCGGTTTCAACCGACTTCGCTCATTAAAAAAAAAAAAAAAAATTTCGAATCGAATTGGATCGAATCGAGAACATTAATATATAAAGTACTAATCATAATCTTTCGATATTTCAGTTATCATAATTTTTTCAACAACAACAAGGATTAAGGATTCAGATTTAAGGTACAAATCCGCAGTTATGCTAAGTCTAATCTAGGCAGTGGCATGCGGATGATAAGCGGCGGTCCACGCATTATGATGATGATGATGATGGGCGTGGGCATGGGCGTGGGCGTGTGCATGGGCATGCGCCTGGGCATGGGCATGGGCGTGGGCGTGGGCATGGGCAGCATGATGGTGGTGTGCAGCATAGCCATAGCCAGAGCTGCTGGCAAACTCAGCCGGATAACTGCCGGCATACTCCGACTTCATGGGCGCAATGAGGCCCGTATATGCAGCGGCCGCAGCAGCAGCAGCATTCGAATTGTTGTTGCTGTTAACACAATTGCTGCTGCTGCTGCTGCTTTCGCTGGCCCCGCTCGCCAATCCGGACATGGTTAATCCATACTCGGACGCCAGCTGCGATTCACTCTGCATGGCAAGCGCCGCATAATGTTGCGTCTGACTATTGCTGCTGCTACTGCTGCTGCTGCTGTTGTTGTTGCTGTTGTTGTTGCTGTTGTTGCTGTTGTTGCTAATGCTGGAATTTGTTGCGGATCTAGCCGATGTGGGTCTGGCATTTGCTGAGGTAGTTTGATTCTGTTCCATGGCACGATTATTATTAGTATTGCTGTTGGTGGCGCTGCTGCTGCTGCTGCTGCTGGAAGTATTGTTGGTGGTGCACCAGGGCCCATAGCTGTTGCTGGTGCTGCCGCCGCTGGGTGCATCGCTCTGTTGCTGATGGGGCTGGAATAGTGGCGGCGGTGGTGGCAGAGATGCAACTCCTGCTGCCGCCGCTGTTTGCTGATACAGATTCGCATACGGTGCATAGCCCAAGGTGCTTGCTGACTCTGGCTGTTCCTGCTTGAACTGCACACTGCTCGCTGGCGTTGCCGTCGATGCTGCTACTGCTGCTGCTACTGCTGCTGCTGCTGCTGTTGCTGTTGCTGTTGTTGTCTTCGTCTTTTTGCCGCTGGACAACTTATCGGTTTTCTCCAGCTTGATGGCTGCCGCCTGCTCCTTGGCCTCGGCGGCGAGTGCCTTTTTCGTTTTCTTATCCTTAAAGTGGGTCTTCTTGTGCTTGCTGAGGTGATCGCTACGCGAGAATTTCTTCGAGCAAATGGGACAGGCGTATGGACGATAATTGGTATGTGTGCGTCCATGCCGCTGAAGCTCATCGGAGCGCGAGAAGCGCTTGCCACACGTCAAGCAGAGAAACGGACGCTCGCCCGTATGCCAGCGCAGATGGGTCTTTAGATGCGAGGCCTTACCGTACAATCGCTCGCAGCCGGGTATATGGCAGATGTGCTGTTTGCGTCCACGTTCATCGGGTCCAACGATCGGCGGCAGGCCGCTCATCTCGTTGGTGCAATTGGGGCAGGTACAACGAACGGAGCGACGTTGCAGTTGTGTCTGGAAGGCGATGTCATCGAAATTGAAGCTGGGATAGCTTTGCGATGACCATGGCTGATAGAGGCGCTCCTGGTGCGAGAACCAAGCGGCCGATGCCGATGCTGCAACACTGCCCACTGTTGCCACATTGCCATAATAATCGGATGCGTATTGCGCATACGGAAATTGAGTTCTGCAAACGGAAACGGAAGAAACCCAAAAAACAAAAAACAAAAACGGAGGCAACAAATTAGCGGCATGTTAATCTAAATCATGTTAATCAAATCGGAGCAAAGAGCTTTAACGGGATTATCCTCGAATGGGTGATTGATAAGGGAAACGAAAATGAAAATTGAACCTACCTGGTTGGCAACGCCGTGTAGGCAGCCGTATTCCAGCCGTAGGCAGCACTTGCCACTGCTGCAGCACCCAAATCAGCAGCAGCAACTGCTGCCGCTGCTGCCGCCGCTGCCGACGAGGATGAGGCGGTGGACGAGGACGAAGAGGAGGAACCGATAATGCCTGCGGCCGGCGGACTGGCGGATATCGAAGCAAACGATTGCGCTGGCGATGGAAAAATGCTGGGCGACACCGATGCCGATGAGGCAGCCGACTGTGATATGCTCGAATTGGGCGATGCACTGCCCGTGGATGATGCCTGCGGCGGATATTGCATTTCCATTTTCATTGCCGGCAATGCCGTTGTGGCAGCGGCAACGGATGCATTCGTCTGTTTGCCGTAGAGTGCCGCCAATGGGGAGCTTGTGGCATTCGCGGAGGCGGACAGCAATGTGGCGCTAATGAAATCATGACTCGGTTGCTGTTGCAGTTCCTGATGTTGTTGTTGCTCTTGCTGATGCTGCTGCTGCTGTTGTTGTTGCTGCTGCTGCTGCTGTTGCTGTTGTAGTTGCTGTTGTTGTTGTTGTTGTTGCTGCTGCTGTAATTGCAGCTGCTGCTGCTGTTGATGTTGCTGATGATGCTGCTGCTGTTGTTGATGTTGTTGTTGTTGTTGCTGCTGCTGCTGTTGCTGCTGCTGTATTGCTGTTGGCTGAGACAGTGCATAGGGATTCAAATAATTGCAGGTGGCGTCAATCATGTTGGCAATTTTAATGGCTGCTGTTGCTGCTGCTGTGGCTGCTGCTGCTGCTGCTGTTTATTGGTGTTGATAATTTTTGGCCGACTCGTTGCCGATTTATTTACTTTTGTTGTTCTTTTCTTTTGCCTTAGCAATTTTCGCACATTGCCGTTTATTGATACAGTTTGAGTTCGCTGTTATAATTATGGCACGCTTTTCACTTAGATATTGTTTTGCTTATGGTAGATACAAACGCACACAGATACAGATACATCTATATAATAATTATAGCCTTACTGTGCCTGTTATTGTTGTTTGTTCGTTGTTGTTTGTTGTTGTTTGTCGTTTGTTGTTGTTTTCTCTTGAATAATTATCAACACAGTGCGATGCAGCGATGACGTCGATGTCGGCGCTATTGTCAATAATAATTTTCGCTCGAGCACAAGTCGATTTAATTGCACACAAAACAAATTCGAATTCCGTACACACTAATAAGTTCGCACACTCGCTTCTCGCTTAAACTGTTGGCGGCTGGCTTCGTTTTTTGCTTATTTCTTTGCGCTTTTGCTTTACTTTTTTTCTTTTATTTTATTTTTTGCTGTTTGCTGTTTGCTGTTCGTCTTTTCGGGCGACGATGACGATGGGCAGTAGAGACGAGGGCGCGAGGGGATTCGTTGGGCTGTGTGTTTGTTGGTCAGTCTCAGTTCGGTCTTCTTGGCCTCAGTCGCTGCGCTCGAGATACAACCACCGGTAATTATCGTTGTCGACTGAATTCCAAAACGCAGCGAGAGAGTCTAACAACGTACAAAACGAATCACTGATGACGGCAGCAGGCAGCGACAGCGACGCTAGCAGCGACTCGTGCTGTGCTCTTCACTCGCAAGCTAATGTGCGCCATCAACTCGCCTGGTGGTTGCTACCTCCGCTCTCGCCCGCTTAGTCCATCGCCACAGCGTTTGCTCTTTATCTCGCTCGCTCACATTAGCGCGCACACTCTTCTCTGTTTTCTTTTTCTTTTTGCATTGTTATCTTTGTTGTTGTTGTTGTTGCTAGGCTATTTGGCCCGCAGGAGTTTTGTTTTAATTTCTATGTGTGGGTTTGTGTGTCAAAGCAATTGGGTGAACACTACTCGTCTGTGTTGCTGTTGTTGTTGTTGCTTTGTTTTTCGCTGCAGCCGCTCATATTGCTTCACTCTGCTTCTTATGATGATGCCAAAGATCAGTTTGTAGGTGAACACAGCATTCATACCATATATGTACTTATGTATGTATGTACATCTATATTTATTTTTATATCTATTAACATATATATTTATGTGGCCTTGTCTCGACGAACTTCAGTTGAAACTTGTCATTATATAAGAAACGCATTGCAATCGAGATTTGAATTTAAATTTGTGCTCTATAAAATATGCCTTTAACCGTTTTCTATTGATTTTTAATTGTTAACAAATTTGTCTTTTTCCAAGTGTGAAAAGAACTTATGCAATATTAACATGCAAAGCTAAATGACTAGTGTTAGTTAATAATTAATAATATAATTAATCCTAAAAATTTATTTTATCTATGATATTTTTATTTATAATTATACACGCATTTTAACAATTATTTATTTATCAATTTGAATAAATTGAATTTTAATTGAATGCCATGAATTATGCTTGGAGTATAATAATTTATACATCAAACTAAATTAGTAATTCAAATGGCCAAACTTATTATTTGTTTCGTTTAAAAATTCGTTAACTATTTTATTTACAGCATACACAAAAACATACTTATCAGTTTGACCCAATAAAATTCAATTTCTTTTCACCACATTTAATATTAATGTTCATCGCACGACTACCAATTAAAGGGAATAAAGCGAAATATAACAACAATATATTAAAAAAAAAAAAAAAACAAAGAAAACAAAACAAGAAACATGTTTGTATGTGCAATAAGTCGTCTTGTGGAGGAGCAAAGGAAAAAGACTCAACGCGGCGCACATAATTCAAATATCAATACAATAACAATAAAAACTAATAAATTTGTGGTCGCGGCCCAATGAAATAACTGTATTTAAAGGGGCGTTACCCAAACACCACCGCAGAGCAGAGCGTAACAACAACAACGCCGCCGGTGTTGGCAGAGCTGCTTCAGAGTCTCGCTCTCGCTCTCGTTGTCTCTCTCTCTCTCTCTCTCTCTCTCACTCTCACTCTCGCTCTCGCTCTCTCGCTGTCTCTATCTCTCTTTCGCATGCTCACAAGCTGCCCTTAACTGTGTTTGAGTGCGTGCGTGTGTGTGTGCGTGTGTGTTGCTTTGTTGTTACTTGCTCCTTTTGCTGCTCCTTCCCCATGCCGGCGTCTGCAGCTTTTACTCCTTGGCGGCGACTGAGTTGGGTGCCTTTTATTAAGCGCGCGTCCTTTCATTACGCATACGCAATGTAGCCGAGTCGCGTCACTTTCACAAAGGACGACCTACGTAAGTGTGTATGTATGTAAATATGTATGTATGTATGTATGCATGTGTCACATTTGAAGAAACGGAAGATTCAATTATGTGCAATACACAGCATATATAAATATATTATATATATATATAAATATAGATATATATATATATATAAATATATATATATATATACATAATATATTTATATATATATATATTTATTTATTTATCCACACAGCAGCGCCAGATGGCACTCTTTTGGCTCTCAAGCTCCCACAAGATTTATGACACTCAAGTTGACCAGTCTGACAAACTCACTTGGCACACACACACACACACACATACATATATGTATATATATATATATATATTTATATAGTAAGTAATCAATTAGCAAGTCTACCTCAGTGGCAACAACAACAGTTGCACGCCCATTGCATTTACAAGCCTGTACATACATACATATGTATGTATGTAAATATGTTTGTATGTGCCCCATTCAAGCTCCCGTTCACACCAGTGGGTCAGAGATACAGATACCAAATACATATTAAAGTGGAACGTTACTTAATCTACAATTTTGTCAATAGACAGGCTATACATATATACATATATGTATACACATATGTGAAAAATGTGTAAAAAAATACTTAAATATAGTGCGAAAAATTATGAAACTTGTATTTAAACACAGGCAATAAATGCTGAAATCAAGAAAACATAAACATTAACAAACAAATATTAAAGTCCATAAAAAGTTGTATATTTATTTTTATTACATTTTAATTTAAATTAATCATTGTACATTTAATTTAAATTAATCATTTTAGGAGTAATGGATTAATAGTGAAGTTTTCTCAGCTTCTCAGATATGATGGCTGGTTATTTCTTATCATATTTAGTATTTGGAATATAATATTATTTTAAAGCCTTCGCAGATGAAAAAACTTTTTTTCTTTTTCTTTTTTTTTGCCAAATCGAATTTTTCTTCACATCGAAGTTTTTGAAGAGGTCTCGATTTTATCACGAGAAAAGTAGCTATATTTTTTTAAATGCTTTGAGCAGCTACTCTACTATTATTTTCAAAAAATTACCACATAATTTCTAAACAAGCTTAAGTTGAGCAAATATATAGATTTGTGTTCTTGGCTTAAGCACAAATTGTATTAAATCTCTAGCTAAAATTACATATTTTATTAAGACAGCCTTGTTCGTAAGATGATAACTACTCATTTTGAACCTCATCTAGAATCTAGCAGATTATAAATTCGAATTCTTAATTTCAGATTTTACAGTGTTCAATAAAACAAATGCTTGAATTAAGATACGCAATTCTGTAAATAGGCTGTTATTTTTCTACATTCGTAGATTTTTTAGATTATTTATTATTTTTGATATCTTCAAATAATAAATTAAACATCTTCATACAAATATTTTCTCTTAAATTAAATATTTTTATAATTTAAATATGTTTATAGTATGCCGAATAGTTGAAAAAAGTGCAGGTTGTTAAGTTGATAATACGAGTTAAGAGTTAGTTGCCAATACCTCCAAAGAACAACCCATAACATGTCATATAAAACACAAGTAAAACAGGACTTGCATACATTCATTAATAAATCAATGTAAAAGTGCACAATCTATGGCAACTGCCTCAGGAATTAGGCGTTACACCTCTTTCGATCCCCAAATGCTTTGTTAATCAATTGATTAGCAGCAACATGCCCACCAAACACCAAAGTTAAATCCAGCAACACTGGCACGAGACAAGCCAGGACACTTGAACCACTCCTTAAACGGGGTCCCGGACTGCCAGGCACTTTCAAACTATATGTATAAACATACATATATGTATAATATATAATATATATATAATATATATGTATATATATTTCGCAGTTCAGGTATTCGCCGGCCGCACAGGTAGATCAAGTTTATCTTTCCTTTTGGCTTTTGCCTTTGACTTTTCCACGATTAGCAATAACAGCCAAACAAATCAACAAAGCTTGTAGCTTGGTCTACTTGGATTTTCTGCCAAAATGATATGCTAATCCCAGCCCAGCAAACGGCAATGGCAGCAAGGATTATCCGCTTACCTAGGAGGACGGCCAAACCAGGCGATTCCGCTACAGCCAACAACTTGCACCCAACTGAGCAGATTAAATGAACGCGCCATGATCTCTTTGGTGGTCTCGGATTAAACCGCACCCAGGCCCGGTTCGATATTGTTGGTGCGTTGACCATGCCGATGGGTGGTGGCAGTGGGTGGGAGCTGGGGGCCATAAATGCATAACCCACGTTTTACGATCGCTTAGCAGGAAAAGTCAAAGGATCAATGCATCACAGGATCTGCGGTAATCCAACAAAGCAACAACGTTGTGCATCAACCGTCACCCCTTTTTGGCTGAACCACGATCGATCAGGTAGCTATATATGGCCAACAACTCACAAGTCGCCTCAAATTTTTATCAAATTTGCACATCGCCGGTTCACAGGATAATCTATTGAAGACCCTAACCCTAACCCGTTACCGTTGCCGTTACCATTTACCGTTTACCGTATCGTATAGCATCCCCGATATGCAGCTTTGTGTTAATTGGATTTATGGGATTTTCACATTTAAATCCTTTCACTGTCTGCAAATATTTTGGCCGTTCTGCCGTAGGCTTTCCAAGATTACCGGGTAAATCTAGGGTTTTTTTCGCCAATTGCCGTTGAGCTCTAAAGTCAGAAAATACACCATTGCACAGTTCAGCGATGTCACAAAAAAGATATACGTGTATCTTCAATCGTAAGAACTATATATATATATATATATATATCTATAGAAGTATTCTTGATACGACCTTCAAATCTAAGAATAACATGTAGCGATCGGATTTGATACGGACGAAATTCAAGTGGTCTCTAAATAAAAAATAAAATATTTAACTAACTATTCTTAAAAAAATTAAATACTATTATTGTTATTATTATTATAAATTAAATTTTTTATAAATATATAAATAAATAAATATAAAATATATAAATATATATAGGAGATCAAGCTCAAGACAAACCGAACGAGAAAGATTACTAAATGGGAAATGGTTAAGCAATATTTAGAATTTGCACATATTTTAAAGACTCATTTCATATATTTTTAGTGGCCAGAAGGTCTTAAAAATGAGCATAGATATTAATTGTCCATATTTAAATAGCTAAGCTATTATTTTTTTGGTTTTGCATACCTTGAACAAATTAAAAATGGGCAAAAAGGGTTTATTTATGCCAAAGTATGCAACAGGTGGAAGACGGCAAAAGGCAGATAAGCCCCTTAAACCACATATATATATATATGTATATATATATTTATTTATTTATTATATATGATCTTTATAAGCAAGAGACTATAAGAACTAGATAATTCATTATTTAGAACTAGAATATTATTATTTTATTTATACGATCTCGGGAACTTTAAGAGGTAATTACTTTAAAATTGGATTACGCATGAATTGTGTATCAGTCGATCGGTCGTTTGTCCTTTTGGGCGATTTTTGCACTGCTTCAGGTTGATTAGATGATTCCCGGAAAGATGGTACAACTGGAGGAGGTATTGCGTAATCTGTCACCTGATTTGGGAGTGGCTCAAGCATTTAAATCAATCTCAACAACTGTTCCAATATACGAAAAAAAAAAACAATAGAAAATAATAAGTTGAGAGAGCGCGACTAGAATATACCCTGCATCTTGCTGATAGCTGATTCTTTGAACAAAATCTATATTTATTTATCCGATCGAAATGAATATATTTCATATATCAATTGGTAGGCCATATCTTTTATTGCTATCGAAAGTCGATAAAATATAATAAACTTGATCTGCTTATTATATAGGAAAATGTACAATCTATCGATGCTGATCAAGAACATATATATATAATATATATACTACTTCCCTCTGGCTGCTACACAGTGTGGCCCAACTTGAATCTACCCCTTGCACGCATTTCCATTGGACTGCAGGGTATCGGGAGAACAGTTGGCCGCGGTCTCTATTTGGGTCTCCAGTTCGGAATACGAAGCATGCGCATTTTGCACTAAAAATGTCAACAGCATCAATTTACAGCCGATGGATGCGGCTGCTGCCGCAAAACAGCAGAAAGAGTGCCGAAACAAGAGGTTTCTAACACATTCCAGGAAATCACTTGACAAACATCTCCCAAAAACTCGCGCACACTTGTTCGCTGCAGCTAGCCAAGCCAGGCCAAGCCAGGCCAGGCCAGGCTGGCCACTAAGGAACTGCAACAACAAAAAATAAAATAAAATAAATGAGAGACGCCGCCGATACATACACATATAAATAGGGTGTCGAAATGATAATCAGTTGAGCGCCCCGCGGTGGGATCTCCTTCCCATTCCCATTCCCGTTCCCATTCCCTCTGATCTTGCACCGCACGCCCCGCTGTGCGCCGTTCGTTGCTTGTGTGCCGCATCGAAACGGTGGCAGTGGCACTGGCAGTGGCAGTGGGAAAATTGTATATTCCCTTTTGCAAAATAGGAGCATTCAAGTAAAAACAGAAAATCGACAGCAAAAAGTGGACAAACGAAGGCGGCAGATCCAAGTCAAAAGCAAAACTGGCGCAAAACTGGCACACAAAAGACCACAAGACAATGCCACATTAATTGGTCCAGCTACAAATTGCAACACGTTGACGTTGCAAGCCACTGCCGACCTGTCGCTCTCTCTCTCCGTCTGTCTCTCCGTCCGTCTGTCTGTTTGTCTTGCACTCTCCCCTTTCACTGACTGCCTGGTTAGATGTGGGTTGCACCGATTAGCTCAGCTGTTTCGCCTTATTCAATTTGCCGCGTGTCAAACCGGAATTGCAATCAGAATCAGAATCGGAAACGGAAACTAAATAATCCAAATTTGAAGTCTACAGTTTTTGTAGTCCCTCCTTGGATAGCTCAGCTTGTTCAGCTTCAGAAAGTATATTCCTAAAAACCAGCATACAAATTTCGAGCATGTTTTTTCTTATATTTTTTTTGATTTAACTTTTTTATTATTATTAAACACACACATAAACATTTTAGATGGTTTAATTCTCATTTCTTTGTCGTTTGAGTCACTTTTCAACTTAACCAAATTTTATCTAATTTTCTAGTTTGCACAAAACAAACGGACATGTTCAGATCGAATCGGCGCTTGATCCTTATATATATATATATATATATATATATACCTTATGTAGTTGTAGATGCTTTCTTCTGCCTGCTGAATACCATTAAAATTCCGTAATTTTCGCACTTTACGTGCCAGAATCGAGATCGAAATTCGATTCGGTTTGAGACCCTGATCTAAATACATCCACTAAGCCAAAGATTGTATTAGCTCATTAGCCTCATTAAAGAATCAGGCAAATATGTCAGAATCAGTCTTAAATGAGAGTGGTAACAAGGCATAGTAAAACTGACTTAATTCCACAAGTGAACACTTTTCAGGCAGTCGATGAATATCCTCTTACGTTGCAGCTGGGCGTAGCCGATTGCGAAATACTCTGATGCCAATAATAATAATACCATCTGATAGCAGGTACAGATAGCCGCAGAAGAAATGCGGATCTTGGAAGTAATTTTCCAGTAGTAATCCATCCTTTGCATTTTGGGGGCGGAAGTGGGCTTGTTCCAAAATTGTACGAATTTTCAGAGGATGTATCGATTTACTCCAGCAGGTGTATCCCTTTTGGGGAGGCGGAGTGGGCGTGGCCATCCGATGAGAGTTACCAGTAACATACTATATTGATTTACGATTATCGATTCTTATCGATTTCCTAGCCACCTAGTGGAAATAGCACTTCTAAGTTTCAAGTCGCTATCTCGAAGGGTGATTTTTGTGAATTGGACTGGATCCTCCTCCTCCTCCTCCCTCTCTCTCTATCTGTGGCTTGGAACAGAATTTAAAGTTGAATCGCACATTCTTTACAAAAACTTAGAAAGAAAAAAGGACACAAAATAATTTATTCCCTTTGGGAAATTTGTGAAAAATGTTAAGAGAAATTTATTTGAAAATGTTGTGGATTGAGACATTTTATTTATTATGTTCAGCGCCTTATCTGAAATATAACTAAAAAAAATTTATGTTCAGCAAGGAAACGAGCTTGTTTAAATTCCTAAAATAATATTAAATATATATAATAATATGGCCGCTTTGAACCATTTTGAATTTAAGCGTATTCACACAGATGTCGCTTATTATTTGAAGCATACTTTCAGGGACTGGATGAGACACCGCACAAGAGCTAAGTGATATGATATGACTGCATGAGCAGCTGTTCACGCATGCTTGCCGCCTTGCCGCCAGATGGCGCTTAATGTGTTAAGCAAGTCGTTTTTGGTATTTTCAGAGTATTTTACATTGGCCTCACACAAGCAGATACAAACATAATGCAAAACCCGGGAAATTAAAATTCGAATAAAGTATATTTAAATACGTGCAGAATTTGAACTCTCAAAATACAATTGGGACATTTCGGGGAATACAAGTGCTGACGAAATACCGTTTTGTACTATTTAATATTAAAGCATTCAAATGATGTATCAATAGTGAATTTATATTATAATATAAACATCTAAAATGTACATAAATGAGAAATTAGCATTAAGTTGGGAGTGTAAATTCTGAATAGTTCAGGAATAAATATCGATGTGGTTGAAAAGTGTTTCAGCAGTTTTTATTATGGACGTAGTTAAACTATCACTACAGCGATTATAGTTAAATTGAGCAATGCTCCACGGGCAACTCAGACAAGCACTGCTGGAGATCTCCCCTATTTTCGGCCCACTTTGCAATGAGCGAGGCGACAACGTCAAACCAACAGTCTCTTTGACGGCTATAATCGTAAACGATTTGTGCAGGGAATAGCCATGGAAAATAACAGACTTAGGATACCCACCGGTCTATTCACAGGACATTGTAGACTAAGTAGTTGCCTATCTGAATTAGGTATCAGTAGCGAACTATGCCGGTTTTGTGGATATGGGGATTAGTAAACAAAGAAAAGATGTCGTATACTGAGGATGCATGTTCTGAGTTCAGAAGACATGGAAACCATCAACCCGACAAAGATTGTTGCATTGAAGAACTGGCGTTGATGAAAGATCCAAAAGTTCAGAAGGGGACACAATAGATCTGACAGGTCGCAGTGCATGAGTTCAATAATAATAACCAATGTAATGGAGGTCGCAGTGCATGAGTTCAATAATAATAACCAATGTAATGGAGGTCGCTTTTCATCGCTTTCCCTAAAATTAACAATGTTATTTTAATGAATCTTACTAAATATGTGCATATACCTACATCTCCCCAAAATTCGTGAATCGATTTCCATTCATCATTCGATTCACCTTCGAAATCGGGAGAGTTCTTTGAGGACTTTGTGCAAAACATGAATTGAATAAATTCTAAAATAATTGACTGCTGATTGCAGTTTCCGGAATGGCATACCCGTTTTAATGGATGCCCACACATTGAGCAAAATGAACTCGAATAGGGCTAACTTCATCCGACTCCACACACATCAACTTGTTGTCTTTGTGAAGCCTGCTCAAAATGGAATCATGCAAATGCAAAATTAACAAATCTGTTTGTTTTTCTAAATCACTTTCTGTGTCTACACACCAGTCTCTTACGATGACGACGAGCTTGGAGCACGGCCAACAATAAAATATTATTATTTTGCACTTTATACTGCAGCGCGTCCATTTTTTGCTTTTGCTTCTCGCATTCTTACATCTGCGTAAGAACACAACACTGGTCGTGTCAACGGCAACGTTAACCAACACACACAGCTGTTCAAATGCGACGAATGAATGAATGCCACTCACTCGCAGTGCCTGCCAACAACGTTATCGCTACTTCGTACACTTTCTATTTACACATATCGAACCAAATCGACCAACCGCCACACATAACAGCGGCGTTAGAAAAAATGAATACATAAATGAATTTTAAGGTTGTTAAAAATCTCAAATTCAAAATGAAGATGACTTCAGAAGTCTTGAGTCTCATTGCAAAGTGCAAAATTTAAAGCTACCTGACGTCAACTGTATTTGTGTGCATTTAATTTACTTTCGATTCCAAATTTATCCAGTTGACAAGCAATGTATGCATTTAATTTATAGTTGTGCTTTCTATGGCCGGCTCGTGAGTAGAGATGAGCAAAATTCGTGATCATACACGAGCTAAATCAGCGTAAACATGAATATTTAAATATACAATATGGCATATATATATATATAAGTTAAATATGAAATTCATTTTCGCACTCTATATAGTATGCTTACGTTGAGATATCTTTATAATCGAAGTACATTATAAAGAATTCCGTCTATCCTAGACTTAATAGTTACTTCCCATAAGCGAATACAATTTGCGTGGATTTCTGTAGTAGTTATGCAAGTAATAATACATATGTACAAGTACATAGAGAAGTAAATATCGAGTGTATACATTAGATAGTTGAAGTGAGCGAGTACCGTCTAAAATACAATAGACAACAACAAACACGAACCCATCGCTAGTCGCTATGATTGTGTACGCGGTGTCTGCCGAGTTGCGTTGTTCTCAAAGTTTTGATGCTCTTTATTGTTGTTTAAAAGTAGCATTGAGTTTTTCTGTTTATATATGTACCTATGAATCTTCTATTTTTGAATGGCAACAATCAGAAAATGCCCCTTGCATATAGTTGTTGGCGGTTTCGCGAACATTACAATAACAATTTATTTTATCAAACTACAAAGGAATAGTAAAAGAAAATTGGCGCAATTTACACGGAGCCAGTGATGCTCATTGTGTGTGTATGTATGTATGCATGTATGTGTGTGTGTAAATATTTATTTACGTAGATGCTAATGTGTGCACATGTATGTATTCACATACATAGGTAGCAGGTTTCGTTTGCGTAAAAATTCACCGGATTATTAAAGATAAAAATTCTAAAGTATTGAAAAAATAAGTTTGACACCAAATTCGTAATTTACATTTACTTAAAATGCTTAAGCATTTTTTTTATCGCTCCGAAAATTTCTAGAGCAAATGAATTTCATGCCACTGAACATCGAAGACGGATACTCGCTGGCGACTCTCGTTGAGAGCTAACAGCGCACACTATTTGTTCCGCTCGCACGCCTTACAAAATCTAAACAATATGTATAGTTGTCTGGCCATCCCTGTCTTATCTGTGCTACCGCACAGATATACGTGGTGAAATAAGTGAGTGCGAGTGTGCAATAACATCTCAAAAGCACAATAAAAAAAAAAAAAACAATTTTAATAAATAAGCGGCCGCATACGAATTTGTAGTTGTATAAATAGGCGCGAAATTTTTGTCGCACATGACCATTAGACCATTTCTAGAAATATTGTCAAATTGTTCATATTTTTTTGTGCATTGCTTGTATGGCTGGTTTGTTGCTGGGCGCTGCTGGGCCGCTAGACAAAGATGGGAATAGTAGCGCATCCTAGTACGACGACGACACTGAATTTTGTTTTCAGAATTGAGCAGTGTTAAGCGTTGCCGCCACGGCTGAAAATATGAGCAGACAGCACGCTGCTCAACACTACGTTACTCGCTACTTTGTTATCGGGCGACGCTCGCTCTCTCTCTTTCTATCGCATACAAGCGCACGCCGCTTTGGACGACTGACTCTCTCAGTGAGCGAGTGTGCGCTCTTGTTCTCCGTCGAGTACGCTTACTCGTCACTGTGACCACTAGCTAGCGTTGCTGGTCGCCGTCGTCGTCTGGCACTAACACACAACACAGAGTCACAGTCGTTTCAGCTTCAGTCTTTCTTTCTAGTTCTGTTGCTACTCGTTCGCGAAATCAGTTGACTTTCTGCTGCAACACAAGCGGACTGAAAATTTTTGTTTTAGTGTTGCAAAAAAATTTGTAAAAATTTTTAAAAATCAACAAAAAATGTGAAAAATAAATGGTAAAAATACATAATTAAATAAAAATCCAACAAATATTATAAAATTAAATGCGCCGTAAAAAAAATAATTTTAAAAAATTTAACAAAGTGTCGAAATTTAATACATTTTTTTTTATATTTTTCTTCGACTTTTTTTCGAATTTCGTATTTTGTTTGAAAAAATTAATAATTTTTTTAACAACGTCAAAAAATAAAAATACGCCTACAACACAAAATTTCTGCAATAGAAAACTTTGATACGACATGAAGAAGAAAACGGACGAGCAGCGACACAAAAAAAAAAGGAATATATTTTCTGTCGTCTGTTTTTCTTTCTTTTTCCAATGCTGCTCGCACTCGTTGGCAGTGCCTGTGCTGTGTGTATGCACACCAGTGTGAAAATACCAATACCAAGGCAAACGTTTATTTTGTGCTCTCGCTCTCTACTCGCTACCATTATTGTCTCGTTACCTTTTTATACGTGTGTGTGTGTGTGTGTGTGCAGTGAAAACGTCGGCGCGTCTCGAGCGAGACGCAGTATAAACGTTTATACATTCATGCATGTATATATGTATGCGTATACACACATATCTATCTATCTATATATATATATATACATGTGCGTTGGGCGCGCGCCCTCTGTGTGAGAGTGTGTGTTGCGATGTACTCGCTAAAAATCAGCCAACCTACAGCAGCAATCGTAGCGGCATTCGTTCGTATGCGAAAAAAAGCTTTAAAAAAAGCTTCAGCTGCTGCGAATGTGTCTGGTATGGTATGTGCTCATACTGTTTACTCGCCACAAATCTTTGGCGCTGAAAGCAGCCGATATTCGTTCATATGCATGAATGTATGGGGCCGTCGCTCAAATGCGGAAGCAAAATAAATAGAAACTTCGAATTTTATGAAATGTGCCAGCCACGATTATTGTCTTAATACCAACTTATTAGATGATTTAAACAGTGCTTGCCTTTGTATGCTAAATGTTAAGTGTAAAAAAAATGCGCGCAATTTTAAAGCTGGCGCCGCACTTGTGCACGCTGTTGGCACATTTTGTGCGTGCGTGTTGGCCAAGTAAAAGTGCACACATACACACACGCACACTCGCATTCACACTCACACGCACACACACACACAAATTAAATCATGACACATACAGAGAGAGAGTGAAACACGTAGACGAATGCGAGACGGAGATGGGGCTGAAATATCAGCGAGATGGAGAATACTACGAGCAACAACAAGACCGAAAAACAGAAAAACGGCGAGTTGTCTTCGGTCAGCAGGCGGCAGCGGTAGCCGCTTTCGGATAGGAAGAAAAATAAAAAATAAATAAAAAAAGAAAAACGAAAAATAAGAATTTAAAAAAAAAAAAACATTAGCAATATGTTGCTATATTCTGTGTTGTGCAGTTTTGTGACCGGTGTGTGAGTGGAAACTATGTGTATCGAATGCAAATCTTATAGGTCATTTATGTAGTACGCTTGCATGTGTATATATATGTGTGTGTGTTTAATAAAATAAATATTATGCTCTAATCAAGCCAAGCATCGTTTCATATATGTGTATATGAATATACATATTTTGTTTTTTTTTTTTGTTTTTGCAGTTATGTGCAATGTTGAATACAACGCGAATGTAAACACGACAAAGATAGATAACCAAAACTCAACATCAACATTAGAGCCACATCAACAAAAAAGCAAAAAAAAAAAACTGCAAATCTTATGAACAGCATAACAACATGTAACCAATTGTAGATTGACCTCATCACCACCATGCTACCTACTACGAACTTCATAAACAAAAGCTGATAGCGCGAGAGAGAGAAAGATAGAGAGGGAGAGAAAAGTGGAGAAATTGAAAAGCAGATAGGCAGAAAAGCCAAACAAACCCAAACGTCAACAATTAGCGACCGTTAAAATGTTAACGCAATAATAACCGAAAACGCAAACACAACAAAAGCGACAGCAGCAGCAACAGCAGCAGCAGCATTAGCAGCAGTAGCAAATGCAACATTCAGCGCGTTTGCTAGCTGGCTTTGATTGCTTTTATTTATATTCGTCGCCCAGTTCATATTACAACCTATATGTATATATATCACTTGCAGCGGCAGCAGCGGCAGGACATTGAATAAGAAACACCAACGAATCCTCCTCTAACCAAGGCCGATTTTTTAAAATCCGGCCAAATTGGTGGATTTGGCGCCTACCCACAAAATGCAATCGTGCGCATGCTGCTGTATGATAAACAACAACAACACCAACACTACAAGCATCGGCATTAACAAAAGACAGCAGCAGCCACAACAGGAACAACATCAACGGCTAAGGCGGGAGCTGGAGCTGGAGCAGGAGCAACTGGAGCAAAGGCGCACACAACCACAACAACCACCACCACAACAACAACAACAAGAACAATCAGCAGTGACGACGACAACGGCGACGTCTACTGGCGTATGGGACGCCAGTAGTGGCAGCGGCAGCGGCAGCTACAACAACGATCTCAACGGCGAGCCAACGGAGTCAGCGACGTGCTCAGCTAGCACGGTCGCGGTCGCGGTGACGATAGCGCGGCAGACGAGAGCAGCAGAAGCCGAAGCTGAACTAGGAGCAGTAGCAGTAGCAATAGCAAAAGCCGGCGCTGGAGCAGCAGGAGCAACGTCAATAACAAAGGAGTTGCATTTGTCCACAACTCCCGCAAGCTTATGCAAAATCGTACTACAACAATTTCTTAAGTCAGTGCTGACTGTCAGTATTTGAAGCTTAACAAAATAATAACACAAGAACAGCAACAGTAGCAGCAGCAGTAACAACAACAGCAGCAGCAGCCACAATAACAACAACAAGAACAAGAACAACAACAGCAAAATAAATATAAAACCAAACACACAACAATTGTGCGAAAACTGTGAAATTGTGCAGCAGACACAAACGAGAGCAATCAAAAATAAATATTTTGTCATAACTGTCTACTGTCCAACTCTCTCAACAACTGAGCATACGTCAACTCTTCAATCTAAGTTCATTATTATATTATTCTGTTTGCACTGTCTTACTACGAAAAGCAACAATTACCAACAGCAACAGCAGCAGCGGCAACATCCAGCAGGCAACTGCCAAAATCAACGAAAAGCAGACAAGCATATACACTTTACTTCCACTAGGACACGTTGTGCTGCCAATATAAGGCAAGCAATATCTTTTATATATGATGGCCGATCATTTGGACGAACCGCCACAGAAGCGGGTAAAAATGGATCCATGTAAGTTGTGGAATCGATTCGCAGTTCAATCATTCGTCATTTTTCGCCTAAAATACAAATCAATGTCAAAATAGATACTTAAATACATTCTTACATTACATATATCTTACCTGATACCTGATTATATTAATGAGAATTCAATATGTGTTCATTTAGCGGATCTATTCTATTCTATTCTGGAAGACAATCTACCCGATGAGCTGGTGTCTTCGAACAGCGGCTGGTCGGATCAGCTAAACACTGGCGGCGGCGGTGGCGGTGTTAGTGTTGTTGCGACAGCAACCGGCGCCGGCAGTGGCGGACCAAATAAACCACCAGCTCAGGGACCCGGTCCAAATGTGGTGCCACCACAAATGAACGGTGCCGGTGGGGGCGGTGATGATGGCAGCAGTAATGGCGGAGGCGGCGCTGCCGGAAATCAACTGCGACAAATGCAACACCACCAGCATCTGCAGCATCTGTTGCAACAACAGCAGCAGGGCAATAAGGGCGCTGGCGGTGGCATGGTTGTGCCTGGCATGAATCAACTTGGCAGCAAGTCACCCAATTTACAATCGCCCAACACCGGTGGCATGCAGGTTGCGACACAAATGGGCATGGTCAATTCAATGCCCATGTCCATATCGAATAATGGCAACAATGGCATGAATACCATACCAGGTAAGTCAAGTTTTCGATATCGATATCGATGTCGATGATCACATACAGCTCACATAATACGCAATACAAGACAATATGATGAAAATAATCTGATGACAAATCCTTGTTGCAGGCATGAACAGCATTGCACAGGGTAACCTGGGCAACATGGTTCTGACAAACAGCGGCGGCATGGGTAACATAGGTGGCGCCGGCATGGTGAACGCTCTGAAGCAACCGGGCGCTGCCTCAATGATGAACGCCGTGCCCGGCGTGGGCTCGGTGCCCGGGTCAGCGCCAAATCAGGGCATGCATATGCAAAATGGTCCGATGATGGGTCGCATGGTTGGGCAGCAGCACATGCTTCGTGGCCCGCATCTGATGGGCGCCGGAGCTGGCGGCGGTAATGGACCAGGTGGTGTTGTTGGCGCCGGCGGTGGTCCACGGATGCAAAATCCAAACATGCAGCTGGGTAAGTGCCTTTTCGGCCACAAGCAAAGACAAATACAAAAATAAAGCGAATATAATTTTGTTTGTATTTGTTTGAAATGCACTGAAATATGCTTGAACACATCGATTTCATTTAACAGGCCAAATCAACAATATGCCTTATGGAGTCGGCAACTATGGTGCACCTGGTGGCGCCAATCCGCAGCAGCAACAACAGCTGCTGGCTCAACAGATGGCACAGCGCGGCGGCGGCGGCGTTGTGGCGCCGAACATGAGCTCTGGTATGCCTCAGGGAAATCGACCAATTGGCACAGTTGTGCCCATGTCCAGTCTGGGCGGAGATGGTGCGCCACCTGGTGCAGGTGGACTCGTTGGCAATCCTCAGCAGCAGCAGCAGCAGCAACTGGCTGCGGCAAATGCACAAATGAATCCCCAGCAGCAACAGCCGGGCATCCAACAGGGTGCACTGGGACCACGAGCGCCGCAACCCAATCAACTGCTTGGACATGCTCAGCAGCAACAGCAACAACAACAACAGCAGCAGCAGCAACAACAGCAGCAGCAGCAACAGCAGCAGCAGCCCGGCACATCTCAGCAGCAGGGAGTACCCTCAGCGTCGCCTGTTAGCGGGACTGCTCCGGCGCAGAATAGCATGTCCGAGGAGCGAAAGAAACAAATACAGCAGCAGCTGATGTTGCTGCTGCACGCGCACAAGTGCAATAGGCGCGAAAATCTGAATCCCAATCGCGAGGTATGCAACGTCAACTATTGCAAGGCGATGAAAGCCGTCTTGGCGCATATGGCCACCTGCAAGCAGAGCAAGGATTGCACCATGCAGCACTGTACCTCGTCGCGCCAGATACTGCTTCACTACAAGACCTGCTCGCGATCCGATTGCATTATCTGCTTACCCTTCCGACAGAATCAGCCTCCACAACAACAGCAGCAACAACAACAACAGCAGCAGCAGCAGCAACAGCAGCAGCAACAACAACAACAGCAGCAGCAGCAGCAGCAACAACAACAACAACAACAACAACAGCAGCAGCAACAGCTACCGCAGGGACAACAGGTACCACAAAATGCATCGGGCGTGGGAGTTGGCGTCGGTGTTGGGGTTGGCGTTGGTGTCGGCGTCGATGGTAAACAGGTGGCGCAGAGCGCTGGCGGAACTGGTGGTCCACAAAATACGGCCATTGTTCTACCGCAGCAGCAGACGCCTGGCGCGCCTAATGTGCCCAAGACAAACACCGATATGGCACAGCAACTGGCACAGCAACAACAGCAGCAGCAACAACAACAACACCAACAAGTGGAACTGCGTCGCTTTGAGGGCGTTGGCAGTATACTTCCAGTGGGACCGGTAGCATCTGGAATGCTGGGTGCGCCGACGCAAGGCATGCCACCAGGCATACGCATGCAGGGCTCTCCAGCGGTTCGTGTGCTTGGCGTGCAGCCAGGACCAGGCGGCTCACTTCCTGGGGGACTGCCAGTGCCAGTGTCTGTGCCCGGACAAAATGTTTTGCCCGGTGCGAACGATGTGAACAGCTTGCAGCAACAGCAGCAGGCGCAGGCGGCGGCCCAGCAGGGCGGACAACTGATGCTGCAGGGTTGCAACATAGTCGGTGGACGCAGGCGTGCGCTTCCCAACATGGTTGAACAGCAGCAGCAGCAGCAACCGAATGCGCAACAGAATGCTCAGCAGCAGCAACAATTGGGCAATATACCAGCACCGCTATCTGTCAATGTTGGCTTCAACAATTCCAATTTCGTCGGAGTCGGCGTCAATGATAAGCAACAGCAGCAGCAACAACAACAGCAGCAGCAGCAACAGTTGGTGGGTCAGTCCGATCAGCTGGCCAAGCTGAAGCTGCAGGCTCAAGCGCAAGCACAAGTGCAGGCGCATGGCGGCAATGTTGTGTCAGCGGGAGGAGTGCCAGGAGCTGGAGTTGCAGCCGGTGCCAGTGTGCTGATGCCGGCGGATACGACGGGCGGTGGCAACAGTTCATCAGTTCCAGGCGTTACGACAGGCGCTGGAGCAGGTGGTGGTGCTGGCGGTCCGGCTGGCAGTGGTGGCGACAACGAGAAAGACTGGCGAGAATCGGTGACAGCTGATTTGCGCAATCATTTGGTGCACAAGCTGGTGCAAGCCATCTTTCCCACATCAGATCCAACCACAATGCAGGACAAGCGCATGCATAATCTCGTCTCGTATGCCGAAAAGGTGGAGAAGGACATGTACGAGATGGCCAAATCGAGATCCGAGTACTATCATCTGCTTGCCGAGAAGATCTACAAGATACAGAAGGAACTCGAGGAGAAACGTCTCAAGCGCAAAGAGCAGCACCAACAGCAAATGTTGCAAATGCAACAGCAGGGCGTTCCCAACAGCGGCGCCGTCGTCAATCCCACGTCGGTAGTGCCGAACAATACGCTTCAGCAGCAGCAGCAGCAACAACAGCAGCAACAGCAACAGCAGCAGCAGCAACCCGGACAAGGTGTGCGTCCCATCATCAGTCCTATGGGCGGTGGCGGCGTTGTACCAACTGGTATGATGCCACAGCAGTTGCGTCCTCAGGCGCCTGGCATGGGTGGCGGTGTTGTCGCCGGCCAACAACAGACGCCAGCCGGTCAACCCAACATGGTTGCTGTGGCGGCGAGCATGCGCAGTCATTCGCCTGGCGGTAATATGCTTGCGATCCAGCAACAGCAGCGCATGCAGTTCCCGCAACAGCAGCAGCCTGGTCAGGGCAACATGTTAGTTGGACCGCCAGGGCCCAGTCCCGGGGGCATGGCAGTGTTGTCCCCATTCACCGGCTTAACAAGTCCGGTGCCTGGGCAGCAGCAACAGCAGCAACAACAGCAACAACAGCAGCAACAGCAGCAGCAGCAACAACAGCAGCAGCAGCAACAACAGCAATTCATTAATGCGAATGGTGGCACGGGTGCACAAAATCCGCAGCTCAGCGAAATTATGAAGCAGCGTCTGCTGCAGCAGCACCAACAGCAAACAGCTGCAGCAATGCTATTGCCTCAATCGCCCTTTAGTAATGCCACGCCTATTCCACAGCAACAGCAGCAGCAACAACAACAACAGCAGCAGCAACAGCAGCCCCAACAACAACAGCAGCAGCAGCAACAACAACAACAAACGAACGCATTTAGCTCACCGATGCAGCAGCAGAAGGCACAACAGCCACCTGGTAGTGTGCTGAATAATATGCCACCCACGCCGACCAGCCTCGATGCGCTCAATGCCGGAGCAGCGAGTGCTGCTGCTGGTGCCGGTGGTGGTGGCAGTAGTGGGAATAGTGGGAATGGTGGATCTGGAGCTGGAGCTGGTACTGGTGCTGGTAGTGCTAGTGGTGTTGTCAGTAGCGGCACTGTTGCCGCACCAAGTCCCTCACCCAGTTTCATGTCGAATGGACCGATTGGGACGCCGTCAAACAATCCGCCCTCTGTTAGCAGTCTGATGCAGCCGTTAAGCAATCGTGCAACATCGCCGCCATATATACCTGCCTCGCCAGTGCCGGCAACCAGCGCCTCAGGGCTGGCGACCAGCAGTACGCCTGCCTCGACAGCGGCAACATGCGCCAGCAGCAGTAGCAACGGTAATGGCAGCAACAGCAGCAGCGCCGCCAGCAGCAGCAGCTGTACGGCAATTACAACGACAGCGATAACAACGTCGGTTAGCACACCGCTCAGCAGTGCATCCTCATCGACGGCAACGCCGACATCAACGACAGCATCGAGCGGCAATGGCGGCTCAGTGCCGGCTAGCAGCAGCACGTTGCTATTGATGGGACGCAGTAGTAGCGAGAATAGCGCTCCTGTGCCCAACCGAATGATGAGCAGCTCGAGCAGTTTATCGTCTCAGATGGCGGCACTGGAGGCGGCGGCGCGTGATAATGATGATGAGACGCCATCGCCGGCGGGTGCCAATGACACGAATGGCAGCAACGGCGGTAGTGGTGGCGGCGGCATGTCATCTAAGGGCAAACTGGACTCCATTAAGCAGGAGGATGAGATCAAAAAGGATTTCATGGACGACAGTTGTGGTGGCAACGGGGATGGCTCGCTGATGGACTGCTTGACGGGTGGCAAGGGCAAGAATGTGAACAATGATGGCACCAGCATGGTGAAAATTGACCTTAAGTCGGAGGATGGTGCCGACGGCGACGTGAAAATCAAGGCTGAGCCAATGGATGTGGATGACTCGGCAACGGGCAGCGGCATTCCTGGTGGCGCCAATGGCGATGGCACGATAGGTGGCAGCGGTATCGATAGCAAGGATGATATCAAGGGTGGCATCGATGGCATTGCCTCCGGCGGCGTTGGCGACATCAAAATCAAATGTGAGACCAAGCCAATAGTGCCAGAGCCAATCGCACCAAATGCCGGCGATAAGAAGAAGAAATGCCGTAAGTATTTCAATTGACAACATTAATTTAAAGCATCTTGCCCTATGGTGGGTTGGTGGGTGGTTAAAGGGACATTTTCAATAGTGAGCAAAAAATGGAATAAAATAAAATAAATAAATTAAGTGTAACAATACTCAATACAATAATAATATAAGAGACATTAAGGAGGGAGCCGATGATAGTTCAGTGTTAGTTGGAAAGGTTTTCTGTTCTGGGTGTGAGAAATGATTTTTTTAATAAGCATTCGTTTAAATAATTGTAGAATTCAATCCGGAAGAGTTGCGCACAGCACTGCTGCCAACGCTGGATAAACTATATCGCCAGGAGCCGGAATCGGTGCCATTTCGTTATCCAGTCGATCCACAAGCGCTGGGCATACCCGACTACTTTGAGATTGTTAAAAAGCCAATGGATCTGGGCACCATACGGAACAACATCCTGAATGGCAAATACAGTGATCCCTGGGAGTATGTAGACGATGTGTGGCTAATGTTTGACGATGCGTGGCTTTACAATCGCAAAACATCACGCGTATATCGTTATTGCACCAAGGTAAATCTACGAATTTTTATCAATTGTGTAGATAAATTGTGTATTAATTAAGAACACATCACAGTTTATCTCTGTTTAACGTTGAATTTACGGTTTAATTTAATCACAAATCGATTCCGAATCGATCTGCCTTCTTTGTCGTTTACAATTTTAACAACTTATACTTTTGACCAACAGTTGTCGGAGGTCTTCGAGGCTGAAATAGATCCCGTGATGCAAGCGCTGGGATACTGCTGTGGACGCAAATATACCTTCAATCCGCAGGTGCTATGCTGTTATGGCAAACAACTGTGCACGATTCCACGCGATGCAAAATACTACAGCTATCAAAATAGGTATATTTCATTTCAAACATCGACTTAACATACACATGCATACATATCTATCGATCAGAATATGCATACTTTTATATTATGTATATATCCATATGGAGATACATAAAGCCAATAAATATACGTAGAATGTGGACGATGTGCTTCCCTTCCGATGTGTGTTTCGTGTGCTGTTCAAAATACAGTGTATCTGTCTTTTGCATTTTATTCAGATAATTTTAATCATAATTTTAACACATAATTATTAGACTGTTAGATTGTTATTAATCGATTATTTGCACATTTATATCGCTGCTTGTTGCTGCGATCCTTTTCATTTGCAATCCCCCTCGTCCGTTTTGTTGAATGTTGTTCTTGTTCCTTACTTGCTGCACACACAATTTCAACTTTCGTCAAATTTCGATTCAGCGAATGTCGCTTTCCCTTCTTCAAATATAGATTTTATAATTTTGTTTATTTTTCACTTTCATAAACCAATAGCAGAACAAGTTGTTCAATAATAGGAATGATAATATCTTTAAAAAAAAAACTAAAACAAGAGAAAGAACAATTCTATCACTATATGTATGCATGTATATATATATATATATACTATGCATCATATATTATATAGTTCTTTATGATATATGTGAAGTGAATGTTAATGCGGAAAATACCTAACAATTCCTCAACACACAAATACACACGCACACACACACACACACACACACACACACATGCGCACGCACTCACATTAACTAAAAGAAAAACATTTATTGTAATTGGGAGAAATCCTGTTTTTTTTCTTCCTTTTTTTTTAATGTATATATATATACATATATGTATATATTTTTTATAGTTGTGTATTTATAATATTCTAATGTGAATTATTTTCGTTTTCTTTGTATTTTTCTTCTTGATTTTATTTTGTTCTTTTTTTTCTCTCACACAATTATTTACACAATAATCAACACGAAAATCATAAAAAAACAAAAATCGAAATGTAAACTTGATTTATGCAAATAACAATAAATATTAACGTACCCACGTAAAATAAACAACCACATTACTACCCATAACAATAATTAAAATAAAACCACAATGTTAACACAACTATGCATACATCCATTGTAAAATATGATATGAAAACGGCTTACTTGTTTTTGCTGTTTGTATGTGACATTTTTGTTTGGTTTTTGCTGCTTTTTGACTCTCATTTCGTTATTCGTGTGTGTTATCGTCCAATGTCCAATTGTCATCGCCCATTGCCATCGTTCATCGCCATCAACTTGTAAATTGTTGCCATGAAAATCACAACAGTTTAAAGGAATACGGTGTTGCCTCAAACAGATACACGTTCTGCCAAAAGTGCTTTAATGACATCCAAGGAGACACTGTCACCCTGGGCGATGATCCGGTGCAGTCGCAAACGTAAGCATTCAAATGAAACTTCACTATTCAAAATTCAGACAAGCTAATGTTTTCTGTTTTGTTTGTTTTGTTTTTCGTTGACATTGAAATCAAATAGCCAAATTAAGAAGGATCAATTCAAAGAGATGAAGAACGACCATTTGGAACTGGAGCCGTTTGTCGATTGCCAGGAGTGTGGTCGCAAACAGCACCAGATCTGCGTGCTTTGGCTGGATTCAATATGGCCGGGCGGCTTTGTGTGTGATAATTGCTTAAAAAAGAAGAACTCCAAGCGGAAGGAGAACAAATTCAATGCCAAGCGATTGCCCACCACCAAACTGGGCGTGTACATTGAGACGCGCGTCAACAACTTCTTAAAGAAAAAGGAGGCTGGTGCCGGTGAGGTACACATCCGTGTTGTATCCTCATCAGACAAGTGCGTTGAGGTTAAGCCGGGCATGCGGCGTCGGTTTGTTGAGGGCGGCGAAATGATGAATGAGTTTCCATATCGGGCCAAGGCTCTATTTGCGTTTGAGGAGGTTGATGGCATTGATGTTTGCTTTTTTGGCATGCATGTCCAAGAATATGGTTCCGAGTGTCCAGCGCCCAATACGCGACGCGTCTATATTGCCTATCTCGATTCAGTGCATTTCTTTCGGCCACGCCAATATCGCACAGCCGTCTACCATGAAATACTGCTCGGCTATATGGACTATGTGAAACAGCTGGGCTACACGATGGCGCATATTTGGGCGTGTCCGCCATCTGAAGGCGATGACTATATATTTCACTGCCATCCGACTGATCAGAAAATACCGAAGCCGAAGCGTTTGCAGGAGTGGTATAAAAAGATGCTTGATAAGGGCATGATCGAGCGCATCATACAAGACTACAAGGATATACTTAAGCAAGCCATGGAGGACAAACTTGGCTCGGCTGCTGAGTTGCCCTACTTTGAGGGTGATTTCTGGCCGAATGTGCTTGAGGAGAGCATCAAAGAACTGGACCAGGAAGAAGAGGAGAAACGTAAGCAGGCCGAGGCCGCCGAAGCAGCAGCGGCTGCCAATGTAAGTTCCACTACCAGTCAATCATATACACATTCTTAAAATCTTTAGATCGGTATTTGATTTCAAAATTTTTGAATTTATCAACTTTGTAGCTCTTTTCAATTGAGGACAACGAAGTCAGTGGCGATGGCAAAAAGAAGGGTCAGAAAAAGGCAAAGAAGTCCAACAAATCCAAAGCGGCGCAGCGCAAAAATAGTAAAAAGTCGAATGAGCATCAGTCGGGCAATGATTTGTCCGCCAAGATCTATGCCACCATGGAGAAACACAAGGAGGTCTTCTTTGTCATCCGGCTTCATTCAGCGCAGTCAGCGGCAAGTCTGGCGGTATGTAAAACTAAATATCTCAATTTAAACAAATCGTATACTCACTTAAATTGTATCATCTTTTACGCAGCCCATACAAGATCCTGACCCTCTGTTGACCTGCGATCTAATGGACGGACGCGATGCATTCCTAACACTTGCCCGTGACAAGCACTACGAATTCTCATCGTTGCGACGCGCACAGTTCTCTACACTGTCGATGCTGTACGAGCTGCACAATCAGGGACAGGATAAGTTCGTATATACCTGCAACAACTGCAAGACTGCGGTGGAGACACGATATCACTGCACCGTTTGCGATGTAAGAATATTTAAGAATAAGATTAAGAAAATACTTAGGGTCTGTGTGGCATGTGGGGTTTTTATTTGGTTTATTTACTCTACATTTGATTGATGAATTTGTAGCACTTTGCTTTTGAATTTAGACAACAACAATTGCTCGTGATTTGAAGGTATTAACTTGTATTGTATTTTGTAGGATTTTGATCTGTGCACGGTATGCAAGGAGAAAGTCGGACACCCACATAAAATGGAAAAACTGGGCTTCGATCTCGATGATGGCTCGGCGCCGGCTGATCTCAAGCAAGCAAATCCCCAGGAGGCGCGAAAACAATCCATTCAACGATGCATTCAATCTCTGGTGCATGCGTGTCAGTGTCGCGACGCCAATTGCCGTTTGCCTTCGTGCCAGAAGATGAAGCGGGTTGTCCAGCATACAAAGAACTGCAAGCGAAAGACAAATGGTGGCTGTCCCATATGCAAACAGTTAATCGCCCTCTGCTGCTACCACGCCAAGCACTGTCAGGAGCAAAAGTGTCCGGTGCCTTTCTGTCCGAACATCAAGCACAAGCTTAAGCAGCAGCAGCTGCAGCAAAAGTAAGTAACACAATATTTAATTTACCTATTAATGTGATGCGGGTAGATGCAAATAATTATAGCGATATCTTCACATAACAATTACATTTTGAATGGTTTACTAAAAATGAGCCAGAGCCAGAAATGCTCTTGGGTTTGTCTGTGCAGACAATTTGGGCCATTTGAGATTTTACTAATTAGGTTTGGGTGAAAGAGACAGATATATAAATGTCAATGCCTCTCGCTCTGATTTGTCATATTTCAGTTAGAAAACGGTTGATTTTAGATTGGCAGCCAGTGAGTAAACCTAAAATGCTCTTTACTTTCAGATTACAACAGCAGCAGCTACTGCGTCGCCGTGTTGCGCTCATGTCGAGAACCGCAGCACCCGCTGCTCTACCCGGACCAACGATCAGCGGGCCCGTGGTTGCAGCCGGTGGAGTCGGTGTTGGTGTTCCCGTTGTGGGCATGTCCGGTGTAGCGGTCAGTCAACAGGTGATGTCTGGCCAGGCTTCCATACTGCCAGTCGGTGCCGGTGGCATGAGTCCATCTACTGTAACAGTGCCGTCGCCGGTTTCCGTCATGGGCGGAATGACGTCTCCGCATCCACATCAGCCTGGCATTGGCATGAAGCCGGGCGGTGGCCATTCGCCGTCGCCCAATGTGCTGCAGGTAGTCAAGCAGGTGCAGGAGGAGGCCGCACGCCAACAGGTACCGCATGTGGGTAGCTTTGGCAAAGGTGTGCCAATGGCGCCGCCTGTTATGCAGCGACCGATGGGCGTGGGCGTACCCAACCAGGGCGCCATGGGCGGCATGGTCGGCAATGTGGGTGTAAATCAGCTAGCTGGAAATGTGGGCGTCGGTCCCGGAGTCGGACAGCTGCCGAGCGGGGCGAACTGCAACAATGTGTTGAACTCCAATAATCTGCTACCCATGGAACAGTGGGGCGGTGGTGGTGGCGGTGGTGTTGGTCCTGGACAACAGCGCTATGCGAACAATACACCCAATCAGTCCGGAATGCGTCAGCCCAACCAACTGATGCAGCAGAACCTACAGCAACAGCAGCAACAACAACAGATGATGGGCATGCCACCAAATCAGATGGGTGGCGGTGTTGGAGTCGGCGTTGGCGTTGGCGCTGGTCAGATGCCCGTGGTGGGTGGTGGTGTTAATATGGGCGGCGGTGGAGCACCTCATGGTATTGGCATGGGTGCGCCCATGGGTGCTGCAGCCGCTGGCGGTGGTGTACGCCCACCAGGCGCTCAGGGCGTGGGTACTGGCGGTGGCGGTGCTGGCGGTGCGGGTCCGAACATGGGAAGTGGTCCGCCGCTGAACACACAGACCCTGGCACAGATCATGCAAAAGATTAAGAACAATCCGACCAATGAGAGCAACCAGCACATACTCAGCATACTGAAACAGAATCCACAGATTATGGCGGCCATCATTAAGCAGCGACAGCAGAGCCAAATCAATGCTGCCGCCGGCGGGGCTGGTGGTCCCGTTGGTGCACTGCAAGCGGGCAATGGACCACAGACGCCGCAACAGCAGCAGCAAGTAATGCAACAACAACAGCAAATGCAGCACATGCTGAATCAGCAGCAACAGCAACAGGGCCCTGGACCCGGACCACAGCAAATGGGACCTGGCCAACAGCAGCAGGTGAGCCTAATGCAGGCGCAGCAGCAACAACAACCGGGACCACCGCATCAACGCATGGCCAACATGCAAAATGCGGCGATGATGCTGCCAAATCTACCCTCCGGCTTAACCTCTCAGGGAGGCATGGTAAGTTTAAGAAATTCAAATCTATGATAAATCAACAATTTCGTTAAGAGAAAATGACTTATAGCCACAACGTCCAAATTAAAGTGTAGTATTTCCATTACCATTACATTGATTGCTAAAGCAACTAAAATTGAGTTAAATTGTACAAATTTTGTTTAAAAAAATGTTTCTTTAGCTAAAATATGAACTCTTCGTTAATTTTTTCTCAGTGTAGCACAGTTGCTGTGTGCTGCTTTGTCCTGTGATCTTTTGTCCTTGTCATTTGCTGTCTCTGTCTCGCCGATGCGATATTTTCTGACTATACGTTCATCTCATTCGCACAGGTTCCCAACCAGAAGTGGAATAACATGCGATACATGCAAATGAATCAATACCCGCCACCATATCCACGCCAACGAGGCCCACATATGAGCGGAGCTGGGCAACAGCAATTCCCGGGTGGCACAGCTGGCAACTTTAATGCGGGCGGCGCTGGAACTGTTGCCGGTGTTCCAGTAGCCGGCGCACCCGTTGGTGGCAGCGGTTCGGCGGGTCCCGGCTCTGATCAATACTCGATGACGAATGCGGCAGCTTCCAATATGCTGCAACAGCAGCAGGGCGGCGGTGGTGCTGGGGTAAAGCCCGGGCCCCAACAACAGCAACAGCAGCAGCAACAAATGGGAGTGATGCCACCAGGTATGCAGCAGCAACAACCCTTGCAACAGCAGCAGCAACAACAGCAGCAACAAATGATGCAGGTTGTGGCTGCCGGCGGTGGTGGCATGACCAATGCAAATACTCAAAATGCGATGCCCGGTGGCGGTGGTGGACCCGGTGGGAGCAGTGCAAATGTGATGGGCCCACCAACACCGCATACTCTGCAACAGCAGCTGATGCAGTCGGCCCGCTCCTCACCACCGATACGTTCGCCACAGCCGACGCCATCGCCGCGATCAGCGCCATCACCACGGGGGCCGTCAGCATCGCCGCGGGCACAGCCTTCTCCACACCATGTTATGAGTCATTCACCGGCGCCTCAGGGACCACATGATGGCATGCACAATCATGGCATGCATCATCAATCACCGCTGCCAGGAGTGCCACAGGATGTGGGCGTTAGCGGTGTCGGTGTCGGTGTTAATGCTGGCAATGTGGGTAATACTGGCGGCGCTTTGCCCGATGCCTCCGATCAGCTAACCAAGTTTGTGGAGCGGCTCTAGTGTAACATCAATGCCAATGCCAACGGCAGCGGCAACGAAACCAACAACTGCAACAGCAACAGTAACATCAATAGCAATAACAACATTAACCTCAACAATTATCACTATAACGGACAACAACAGCAGCAGCCTCTGCAGTCACTGCAGTCACCGCATTACTTTTGATGTCCGGCCTTGGCGATTTGTGCCCTTAGGCTAATTGGGGCTTTTGATAGGGTGGGAGGGGTGGGTCGGGGGATGGGATTCGGACTGGGAACGAATATTGGGGGGTATAAGAAATACGGGTCAATACTTCTGCTGCGAGTGGCTATCCAAAATTGCTAAACAACAAAAAGAAACAAAACAAAAACAAAAACAAAAACATAAAAAAAAAAACAACAACAAAAAATTCAATTCATTTTGTGTGTTAATCGTTATATCCTTATGTATAAAAATATGCTTACTAATCAGCCATTGGCTGTCAACTATTATGTAATTTAGTTTATTTTTCGGGGTCTATGCCCAAGATTATGTTTTTCGGCATCTATACATGCACACGCAGAATAATTGCAATCATTTATATACAAATATACACATTTATGTTAATAAGTTTAGGACTTGAACAAAAGCACAGACAGCAACTGCAAATGCAAATGCAACAAAAAAAATCGAGTATGATTACCTTAAGTACCATTTGTGTGCAACATCCACATATTATTATTATTAGGGGGGAAGCTGCACCGCGACCTATTTGATATATTGTGCCCCACTTCTGAGCCTATAGCTCTTCCATCAGCCCCAACTCCCTTACAAACGTGAGGATCTTTGTTGGGTTGAGGTCTACTATGTCTCTGCAATTCAAAACATGCGCCCCTAGGATGCTGCTTCTTCTTCTAATTAAGGCGACACATTCTGCCAGCATGTGCATCGAGGATTCCTCCAGTCCTCAGTCGTATAGTGTGTCTCCCTATGCCACAATACGGTTCTGGTCCTGTTAGGGGCCTTTCTGCCCCCATTCTTGCTTGCTTGTCAGCCGCCTCGTTTCCCGCTATGTCCCTGTGACCCGGGACCCATCGTAGGGTGAGCCTGTTGTGAGTCCCGAGCAGGTCTAGCTTTGAACGAACTTCATGGACTACCTTCGATGTTATCTTAGTCCCCATTATAGCTTTCAATGCTGCTTGACTATCGGATAGGATGGATATATCCGTATTCCGTGTGCGGTTTCATGGGATGGACTTCATCCAGAGTTGTCCATCACCTTTTACTACTCATACGAACTGTGAAATTTCGCTCGAATATGTATTCGGCTGCCATTTCGTCCCTAGGTTCCATTAAGGCTTCAAGGGCCATTGTTGGACAGGTGCGCATAGCTCCTATCATACATACGCAGGCCATTCTTTGCAACATCCACATATACTTCATATATAAATATTTATATATGTATATTCATATGTATATATATATATAAATACTGTATATAAACATAATATATCATTCAGATAGCCTTGCCCTTTTTATTCTTTGATAATAAACGCAGTACTTGGAAATTTTACTTTCAATGTTTAGTGAAATCAATTAGGACACTCACTCGCAAGCGCAACAGCGACAACTGGGAGTATTATACAATTTGTAAACGTAAAACGTTAAATTATGTTTTCTCGTCATTAAGCAAACAAAATAAAATTTGTATACAGCAACAGAACATTAAAAGCAATGCTGAAGATGCTGGGAGTTAACAGAATAATTTTGGAAAATGCACAACGTAAACTACAAAATCGGGGAAAGCATAGAACATTATATATATTATATATGATTGTGTATAAACTTTATTTAAATTGTCAATACCACATAACTGCAATTTTACATACATGTTTTAAATCGAAAATTGCAACGATACGAATGGCTTACAAGTTTATTTATTTCTGTTTTAATGATTTTTTTTTTTTTTTTTTACTTAACTATAAGCCCAAAAAATATCATTCTAAATCAAGAGACGCGCAACAAACAAAAGAAAGTTATTAATAATATTGATAATAAAATCCATGTGTTGAGACTATCAAAACTATCAAAAGCATATAGACTATATATATTAAATTCATATGTATAGTGTTTTATGGCTAGCAATTCTTCATAAGCCAAGCCAAGTTGTTGGCGATTGTCAGTTTATTATCTGCTCCTTATAGGAGCTTGAATTGGGAACACGCATAGAAATATTTTTATATAGTAACCGCTAATGGTACATGTACATATATAAATATATCTATATATATATATATGTATATATGTATGTGTATATGTATATATATATGTATATATAAATATGTATATGTATGTGTATATGCATAAATGCAAGTGCTTCATGAATCTAACAATATCAACAAAACGCTCCATTTTTAATCAACTTCCAATTGACATACAACAATAAGTACGAGATGCAGCAACCCAAAAAAAAACATCAAAACCAGATAACACCAATTACAAACAAAATAACTTAAGTCAAAACGCTTTGAAACAATTAGCATTGTAGAATTTATTGACTAATTCGATAACAAACTAAATAGTTAAAACCGCTGGCAAATATTTATAAATTGTTTAACACTTTAAGTTAGTCGTCAGTATGTGCATACATTTTTTTCTTTATTTTTTCAAACTCAAAATATTACATAAATAAATATATATATATAAATTAAATTTTTTTTCCTTTTGTAAATACCTTATATAAGTTAGTATTTCATTTTGTGATAGCTGGAAAAAGAAAAACAAGAATCATGTTTAAAGGAAATAACGGTTTTTATTTAACTTTTATTCGTATGTGCTGCGTTCACATGTCTCAAAAAAAAAAAAAACAAAAAAATCAAAGGCAGAATACACAATGTTAATTTTATTAAAATAATAATTACAATTTTAATGATTGCTATTTATTAATTCTAAACATACATTTATGAAGCTAGAAGTAAGGCATACACTATTTACTAGATGGTTAGCAGTTAGTTCGTAGTTAACATTTTTATAAGCATTGAGAAAGCTCATCGTTTTTTTTACAAGAGTTGCCGCCGCCCAAGAACCGTGTACAGACAGACAGACAGACCGAGGGAGAATTTTGAAAGGAATGTAGAAAATGAGAGAGCGCGTTAAACAATTTGTAAATTACATATACATGCAAATACAAATACAAAACAAAAACAAATACAAATATAAAAATAAAAACAAAAACAAATATTTACATAGATACAGAGTATATTAACATTTGACTTTAACCAAAATGTAACTGCGCATAAAAATGCCTTCAAGAAGCGTTAACAGGATAAAAGCAACATTAATTGTAAATAAGTAGAATTAAGAACGTACAACAAACACATAAGTGCAGCTGTACTCTATATATATATATATACATATATATATATATAGCACGAAACATATATACATACATATACAAATGTAAGTCAAAAACACCCTAGTTCTAAGCAACGTTTAACAAACATGTACATCAATTGTATGTATACCAACTATACAGATTATGTGTTTTTAATACCCGCGTAGTTGTTTTCTAAGTAAAGACAAAATCGGTAAGAACAAATTACCAAAAAAATAAAAAAAAATAAAATAAAACATTAAAAAAAACAACAAAAAAAAGAACGGTGTCTGTGCCTGCGTCGTCGCCGCTAGACGCTACCGTCTGCGCCGCACAATCAAAAAAAAAAAAAAAACAAACAAAAAACCATCTGGCCAAAGGCGGTGCCGCCGTTGCCTTAGGCCTTGTGCTGTAAAAAAAAATATTGAATCGATTAAAACGAAAGAGAAACATAACGCTGCCTTGTAAACGCGGCTGCAACGGAGCGCTCTGCGGGCGCGCAAGCACAGTCCCCAAAAGCACACACACATAAACCAAAATACAAAAAAAAAAAATTGCAAAAAAAAACAAAAATTTTAAATACAAAAAAAAAAGAAGAAAACAAAAAGAAAAAGAAAAAAGATTCGTGAAGAAAACAAAATGGCGAGCTAGCTGAAATGTCTGCTTTCCTTCGGTTTTGTTGAACGTCCAGTCAGCATCAATGAACAACGTTTTAATGGAGTGCGCTTGTGCCCGTGCGTGTGACTGTGTGTGTGTGTGTATGAGTGTGTGAATGTGTGTCTGTGTGTGTGTGTGTGTGTGATTATTGGCGGATGCATGTGCTCGTGTGCGAATTGAATTGTGGAACAACTTTTTCTAAAGACATAATATTTTTTTTTTGTTTTTGTTTTTGTTTTTGTTAATCTGTGCGTACAAGCGACACGAGAGAAAGAGCGAGAGAGAGCATATTCCAAAACTATTTGTGATTACAATTATATATGAAGAGAAAGCAACACAAACGCATTAAATATAACGCGAAATGAGAGTTAAAACTTAGTATCTAAGTCTTAGTCTAAATACACGCCACATCTATGTATAAATATTAATTATTCTTACATTTATATAAATATATAAATGTAAGAATAATATATATATATATATATATATATATATATATATATATATAATTATATATATATATATTACACATATTATACATGCATACATGCATATGATTATGCATATGGGAGAACAGACTAGATAAGTGAACGATTTGTAAATTATAAAAAATTATCATTTAATCTATATATACGCAAGTGGCAGCAAAGTCCACATTGCTGACGTTTATTATTATTATGCATACAAAATGTAATTTCTTAAATGCAACCAACAAAAGAACGAAGTAAACAAAACATCAACAAACAACCTAGTTAAGTCAAGTAAACCAAGCCTTAGTAAAAACTAGTTTTAATAACAAACAATACAACAACAAAAACAACAACAACAAAAAACACATAAGAAACCAACAAACAAATACTATAACTAATAATCTATACAATGGTTACAATATTATAATTACTTGTAAAATAGCGCGAAGTGTATGTCTATAGTATGTATGTGCATTGAATTAAGGCAAGGACGGACTGAACGACTTTGTCTTGATTCAATCATTTCTTTAATTATTATTTTTTTTTCATTGTTTAACCAAACGTGTTTTTTATATTGATTAATTGTATTTTGTAATTTAATATACATCTATTAAAAATGATTAAACAGTAACAAAACAAAACGAAACAAACATAAACCACAGCAAACAACCACACACTGTAATTAACAAAATACTTTGCTTGAAAGTGTAAAATAAATTAATTTAAATAAAAATTATGAAATTTAACAAAACTCCTTGTTATGCATTGTAGGGATTTCTTGTAGGTATAATACGGACCATTTTGTTTTTTATTATTAATTGAAAAACGAAATTACTGAATATTTTACACGCGCATGATCAAAGTGTATACCGAATTGAAGACGACTCCATCTAGTAAATATATTCCCCATCAGCATTAATAGAGGAATGCAATCTTCAGAGTGACTAAGATGGTGCTCTTCCTTGTTTTTAACTATTATCTTTTCTTTTCACATATGTATTGATGTATATAAACAAGTAAGTAAACGAGCATTGAATTATACTTGAAAAATGATGTGTGTAAATAGTTATGTTTGTGTATTTTTTTGTATCTGTTAATTTTAGCTGATTTAAGCTCTTAAGTATTGCATAAATCCCACGTTATTTGTTAAATAATCCAATTCGTAATCTAAACGCATTTGTGATGCGATATACCTAAATAATATAAATATAGCTTATTAAATATAATAACTAATTATAAATAATAATAATATTTAGCGCAGTAACAAATTCACTCACTTGATAAGCTAAAATATTTTTTTGATTTATTATTAATAATAATAAGCCTAATATCATATCAATGTCAACAAATTGACTTTCTTAAAAATAAGTTGGCATTTATTTAAAGATGTGGTCTCTTATCAATGAATTTATAGCTGATAATTCCAGACTGGGTAAGTGCGGCACCGGTTCACAAATATGTTAAGCAAAAGTGTATATTCAGTACAGTATACAGTACATATATAGAAGCACCACGATCAATATGGCCAAACTGATCAACTAAACTTCTGATAAATTAACGATCGGACACTGAGACCAGGTGTTTGAATTGCTTTAAGGGCTGATTGATGATATTATCTATCCAAAGGACAAGCTGTATATTTTATTTTAGTATGTGAATATATATATATGTATATATATAGGTACATATTCCGGTAGAGATCTTAAGAGACCTTTACTTATTGACAATTTAGGTTAGCGAAGTGAAAGAGAACAGCAGTTTGGGTTCAAGGTTGATACTACAAAATAGTCGCACCGATTACTAAACGGTATAAAAGAAGGTTTTTCCAAAAGCCAACAATTATATATATATTTTATAATCGTCATCCTCTTTGATTTCGATTGAAATAAATTGCAAACTAACATGTGTTTCGAGCTACTGAAATCAAGATAAAGTAGACGATTTCAAGTGTTGACGTATTTCGTACTCTTTGTACTTTGCTCTTGTACCATTGACGATGTTGATAGGTTAAACGGTTGTCAACCTGAAGGTTGCTCGGATTTCTCCTACACCCGTGTACAACATCTTATCGATGACTCTCCTCTCGTTTCTCGTTTTCCATTCCCGACTAGACACAATATCCATAATTTGGTATGAATATACACTGATTAATTATTGATCATCTGTAAAAATAAATAAATACCGACTTTGTTAATCAAAATGTGTTTTCATATTGAAAGAACCACTACCAGCAGGTGCAATCTTATTATGTAGATAAGCGAAGTGACCAGAAATATATGTCTGAATGAATAATTCAGTAAATAAACATTCTTGTGAATAAAAACATGCGCTGCCTTTGTTGGTTTTTTGGTGACCCTTTAGTACGTGTGCCAGCCATAAAAGCGATAATACTTTTGCCTGCTGACACTTAAGTGGATAGTTATCCCCTGGTCAAGCTCTCCCGACAAGAGTATTTCTACTTGGTATTTTCCAAGCTTATATTATTGATATGTAACAGAAGCAAAGTAAACAAAGTTGTGCGGGTGTAAGCACTTGAGAATATCATTGATAAGATTAATATTTTTGGCAAAACACACGATCTTTGCTATTCCCACGCCATTGATCAGATATGAGTTGACGTATACTTCTAACTTAGTACACTCGAAGCGTATGCACTTCACTTAACCTCAAGTAATATGCCAATAAGCCATCAAGTTTGAGTGTGCTACCTGATATGAGCAATCGAATGTCAAACTATGGTCAGCATTGCTAACATTGTCAGGAGGTGAAAATCATGGTTGGAGGCTCGTTACAATAGAACATGTGTAATCATCGAACTACCCCCGATCTCTATCTATTTAATTGATATGTGTTTCATTAGCAAATCACTCTTAAATATAAAATAGAATAATAAAACTATTTTCAAATTGAAACACACAATTTTCCAACTTGTTTGTGTGATTCAAAATTAATTTCTTTCCACAACATATCTTGAGTTTCTACATCATAACTTCCAAAAGTTTTTAATTAAATATCACTCAACATCTGAGAAATTTAAACTAATCTGCAGAATAAACCATGACCAAAATGTCAATGGAATTTAAGATCGGTCCTTGAGTTAAGGCATTATTCAAAGGCTTGGATGAACTAGGAAGTGCATGTGGAAATTTTATAGAAAGTCTGGAGGCCTTGAGTGCAAATCTTAGATGTTTTCGGCAAAAGTTTTTTTTTTTTTGTGGGGTGTGATACGATTAGACAGACCCATAATCAATAAACAATGTGTATCATTGGTAAGAGAATAGAAAACTGGGAAAGAAGTTTACTCACCAAGTCAGAATTGTTCAAAGTCTAATATATTTTATTTTATTGATTTTTAGCCATTTAATTAAGTTCGTTTCCAGCTATAAATCGTCATGGCTTATCAATTGAATTTTAAAGCGCAGCTGACTTTGACATGATTTACATCAGGGGCATGTATATGGGTATGAGCAGTGCCACGGGTGCGCACCCAAATCCAGTTAAATCCGCGCTAGTGTTCAGCAAGCGACCAGTGTGCCAAAACATCAGATAAGCAATTGATTATAGGGCTCCTTATCGCCTTTTAGCCAGGGTCTATATTTGTATCTATGTGGAATATTATTGTTATTAATAAATATTTCATGGGCGAAATCAACGAAATTGACGTCGACGTCGATGTGGTCAGCGCCTCAAGTGGTCACTTAAGCCTATAAAAGCTATTGTGTCGATTGTCCACACAATTAGTTAACGGCGCGTTCAATCCGCACACGTCTCTAATTAAACGGCGATATTTCCAAACGATCGGAAATAAAAAAAAAGGATCTGCACCCGTCAAGGATTATGGCGCAGCACCATAAACTGGCTCTGCCAATGGCAGCGTCGCTGCTACTGCTCCTGGCCACTACGGTCGGAGCACACGTAAACAACGACAAACATCTGCTCACCGGACACTCGTTCCCAATGCACACAAGTTTGGCCCATCAATTCTTTGTCCTGGCAGCGGAGCACGCAGAAATGGCAAATGCCACCGGCACTCAAATGGTGCACAGGAGCCTGGCTCGCAACGACAACGATGTGCTCTGCGATAGAGACATTGCTCGCATACGTGACGCTATCGACAACATGGAGGAGTGGGCTCTAGAATGTAAGCAAACATATTCCATACTCTCTTCCCATAAAGGGTCCTCGATAAAACGGAAGTGTATTATTAGGACGAGTGCAAATGTGCTAAATAGAAACAAAGAGTCATCTTTAATCATATAAACTTTATATATATAAATGTATATATATATGATTGATAGCGATCGGTGGTACATACCTCCAGCAGCGCATTCATGCTTGCTTTGTTTGATATCAGTTTTTGTGCTCCATTCATAAGTTGCCACATATTCTTTATGACAGGCCCTAAATCAAATGGCAAATCAAATTTGATAGCCAATAAACACGAATAGACTGCGAAAGGCGATAAGACTTTACTAAGATTACGTCGCCAAATTTTTATGACATTTTCAAATCAAACATTTTTCGATTGATTGGATCTCTTTGATAAATATTTGGTTAAATAAGATTGGCAAACTGACCACCAATCTGTGATGATATAATTCCATTTCAATGTGAAATCTTCTTAAGGATTGCAAATTATCAGTGCTTAGCTCAGCTAAGAATACTTTATTGGAGACAATGCTTTAAAATGCACAAAGGTCCATCATTTTGGGATTGTCGCTCAAAGGTAAATGGTTGTCAATTCTAAATTGTTTTTGTAAGTTTAGAAATTGTTTCAATGTAGTCTTATCATCTTAAGGCAAACCCAAACCACTTCACACTGCAGGTGTTCCTGATAGGAAATAAACCTTTATGGTCGACGATAATCAAGATTAAAGTCGTTAGCTGAGGGTGAATGGGAATTAAGTTTACACCTAAGCATAAAAATCTTTTAGAGAAAATCTAATAACTTGTTTTATGCACTGCATTTAATGAGATTGACCAAGGTCATTAGTGACTTCTTCTTTCTGTCAAACTATTCGACTTCGAACCATTCGCCATATATATATTTATATATAGATCTATTGCTACTTGATCGAACAAAAATATAAACGTTATTTTTTTTGGACTTTGTCGCCAACAGTTCCAGATACATGGGGTCGCCTACCCGTTGGCTTCTTCTGGGGCCATCTCATCAGCATGGGCCAGTACGAGGAGTGTGTGGCGGCAACGGCCACCTACGGGAACGGATTACATGGCCAGTACTGTCTGGCACGCTTAAACATTACCCAGTTGTACAGCAAGGTGAAGCAACGCCATGAGGAATTCTCACGCATCAGCTACAAGCAAACAGAGCCGGAGATCTTTGAGTTAGGTGTGTGTGTGCCCAGCACATGCAGCGCCCAGAAAACTGATGAACTTCTCAAGCACGTGATTGCGCATTTATATGGCGCTGATATCATCGATCTTAAGTTCGAAATGGTTCAGGAAAAATGGTGTAAATATGATGCGCCAGTCGAGTTTCGTGGTGTGGACATTTTTGCCATGTAAGTGATACTGAAATACTTTCTTAAAATAATTAATTCTTTAATTGTGGAAGTGATTCATTCATTAGCTCACGTAAATTTCCTCAACCTGAAGAATTTAGTTATTTTATTAGCTTAAGTGAAAATAATCGAAAGATTTCGACAGCAAATGTTTTGACTTTGATTTCAATTCGAGTTAATATTGATTTCTTTACGCAGCATCTTCTTTTCGCTGATTATAATTTTCCTGATAGCCAGCAGTGTCTACGACGGTGTGCAGACCCGCAAGGGTGGTAAGTTGAATTATTATCCATCCATTTGCTTGGAATCCAATTGTGTATGTATCTAAATGTATCATTTTGGTTGCAGCACCCAAGAAACCGCTTTTCGTCGCCTTCTCGGTGCTCCAAAATGCACCAAAGATATTCACGGTGAAAAAAGTAAACAATCCGAATGTTATCCACTGCCTGAACGGTCTTCGTTGCTTCAGTATGATGTGGGTTGTGTTTGGGCACGGCTACATGACCTTCTACGATTTGCCACACATCAATCGAAACAAGTACTATACGTGGCTGCAGACGCCTTACTCCATGCTGGTGCAGAATGGCTCCCTTTGCGTCGATACGTTCTTCTTCATGTCCGGCCTGCTTATGTGCTGGGGCGCCTTCCGTGAGATGGATCGCACCAAGGGCAAACTGAACATACCGATGATGTACTTCCATCGTTACATACGCCTAACACCAGTTGTTGCCGTCGTTGTTCTGTACATCATGTCGCTGTATCGCTATTCTGGTGCCGGACCCATGTGGTTCAAGCTGGGCACACAGGATAAGCGCTGTGAGGACACCTGGTGGGCCACCCTACTCTATGTGCAGAACTATGCCTTCCCCTACAGCATTGTAAGCAAAACCATCTTGATTATTGTATATATTTAACATTGTTATATAATTGTCATATTGTTTTTGTATTTCTTCTTTTTTTTAATAGTGCGTCTCGCAGTCCTGGTATCTGGCTGTGGATACCCAGTTGTACTTCCTATCGCCACTGTTCCTCATTCCGCTGTACAAGTGGGGCAAGAAGGCGCTGTTACCAATTTCAATATTTGGTGTACTGTGTCTAATCTGCACCGTTGCCACCTTCTTGCACAATGACTTTACGCTGTTCCGTGTGCAGGACGATCATGTTGATCTGCGCCAGCGCTTGACTTACTATCCAACGCATACGCGTATTCCCACTTGGTTGATCGGCGTCATCTTTGGCTACTTCCTGTTTACGCGCAATCGTGGACGACAGATTCCACTGGCCAAGCACTGGGTTATTACTGGTTGGGTTGTGGCCTTTGGCACCATGTTGGCGGATCTTTGGGGTCCCTTCTGGCGCATGCTGCCGGACACACCAGACTCTCCACGCTGGGAGGGTGCTATGTTTGAGCCACTCAGTCGCAGCTCCTGGGCGCTGTCTATCGGCTGGATTGTGTGGGCCTGTTATAATGGACATGGCGGCTACATCAACGACTTCCTCTCCTGGGGCTTCTTTACGGGCTTCAGTCGTCTATGCTACTGCATGTACGTGATACACAGAATAGTTCAGCTAGTTAACGCGGCTCGTCTCCAAACCGACACTCATTTCTCCAACTACGACGCGGTAAGTGCACCTTAAGTTTTATAAAGCATCCAGCAATCTCATTGTGATACCGAATTGCAGATTCTGCGCTGGTGGCACGACTTTGGCATCACACTGACACTTTCTATATTTGCAACATTGGCCTTTGAGGCGCCCATTTTGGGAATTGAGAAGGCCATCTTTGGACGCGGTGACAGCAAGCCAGCACCCAAGAAACCAGTACCCGGTGACAATGCCAAAATTGCGCCTACCGCCGCGCCTGTCACTGAGGCCGAACCCATCACTACTGTGCCTGAACCAGAACCAGTGCCAGAGCCAGAGATTGTGCCCGCAGCCAGCAGAGCTGAGGATCCCTCCAAGGCCTAACGAAACACGTACATACATTTGTATATGTCATTTTATATTGTATTTTTTTTTCACAACCCAAAACATTTGCTAGTGACCCTTTTTCCTGTAAGTTTTATTTATTAAATATTTAATGAAATCAGTCTTAGTATTTTTCATTGTCAATGGCTTTAAGCTAATATAACTAGTACGACTCTTCAAGTTTTTTCGCTGTTTCTTAATCTATGTTATCGCCTTTATTTCGTTTAAGCAGTTCATACACTATCTCGAGTACGGTGCTTGCTTTAAGTGTGTTACTATAAGACGGTTTTTCCACACTTGAAACTTAGAAAGCCCTTTAGCAAAAAAGTTGATCATAAAAAACTTAAGTTAGAAATACAATTTGATAATTTGTTACCTAGTTTAAATATCGCCACAGTCTATAGTGAGTTTGATCATTACATGTTCTAAATAAAAAATGTTTTCCAAACACTATCTTATCTTTGCATCGATAATCTTTATGATAATCGCTGATATACGCAATCCGGAAAACTTTGACAGACTTCCTATAAATCTGATGATGAGTATCTTTCTAGTCGTGGCGTTTGTGAAGTAATTTATAACGATAGAGTTATTTGTGGGATACGGAAAGCTGCAATTGTATTTGCAAGTTAATATCAAATTTATTTATAAATATATACAATAACAATAGTTATGTGTAACTATATAAACAGGGTGTCGCGAACGCTTTACACTCGGATAATCACAAAGCAATCGACATTAGCCGACTATCTATCGTAGTTGTTCCGACTGAATTGGATTTTCACTTTAAAGAGTCGCGACCAATCGATGATTAAATTGAAATGCTGTAAAAAAAAAAAGAAGAAAACAATTACTAGTAATTCGTAATTTTCGTTTAACATGTGATCTACCTCACGATCCATAATGTTGTCGCAAAAGCTTAGGTCCAATAATTTCAACTTTTTACAACGCACTAGGATGCTAAAAGAAAATGAATCAAATTATGCGACAAATTTTCATTATTATTATACAAATCGAATAGCTTACTCATAAGCACGCTCGTGCGTTATGTGAGTAACACCCATTAAATCCAATTGCTCGAGATTTTTTCCCAATGTTGCAATATGCGTGAGATCACGTTCAGTAATGCCGCGCATGGCCGACAAAAACAGCTTCTTTAGCTTGGGACAATTGGTGAGCAGTTGGTATAGGCCATCACCAAGATTGGCCTCACGCATACTGCAAACAGAAATGTTCTTATTAAAGTGGCGTTGAGCAGCAGATTGTTAATCGGCGATAGTTAATCAGTTCGCCTCACTTACCACCAGCCCAAATCAAGCTCCTCCAATTGGTGGCAACGGGCCAGCGATTGAAGGCCCCGTGCGGACAGAAAATGCGCTTTCCACATGTCCAACGAAACGAGTTGGGTGTTGTAAGTGGCTAGATGCGCGGCGACATTATCCATGTTTACCGAAACACCGCAAAAGGCTGAAAAGTGTGAAGATTTTATGGATTTTTGTAGTATTGATTAATTAATAAATAACATACCTAGATTAAGATGCTTTAATTTACGGTTGCCTTCGAGCATGCTCAGCAGCAGCTCAGACTCAAATGCAGTTTGAAAGAGATCGAGTCGTTCAAGATTTTTGAGATTGGCCAGGCAGGAAAAATTTAACAGTGGGGTGTCAGATCCACAGTTACGCAAACTGAGCTCTGTTTGGGTTATAAAAATATCTTGTATAATTACAATGATAAAAATGGTGCTTATATACCTATTAGATTATCACAGACTATGCCAATTGTCTCAATGCAGCTGGCATTGAGAAATTTGCAAGAGTTCAAACGTAAATGGGTGAGATTGTCTCCACGTTGAGTCAGGAATCTATGTCAATGAAAAGGAAGAAGAAAAATGAAGTTTACAATACATGTATCAGTAGCCTTGCTTAATCATTTAGCCGCTAGTTGTATTTACTTCTTGAACTCGGTGGGTGAAACCTCTCCAAACCCGCCGCACCACGATAAATCCAGCTTGCGCAACAGCGTCGCTCTGCGCGCCAGGGTACACAACAGCTCTGAGTTGGCCAACTGCCAATAAGGCTTCAGGCTGAGATCGCAATAGAGCAGCGGATGTGTTGAAATTTCGTAAAACAGGCGCGACACTTGGCCCACACAAAAGAGTGACTTTAGGTCCAGGTAGCTGAGTATTTTCAACAGGATTTCGAACTGCAAAAAAGACTTAACACATCAGAGGAATTTCACAATTGATATATAAAAATAGTTGGCCAACCGGCAGATCCGTTAAAGAGCTTTGTGGACCGCTGCTTTGCAACTGCTGCTCTTCAGAAACTTTTTGGTTTTCCTTCAAAAATTGGCTAAGATCGTTGTTGATAAATTCATGAAGTTTGACAGTACAATTTTCACGACAACTGGGTTGGAACTTTAGCGTGCGCAGCTTGCAAAGGATAGGTCCACTATTGATATCTTCCTTATAGCGTTTAACCATCGGCGTTAGCATCTGCTGCATGGATCGCGTTGAACCAGTGCGTCCATATAGCAGAATAGCATCGATCTGGGTGTAATAGTTCAATCGGCTGTGATTGAAGTCAATTCGCAACGTCCTGTAAAGAGCCATGTGGAATATAATTAAGGTTAGCTAAAGATGCTGCGGACTTACTTGGTCAGTATGTTAGTATTCTTAAGAGTCGGCGCAAAGCGCCGAGCTTCGCGCGTGAAATTGCCCTTAAACTTATTCAGATCACTGCTACTTGCCTCCCACAAGCACGTCCAGCGCTTCGTAATGCTGTAAGCCCATATGCGCACTACGCCACCCGGATTGTATGTCTCAAAGATGGAGACCTCTTTGGGTATCACAAACTCCTCAAAATACACAACTGTGCAAGAAACAGAACAGTAAATAGGTGAAGTATATCTTGTGTTCACTTGATCACTTACCAATAAAATCATGTGTGGGCAGCGCTGGCAGATTTTGTGGCTGAATTTCACGGGTGGACGAAGGCGCGCAGTGCCACCAGTCACCAAAGGTACGCTAAACGCAAAAATTTAAATTACGTAAGGGGAAGAGCAACATAATATATTATTTATACGGTACATAGGACTAATGTAATGCTTTAATGACAACCACAAATTTACCATACAAAAGGCCTCTGGATAGTCGCCATAGGTGGGATACTTGCTTGGCCTGCCAATCACATTAGCGGCCGTGTAGGATATGCTGTAGTCGATACCATATTGCGAGCTAAAGTCATGCACGCCCAGCACATACTGTGCTAGGTAGTAGCTGTGCTCATCTTGAGATTGAGTTTGTGACTGTAGCTTGCAGTCGTCACCGGAGTGACCACCATTGCACTCCTGATTGCGTTCCATAAGCATGGCCGTAAAATCAATATGTGCATCCGGCTCCGTATCGCTGCCAGAGCTGCCATCCTCACCGCCAAAATCGAGCAGGGACATGTGACCGTAGTTAAGCCTTAGCGAACGATTTTTTCGCGTATGATTCGCATAACGCGCTACAGCGCTGAGCATAGGCTGTAGCGCGAATCGTTGAAAACGTTGATGTCGACGATTATTGCTTGAATGCTGTTTGTTGAAGTCAATGGCAACAATGATTGTTGATTTGTTGTTGTGATGATGTGGATGCAAGATGTCCTTGCAAGATGTCCTGCTATATATGGATTTCACGCGCGAGCTTTGGCACGTTGCTGTGTCCGACGTTCACACTAAGCTGCTAGAAAGTGTGCAACTTAAGGGTAGTAAGTGGAGGCCTTAATTCAATTAGAGGCTATTGCGAATTCCTCTTTGTTGTCAAATAGGTGTCAGGGGTTGCGTTGTTGTCGCGGCTGTCAAAGGTGGCCGTTTTGGGCAGGTTGAATTGCTTTCAGTGTGCTGGTATTGAATTTGTTGTGATCAATAATTAATACTTAATATAGCTATTTGGCGTTATTTCTGATAATTTCATATTGAATTTTGACAACAAATCCGAAACAACATTTAATTTCTATATTTCATAAAAAAAAAAATTGACAGAGTTGCAAGGGGCACTCGAGTCGATATCGATAAATTACTGATTGCATGTTGTAGCAATTGTGTCGATAGTTGTCATGCAACAGCTGTTAGCGGTTCCGTCTCCATGCTTCGCTTCAACTGGTTGCCTATAATCAGACAATTGCCAACCATGAAAATGAAGAAACACCAACGTCTTGACTATCGGAATAAACTAATCCTGGCACCCATGGTGCGTGTCGGAACATTACCCATGCGACTGCTTGCTCTCGAAATGGGCGCTGACATCGTTTATACTGAGGAACTTATTGATTTGAAATTGATCAAAAGTATTCGCCGTCCAAATCGTAAGTTAGCCTTAAACTTGTGTTTGAAGACACAGAGTAAGCAAAGTTATCATTCCAATATTCTTCGTTTTTCAGCCGCTTTGGGGACTGTTGACTTTGTGGACCCTTCGGACGGCACAATTATTTTTCGCACATGCCCTTTGGAGACGTCAAAAGTGGTGCTGCAAATGGGAACCAGCGATGCGGCTCGAGCTTTAGCTGTTGGCAAACTGGTCCAGTGTGATATTGCCGGATTAGATATAAATATGGGCTGTCCCAAGGAGTTTTCTATTAAGGGCGGAATGGGAGCAGCGTTGCTAGCTGAACCGGACAAAGCTGCTCATATACTGCGCACACTGTGCTCGCAGTTGGATATACCAATTACCTGCAAGATACGCATACTGCCCGATCCCATGGATACCATCAATCTCGTTCAGAAGCTGGCAGCAACTGGTATTGCTGCCATTGGCATTCATGCGCGGACTAGAGATGAACGGCCCCAGCATCGTCCACATCCAGACGTTTTGCGTGCTGTGGCGAGCGCGGTGGATATACCTATCATTGCCAATGGGGGATCTCGGGAAATGCACACGTTTGAGGATCTGCACAAGTTCCAGGAATTGTGTGGCGCTGATAGTGTCATGGTTGCCCGTGCTGCCCAGCTTAATGTGTCTATATTTCGCAGAGAAGGCGTTTTGCCAATTGACGAGGTGATTGATAAGTATCTTCGCCTTTGCATCAATTACGACAATGCTCCGCACAATACCAAGTATTGTGTGCAGAGCATACTCAGAGAGTTGCAGGAAACGCCGCGCGGCAAACGCTTCTTGCAGTGCCAAACGTTACAGCAGATTTGTGAAATTTGGCACCTAGGTGACTACTGTCGCCGTCGACAACAGGAGCTCAAGGATCACGGTAATGCTGGGCGTGCCAATGTAATTCTCTCCGAATGCCTGAATAACAAACGTCAAAAGCTCGATCTGTCTGAAGATGCAATGGAGGAGTATGAGGGCGTCATTAGCCGTAAGATGGCATTCCTGCGCTCCACCTACACGAGTGGTAAGTGGTGCTCTGAAAAGTGTACCTGTTGAATGTCATTGTGATCCTGTAATTAAATTTGTAGATACGCAGCTACCCAAGACGGTGCTCTATGTGCACGCTGGTCGCCTGGGTAAACAACCTCCGTGCTACGAGACGCAGCGCTGCGACAAACTATTCCGGGCCATCTGCAGCTATGACGGGCAACGCTATAGCAGCAGTTTTTGGGAGAAAAACAAGAAACAGGCCGAGCAAGGAGCTGCATTGGTTGCGTTGCTGGAGCTTGGACAGCTGAACGAAAAAGACCTCTATGACAATGGCAGTCTAATCAGTTAGAGCCTCATGAACTGCTCATCATGAATTTCCTTACAAAAAAATACATCTATTTGTTCACAGCGCTTCTACATTTGATTTTGTTGGTTTAATTTATGTTTACCGCATGCCTTAGGCAACCATACAATAATGTTCAATGTTTGGAATTGTGGATGGAATAAAACTACTAAAAATAAGATTAACTTAAGAATTTTGTTGTATATTAATCATAGGTGGAAGTGAAATATTAAGAGACTAGTTTCAGTTGCCACAGCTTTTATTTAAATTCTATGTATATACATGCATTATTTATTGTTATTTGATATTTGTAGACAACAATAAAAGGAAAAAATTTGCATGCTCGAGTTGATGTTATTCTCTCTTCGGGTCTAAAATACCCAAAATCTAACATTTTAAATTTTTTTGCTTAAATATAGGGAGCATTATAACTCATAACTGGTGAGTTTGGTCGAGATATCTTGTAATGAAAAAATGAGCTCGACTCTCGACCGGTCGTTCCAACAGTAGTCAAATTATATACTTTTCCGATTTTACCGCATCCGGCAAGCATACGAATAGATTCAAAATTTTATCACGAAAACTTCTGTACTGAAGCTAGGATGTTCGGACATGGCCATATTGACAATGCGTCGTCAATAATATATGTATATGGTGTAAGGTGTATATGTGCCTCATGGGATCTGAGATGTCTTTTCCAGTGAGTGACAGATTTGCGAGAAAATTATTAACAAACAAAAAAACATATGTTGTGTTAATTATAGTTTATTAATTTCCTAGTGTGTGTGTGTGTGTGTGTGTCCGTGTGTCTTTATGTCAGGATCGATCAGCTGGCCGGAGCTCCAAGACAGAGTCGACCCCGAAGAGAGTGGCAAAAATAAATAATGATGCTGCTCTCTTAGTGGTCGAATCTATTTGTGGTGTGCTGAATATGGTGCATGAGAGGAGATAGCAGCTTAGCATTGCTAACGTCGTTGAGAGGCTGGTGGCGGCATCATTGTATGACCATCGCGAAAGCCAAAATTTACAATAAAGCTTAGTAGATAATCCTTTGTAATTGGATGCTTGATGCTCTCCACAACGGCTAGAAAACAAAATACATTATTACATATATTGTCTGTATGTTGTCTTTATATAGCATTGGTAGGAATACTTACCGACGCTCGTGTTGAAACTGTTGGGCAACTTTTTGTCCGTTCGCTCGCGCATAAAATCCCAATTGCCATATTGATTCATCGTGCATTCAACAATTTTGTTATCCAGCTCGCGTATCTCTTTTGTAAGTTTTTGCATTCGTCCGAAGGGTGCATCATGGCCTCCTACATAAAGAAAGCCAACCTTTTTGGTCAACAAGCTAGGAGCAAAAATAAAATGGTTAGTAAATAAGTTTTTCACACTATTCAATAAATAAGTACAAATTTAATTAGCTTCCCCTTTCAATTATTGAATTGGTTCGTGCTGACGACAGTGAAAACAATATTCATAACGCGTACTCCAAGTTAACAGACTCTAGCTTCAATCGTGTTTATAATATTTGGGCTAATACAGACAGGCCGACAGTAGGACGGAGATTGACTTACCCCTCGCCACGCTCTGTTATAATCTTAAGTCGAAAGTCCACGGAGTTAAGCTCATGCGGTTTCCATTTGAATACATCGACGCATACGCCGGCTGTGTACGGTTGCTGCGAGGGTTGGAAGATGAGACCGTCGGGTTCATGGGCCAGCGAACGCGAAAACTTTTCGCCCAATAGACTTTCCGACGTACGAATGTCCCAAAAGTCTTTGTTGCGCACACTGAACGGCTCCAGGGCACGGTTAATAATGCCCTGCTTCATGGCAAGTATACGCGGACCTGTTTAGATTTGAAGATATTCGGTATTATTATTGGATGCGGTGCAGCTAAATCTTTTAAATGCGTACCTATAACTTCATTTTTAATATAGTCTAGACGATGTGGATAAAAGAACTCCTCGCGCACATCACGACCCGCCAGTCGCACAATGTCATAGACAAGAAAACGCGGTGTCACAGTGTCACCAATCTTGTCCAGCACCATTTCCTGTAAGCGAACAAATACAAATTTTAATATTAAAATGTAATTAATGCATGTATATCTAATAAATATGGAACTACGTTTGGCAACGTTCACTTACACCATCCAGCAGTGTACCATCGAGATGTTCATGCAGATTTTTACCATGCACAAAGGTCATATTTTCCACCTGAAAGCATGAGTGATTGCGATCGAAGAAATAGATCTCCTCGCGTCCATCAATGAGCATCATATATCGCGTACCGTCCGCCTTCCATGAAACCCTATACGGCATCTCGCTGAGTCTCTTGATGTTGTGCTTGTCCATCGATATAGGCTGAGCGCCCGGAAAGCCACTCTTCTGCCAATGGCACCAGTCTTGTACCCTGTGCTGTAGCCCAGTGAGACGTGGCTGGTCTGTTATTTGCCGCACACCGGGTACACCAGCCATAAATGCTGCATTCTTAACAACCAACTCACGTCGTCGCTTCTTTTTCTGGGGTCCATCGCCAGCAGAAGCGACATCCTCACCATTCGCATTTGACACAGTATCATCGTCATTGTCTTCATCTTCTGTGGCCGTTCCACTCCCAGCTGCACCTGCGGCCGCAGCCTGCTGTGAGGTGGATGAGCAACTGTCATCGTAGCGGCGTTTACTGGCTTTGGAATCGCTGATGGCGTCTTCATTACCATTGCTGTCATCATACTCCAAGCACCAATTGGGCTGCTCTGGAGCTTGGGGAGCATCCTCCTCTACCTCATAGCGTCGAAATAGCTCATTAATATAATCCTGCTTGTAGATGCCGGGCGGTCGTGCATTGGCAAACACAGCAAGTGCGGCTTCTACAGAGCAATCCAGACGTTCCACCATATAAGAGACGATTAGGAAGCCCGTTCGATTAAAGCCGTGGGTGCAGTGCACAGCAATCACATCGAATGGCCGCTCATTAATAAAGTTGTCAACCAGCTCAATGAAACTGCGCGTCTGCTCCGGCGATGGTGTTTCACCATGACCGCGACACTGTAGCTTAATATATTGTGCTCCTCGCTCTTCCACCGTGCTGCGATCATAGAATCGTTTTGTGTTTGTCAAATCGATCCAAAGGCCCAGTTTTAACTGCAGAGCCGAGTGGGTGGTAAAGAGATGAATAGTATAACATATGTTTGCATGTATCTACGTCATATGTATGTATATATGGAATGCATCTGGGACAACTCTTACCTTGAGTGTCTTGCAATAATCGAAAAGCATCTCGGGACTAAAGGTGCATTCAATGGCCATCTTGTCTTCAAAGGACTGATTTAGCGGCGTTTTGAATGCGAGAAACCGCTCCGCGATAATTTTATCACTTTTCCGTGGACAATAAAGCCAACGGTTCGGTAGTGGGCCTGAGCCCCGCTCCCGTTCGCGATGTGAGTGAGCCATTCCGACGGTACGTCACGGGGGGACGGACTTGTTAACTGGATATGGAAAAGATGAAAATGATATTGGCAGGCAAGCAATAATGTCTTCAAATAATTGGCTCTGGCTGCAGCCGCGCAAAAGCGGTTATGAATCGCGTCCTGGTTGCGTCGTTAACTTCTTCACATCGTCTTTAGAGGAGCGCAGACACTTTCGGAAAGTGCTTTGCTTGGATTGCTTGCTCGTGGGTGTTTGTGTGCGTCACGATTAATGTTGCCAGATTATTAGATTATGGCATTAGCTTATAAAATGTATGTATAAGCACATCGAAACATGAATAAATTAATTGTTTCTACTGGCGACCGTTTTTTGATGATGTTCTTTGTGCTTTCTGAGCAGCTGACAAAGGGATTCACGCACAATGCCGATAAATAGAGTTTTGTTGTCCTATCTGCATTGCAACAAAATGTTCGAAACGTGTGAGATTGTGGCAACGCCACATCGATAAATTGGCAGAGCGCCACCGATGAGCTGGCAAGCGAGTCGAAAATGTGGCCAGACTGCCAGACTACAAACATCTGTAAGCATTGTGCACTAAATTCAAAACTTAAAAAACAGTTGCACTTCTGTCAAGCAAGCAAGATCCTAATTCTCGTCCACAAATTAAATGTGTTTATTACCACCTTGATTTTTCTTATGATTTAGGTGTTTTCTCAGATTATTTAAGTTTTTAATATAAGAGCTTGTATTTTCTATTTATTGTTCCTTTCATTTTTCTTCCTCTAACTCTACCAGTTTGTTTTCTTTAAATTTTTACTGTTATCATTTTTTTCGTATATTAATTCGTATGCCTCCTTTTTATTTTTGTAATTATTAAGTGTGTATATTTTTGTCAGAATTAAATTAAATTTAGATATTAAGTAGTAGCTGTCCAATTAACATTTGCCAGAGGCCGGAAGTGTAAATCAAATGTTACCTTAAAATAAACCGAAGACATTGCCGAAAAGTTTTTAACTCATATGTATCTTATAATTGTATTTTTTTATGCTTTTGTTTTGGTCGACATTTCATAAAAACAAGAGAAATTGTTTAATTAAAACGTTGCGCATATCTGCGAGTACATTATCGATTAGACATATGAATGTGTTAACATTTGTATAAATATCTATGTACATAACTATGTACATATGTATGTAAATGTACTTTGCTCGTGCTCACAAGTACTCTGCTGTATATTTACTCTCACACAGACGCAAGCAAGGAACTACCAAATCATTTACTGCAGTGTAAATAAACAAAAACGGCGAATGTGGTGCTGTTGTTCTTGCTATTTTTGCTGATGTTGTTGTTACTGGATACAATACATACTTAAAAACAAATGCTCGGCCACAGAAACGTTCCGAAACGTACACATTTCGCACGGATGAAGAGATGGAAGTTAAGGCAACAATAATAACATCAAACGATGGCAACATCTACGCTGGGAGCATTGCTTCGGTCTACATCCGATCGAACGATGATCGTCATTGTCGATTCTTCTTCGCTCCAGGCCGAATGTCATTCATAGAACCGAAGAAAAATTTTCACTTTTAATCCGATATTTTGTGTTTGTTTTCAACCAAAGTGAGCTACGATTATATCATATTAAATTACAAGTTCAATGGCAACAACTACTCCTTCCCATTCGCATGCAGTGCGTCCAGCAACTGCAGCAATCACAAAATCCGTGATGCATACGCCAAAAATAACAGTTACAAACACAACAACATCAATAACAACCACACCAACGACGAAAACCGAACCAGTGCCAAAATCACCAGACGACGTAACTGCATTGATGCCCCGGAAAAGTTTGACCTCCATGACGGATGACGAGATCATCCAAGAGAACCTCAAGGAAATACTTGATATGAAATCGCGAGTAAGTTAACAGTCTCTAAAGAATCCCAACAATTTGGAATGTTGCACATATCACGAAAGACTAATGCAATCATCGCATTTCCAATGATGAGGCGTCATCAATTACGGGCATGGTCGAACGTGCAGAAGCTTCAGCTTGCAAATAACAGTACGACGCCATCAAATATTCCGCTTTCATTCATTTCGATTCATTATACAAATACATATATACATATGTACATATATATTTAAATACATGTACAAATGGATATATGCAGATCATCAAATCTTGTTGGAGCGCCACACTGTAAACAATGTTTTTATGGGCCATACTTGTAGCCCTGGCCATTATGACTCAGTATGGTATATAAACATGTACAAACATTCATATTAAACAATGCATGTACATACACGCACACACACACACACATACACACACACTACCAAAGAAGCACTACTCAAAATGTGTAATTTTCAAGTCTATTTGTTGAAACTGTTCTTCACAACAGCATCTAATAAATAGGTATTTTTTCAGAACTTATTCCTCATTATTAACGCATTCTCTTAAATAATCCACGCTTTATTGATGAAATATAGTTCCAGATCTTGACTTCATTTTAGTAGTATGTGTACGATTTATACATGTATGTATATGTATATCCTATATGGAATTCATTTTGGAACTTTCTTCTCCTTTGCAGGAGGAACGTAAGGCCAACGGACGCCTCGTGGCCGTGATTGTTGCCTTTCTGGGTAAGCAGAAACAGATAATGGCATATGTACATATGTATGTACATACATATTTATAGTGCACTATATTTAGAATTGTTAGCACAACAAACATTCGCGCCTTAAGCTAATTTTTAAATTAACATATAAAATATAATTTAACTTAATGCATACATATGTACACATATGTGCAACAATTTGTATATGTACTCAATCGAACATTTACCACAATATGCTTCCATTTTTTATGGAAAATTTCATCCAAATTCATTTTGTGTTCGAGCAAATTGCAAATATGTATCTACTACATAAAAAAGTAAACAAATCTGCTTTGATTATATCGGAAGGCTAAACAGCCGCAAGACATGAGAAGTCGCCTTACCAAATATCAGATTTTGTGCATGTAATTTGCATTTTGGCACACAGAATTCGGATACACGCGAGGTTTAATTGCAGCAACCAGTCAGCGCAAAACTATTCAAACTTGCATACTTAAAATAATGTAAATACTATTTGCTATTTGCTATTACTACATAAAAAGTATTTTAAACGTACGCGTAAAATTGCATAGTTTATAAACTGCGTTTTATTGTTTCCACATTCCCTTCTTCACTTCCGAACATGGCACAGTACAGTTTTTTGTTTTCGAAATTCACAAAATTTTATAATTTAATGTAGGGCAGGGTAAAAGTTTTCTTGCATAAATATACATATATATATATATGTACATATATGGCATAAATAAAAAAGAACAAATTCCTCTTTCCATTTGCAGTGATCTTTATGGCCCTGTATCATGCTCTGAAACGCAAACCTGCCGCGTTGTCTGGCTTCCTGGTGCCGGCTGGCATTATGCTCTTCTACGGCGCATGGGTGGTTGTCCTGGCAAAGCGCGATAAGCACAAGCGCGCCATGTTTGTAGGTACCACAGAGAAAAACTCTCATATTGTACATACTATATGTAGTATGTACATGTATTCATCAAATGTACATAATTTCATGTTAATATTTTATTTCTAAGCTGCATTTCTCTCTCTCTCCCTCTCTCTCTCTCTCTCACTCTATTGCTGTCTCGCTCTTTGCTTTATAGGAACGGCATATTGAGGAGGTGGCGTTGAAAAACAAGTCTGAATTGGAGGAGAAGCACACGCGCATAAAGCATTCACAGAAAGGCAGCGCATCCAGTAGTCTGCAATATGTCAATGAACTAGCTTCTGGCACCGAGCATCGGAAGAAGCAAAGGCGTCATAGACAGCGGCAGAGGGAGCATGAATTGAAGCCCGATGGATTGGGCCTGACGGCTGACGTTAAAGTACACCGTTTGGGCACCAAGAGACCGAGCTTCAGACAAAAGCTCTTTGGTCAAACAATTGGCCATGTTAAGCTATTGGAGATGCAGTGCGACAGCGTGGATACGGATACGGATACGAATGCGCCAAAACCTTCAACAGTAGTTGAATTAAGCGAGAAGAGAAAACGGATGCAACGTTTTGAGACATTACCTACACCACAATTAAAGCACATGAGCTCGGCGCCATAGGCGTTAAGTGGGGGCTGAAGTTAATAAATGTACTGTAAACGTGTATGAATGCTCTAGTCGAGCACTATATCAAAGAGTGTAAATAAACAAGAAACAACGTTTGAACTGGTTTTCAGAAAATGCTGCGAGTTTTGTCTGGATATCTTGGTAAAATATTTTATTCTAGTACAAGAACAAATCTCTCGACGGATTTGTCCTATATAGTGGACCCATCTGGTAGAATCCTTCATTAAGACAGTGTTAAAGCTGAATAAGGTCTGGCATGGCTATATCGACTCGACTAGTGATGCTTATTAAGACAATATATTATTTTGGCGTCTCCTTCGATGCATTCCAAAATGTATGACAAAACTATAAAATCGGCTACAAGGGTATTGAAATAGATATATTTACTGCTTATTTTGCTCATGCGTCAACCAAAGTTAATTTTGTGTTCGATTATGGAACAAAGTTTGAAATGACAGTTAGTATTTTTGAAATGTAATTATTATTTTGGTACATTTTGCACACGAATATCGGTACAATTCGATGATCATTTGACGATAGTGAGAGCAGAGATGTCCATCTATCGATTACAAAAACAGGTCGAATCAATCATAAATAATTGGCAATACGACAATGACCCGAACTTAAAATAGATAAAAATCAGCAAAAAATATTAAAAAATATTTATATACATATATAATGTATAGTTACTAACAAAATAAATAAATTATGTCTATCGAACACAACTGTGTTTGGCAAAGCAACTCTGGTGCAACAGTGAGAACGCGAGTACAGTAAAAGCATTCGATAAATAGAAATATCGCAATTCGCAGCAAGCGCGCTCGTTTTGTTAGCGTCGAGAATCTAAGTTTATTGTTTTAAGCATTTTTGTAAGATCAAGTGAAAAGTCATTGTCAACTGTGAACAATACAAATTTAGATTGTCAAGAATACTAGTAAATTAAAATATGTTTGTATAGACATTCCAAATAGTAAGAAGTTAATGACGCAAGCGCGCATTCCATGCTAATATTCTTTTGTGTCCTTTGTATTTTTTTTTTTTGTTGTGTTAAATATAAGTTAAAATGGAACTGCGTGTGTGGAAAACATTATTGTTGCAGTGGGTAAGTTTTCCGTCTAACCATAAAAAGAATCGAACTATAGAGAGAACCGGCTAATCATTAAGAGAAGATGCAAACATATCTAATGCACTATTTTTTTTTTTCCTAAATGTAGGTGCAAAAATGCAATTTCATAGAAAACATTTCATGTCTCGAAGATTCTGATATTGAGGCATTTTTTGCCAATATGCAGTATGCTGGAGTTGAACTAGCCACCAAACAGCCGGAGTCGCCCCTAAACATTACCCCGTTTCTGGGGTCACTAAAAACATTTCTTCAAGGTATGTGTACATTTGAAGATCAGCATCGAATATAGCTCATATATATCATGTATATTTATATATGTCATTAAATATAATTTGCAGATAACTATCCAGATTTTGAGCCACATTTTGAGCACGATGGCCGCATAGCAAACGAAGATTACATTTATGTGTACACACTTCTTATGCACTACACGTGCATTCAGAGTCCGATCACATATTTTCATAATATCTGCAACGATTTACCGAAAACAATGCAGCAGTGCATCGTTGTATTCTTCGAGCAGATTGTCAACGACCCGGAGCTGACTCGCAATCGTTTGCGCCGGATCATTCGCAATATTCGGGAAGATGCTGAAATAAATACAAACAGTTCAGTGTCGGCACTGGCCAGCAGCACGACGGACTCGACGCCAATCGACAATGATGCGATTGGGTGTGCGAATCCTGTGACGCCGTCGCCCGTCCAAAAAAAGCTGCACAGTTTATGTGACTCCAGCCAAATGCCGGTTCCGTCAACACCAAGAACTGAGCTGCTCGAACAGCGTACGCGTGAGCTGCTTGGATTGAGGGTAAGAGCGGGTGATGGTGTGCTAATTTCCGTATAATTACATTTAAATTACATTTGCAGGCTGAGTTGGCAACGGAGCGGTATGAAAAGACTTTTCTAGAGGAGCAAATCATAGAAGACGAAAAATTGATTAATTCGCTTAGTGAAAGTATGAGAAATTTTACACATGTACGTATTGTGCCTTTAAATTTTTATTTGTTTTAAAATTGTAGGGAACAAGCAATTGGCCCAGATGAAAGCCGTCCTTCAAAAAGAAAACGACGAGGAAAATTGCGCGAATAGCATTGTGACCAATGAAGTAGACAACGTAAGTAAAACTAAATATATCCGGTGGCACACAGGTAGAACGGACTGATGTATTAGCCAATGCGCCTACCTGTATCAGCATTTATTATTTGTTTACCACTACCTGGAATGAATTACAGCTAAAGCGACAACTTCAAAAGGAGCTAAGCAACAAGGATGATATTATTGCCGAACGCGACGAACAGATGCTTGAGCTGAAAGCCAAACATGACAAAGTTTCTGCCAAGGTAAGTACGAATAGTTCTCAGTAGTATCTAGAATACTATAATATTCTGTCAGCTATGTTTTATCTGCGTACACCTTGGTACAACTGAAAATAGTAACTTATTTTTAGGTATTTATACAGAACAAGTGGATTTAGAATTTATAGGCATCTTGTTGTTTGCAAAAAGACATTTAGTACCCGCTGTATCATATATGATTTAAATAATGTCAATTCTGACATTCGGAATATAACATAAATAAGTCATAAATATATCATGTTCAGAAATTAATTTTCTTATGAAATTCTTTTTCCACAGCTGAAGCTTTCAGAGAAACAGTTGCGGGTCTGTATTGAGAAAATAAATGTACTGGAGCTGCATTCGGAGAGCTTTGCTCCCATGTTGACCATAAAGGAGGAGACCATTGCCTGTCTGCAGCGCGACAAACTGGAGCTAGAACAGTGTCTAAAAGAGACTCGTGACGAGCTGCATAAGGGACGCGAGGTGCTGAATGCTTCATCGGATCTGCTGGATACCTCACAGTCGGCCAGCAGTATGAATACCACACCGGAAACCCTGGCTTGCTCCGTTATAGATAAACAATTGCGCGAGAAGGAGCAGGAGAATGAAGAACTGCGTGAGCAACTGACGTCCATCAGGGTGGCAACTGCATGCATTGTGGATGGCATTTTAAAGATCGCACAGCAGCATCAAGTGGAGATACCAACAAAACCCAATGATGATGTGCAACTCTTAAACTTAATTCGGCGCAGTATGGAGAAGTTGTCCTCTAGCTTTGTGCAAGAGGAGCAACGTGTGAAGGAACTGCAGGATCAGTTCAACATACAGATTCAGCAATGTGCGCACCACGAAGAGAACATTCAGCATCTAAAGAACAACGCTGAGAAGCTGGCTAAGGAGTTAGAGGACAGTCAGTCCAACTTGAAGACTAGCAATGAGAAGTTACAGAATAACGAAATTGAAATCACGAAAAAAGATAAGGAACTTCTGCAGCTGAGCGAAGAATTGATTAAATTCGGCAATCAAGAACGTACTCTACAAGATCGCATTGCCACTGAATCCGAACTATCACTTAAGCAGTGCCAGATGCTGTCCGAGCAAGAGAAGATTATTCAAACTCAGGAATTAAAGTTGGCTGAGCAGCAGGCGAAGCTAACCGACGCTCAAAATCAGTTGAAACGTTTCCTTGACCGAGTCAGTGCCCAAGTTAATACGAAGATAGCTTCAATGTCAAGCGGCGAAAACGGCTTAAAGGAAGTGGAAAATGTGCTGATGAGAATGTGCAATCAATTGGAAGAGTCCAAGGTGGAGATGGCTGCCAAATGTGAACAGCTCACTGCTCAAGACCACTTTTTGATGCAAATGCTAAAAACACTCAATGCACACATCGAGCAACCAATCGGTCCTAACAACATTGTAACTCTTCCCAAAAACCTTCAATTCTTGAACATGAAACTTGCCCTGTTCGTCTCGAAATATGAGCATCTCCACGCTAAATGTAATTCTTTGGAAAGTGATAATCTGCAGACGGTAGAAAATATGAGGCAGCTAGTAAGCGAGCTGGAAGAAAATACCATAATACGTAAGCAATTGGAAAAGCAGTGCGATGAGCTAATGCAGCAAATGCAGCAGAAGTCTGAGGAATGCGAAAAAATAACTCAACAGTTGCAAAGTGAGAAAGCAAACAAGACTACCATTCAAAGCGAACTTGGCAAAGAGTTGCAGACGCTAAAGCTGACGTGTCAGGATTTGAAAATGACCAAGGAGCAACAGTTGCTCGACCGAGAATCTCTCCAAAAAGGTTTGCAAAAGCAGTGCGATGAGCTAATGCAGCAACTGCAGCAGAAGTCTGAGGAATGCGAAAAGATAACTCAACAGTTGCAAAGTGAGAAAGCAAACAAGACTACCATTCAAAGCGAACTTGGCAAAGAGTTGCAGACGCTAAAGCTGACGTGTCAGGATTTGAAAATGACCAAGGAGCAACAGTTGCTCGACCGAGAATCTCTCCAAAAAGGTTTGCAAAAGCAGTGCGATGAGCTAATGCAACAACTGCAGCAGAAGTCTGAGGAATGCGAAAAGATAACTCAACAGTTGCAAAGTGAGAAAGCAAACAAGACTACCATTCAAAGCGAACTTGGCAAAGAGTTGCAGACGCTAAAGCTGACGTGTCAGGATTTGAAAATGACCAAGGAGCAACAGTTGCTCGACCGAGAATCTCTCCAAAAAGGTTTGCAAAAGCAGTGCGATGAGCTAATGCAGCAACTGCAGCAGAAGTCTGAGGAATGCGAAAAGATAACTCAACAGTTGCAAAGTGAGAAAGCAAACAAGACTACCATTCAAAGCGAACTTGGCAAAGAGTTGCAGACGCTAAAGCTGACGTGTCAGGATTTGAAAATGACCAAGGAGCAACAGTTGCTCGACCGAGAATCTCTCCGAAGAGGTTTGCAAAAGAAGTGCGATGAGCTAATGCAGCAACTACAGCAGAAGTCTGAGGAATGCGAAAAGATAACTCAACAGTTGCAAAGTGAGAAAGCAAACAAGACTACCATTCAAAGCGAACTTGGCAAAGAGTTGCAGACGCTAAAGATGACTTGTCAGGACTTGGAAATGACCAAGGAGCAACAGTTGCTCGACCGAGAATCTCTCCGAAGACGTTTGCAAAAGAAGTGCGATGAGCTAATGCAGCAACTGCAGCAGAAGTCTGAGGAATGCGAAAAGATAACTCAACAGTTGCAAAGTTCGAAAGCAAGCAAGACTACCATTGAAGGTGAACTTGGCATGGCGCTTCAGAAGCTCGAGCTGGCGGAGAAGACTAAGGAGCAACAGTTGCACGATCGAGAATCTCTTATAGAAGATTTGCAAAAGAAGTGCGATGAGCTAATGCAGCAACTGCAGCAGAAGTCTGAGGAATGCGAAAAGGTAACTCAACAGTTGCAAAGTGAGAAAGCAAGCAAGACTACCATTGAAGGTGAACTTGGCATGGCGCTTCAGAAGCTCGAGCTGGCGGAGAAGACTAAGGAGCAACGGTTGCACGATCGAGAATCTCTTATAGAAGATTTGCAAAAGAAGTGCGATGAGCTAATGCAGCAACTGCAGCAGAAGTCTGACGAATGCGAAAAGATAACTCAAGCATTGCAAGTGGAGAAAGCAAGCAAGACTACCATTCAAAGTGAACTTGGCATGGAGCTTCAGAAGCTGGAGTCGGCGTGTCAGGCGTTGGAAATGATCAAGGAGCAACAGTCGCACGAGCGAGAATCACTCGTATTGGATATACAAAAACTGCACGATGAACTGAAAGTTAAGAAGCTGAAAATTTTGACGGTTGAAGAGGAGCAAAATCGGCAGTTGGTGCAAAAGAACACTGTCGAGAAGGAACTGGAAACAGTCAAGGCAACGCTTGCACAACGGGAGCTACAACTGGAGCAAAGTAAAACGCAGCTGGACACTTACACCAAGCGCTTGGAGAGAACAGTCATTAAGCTGGGGGAACAGCAAGCTGTTGTATCCAAAACTCAACGTGAATTAGTTCAGATCAAGTTCGCACAGGAGGAGCAAGCAAAACTTCTCAATGCAATGCAACATGAGAAGGAGGGCTTGCAGTTGGAACTGCGAACAAGCAAGGAGCGTGCAAATCGATCGGAGGAGAAGCTGTCTAGCCTAGAACAGCAGTACATGAAGATACAGAGTTTAGAGCAGCAGCAAGAGCGGAAGATAAAGCTTGAGAAAGTGCGCGACATTGCTGACAAGAAGATGATTTTGGTAACCGAGGAGGAGAATACCCGTCTGCGCCTTCAGATTGGCGCCCTAAACTCGGACATTGTACAGCAACAGAAGCGAATTGGGGACTTAACTGACGAACTACAACTGGCCAACGATACCATTGCTAAAGTGAGGCAGGAGCTGGAGGCGAATAAGGCGCTGCAGTGTGATTTGGATGATAAGTTGAAACATCTGAAATCTGAGTGCGAAAAGGCAAACGAACGCGAATCGCATTATCAGCGCAAACTGAAGGCACTGAAGGACGAGCTAGAAGAGAGCCTTGCCGATAATATTGATATTCGCAACAGCAAGGAAACCATGCTGGACACTTTGCACAAGGAGAATCGCATGGTACTGGACCAAATGAATAAGCAGAAGGCTAAAGAACATCAGATGGAGCTCGATTGCCAGATATTGCAGGCCAAGTATCGCGATGCGAAAGAAGAGATTGGTCGCTGTGAGCAAAAACTCAAGGATCAGCGTCTCGAAATGGAGGGCAAATTAGAAAAGATGAAATCCAAAATGGTAAGTACACGTTTGATGCGTTCCGTATTATGTATTTCCGTACTGTATGGCATGGTGGCATTAACTGGCGCCGGGGTTGCCAAATACCTCTTGCGTCATCACAACTGTTGCCATGTATTTTAATGCTAGGCGTTCTTTACAAGCCCAATATGACATTGTAAGAAAGGTGAGCCTAAAATGCAGTCTTCAAAATACCAATATTTATTTGTGATCATATCATCATCATACATGAATTGTGGCAGCACATTTCCTTCATTTCTATTGGCAACTGAGTCGACAGTTTAACCATTTCTATTGTTATTGCTTACTGTGCGCCAATTTTTGTGGTAAATTTGTAATTCAAATGATGTATTAATTGAGTATAGATAAGTCCATCAATATTATTATGAAATCTTTAACTTTTAACTGTATTTACTGCGATTAATGATTGGTGAGCAAATCTTAAAGTAATAATATAAATGAAAATACATTCATTAAAAACTGCAACGCTATCTTTTATTCGTGTCATATGAGCTAGAGACGTCACAACTATTGCGATTATATGTATATAATGTTTAGTTGTAAGTTTGCATGGTCTTTTCATTTTGCTATCTCTTTAAATACTGGGTGGTAGCGTCGTAGTGTATACCTTTTCCTATATTGTTGTTGTTGTGAGTGTGTGTGTGTGTGTGTTGTGTGTTAGTTCTGCTTCTACAGTTTTTACAGGCATCATCGACGGGGAGAAGGGATATACAAACAATGAAATAAGTAGATTAATGTGCTTCTTATCAAATGGAATTTTAAACTATTTTTCTCTGTTTCCTCTTCTCTTCCATTTTCACTCTCTATCACAACAACACGCATAATAATAATAATAATAATTAAAAATACAACTGTCATTTCAAGAAATTCAAGGCCAAAAGTCTCATATCGTTAGATTTAAGTCAGTTGGGTAAATACGAGAAGCGCACACAAACACACACAAACGCAGAGGGAACTTCTTTCAAGAAAGTCGACAGTTCGTACCACATTATCTGTTTCAAATGTTTGATTATGCTGTTGTTTCTCTTGAGCATAACGTATATAATATTTTTGAGCAACAATGTTTATATCGATGTAAAGTCTAGAAAACCAATTGAGTTTTAGACACAAAAGCGGAGGAATCACTCTTTTTTTTGTTGTTTTTTTTTTTTTAATTTGTTATGTCTTATTATTGAACGAGTATACTTGTATTAGTCTAGGTTTAGTTAGTTAGCTGTCCAGTGACTTGGCATTGTGACCGTTATTGGCCAACGAAGTCCGTTTCGTTTTCATGTTTGTTCTCTTTGTCGATGTCGTTTTTCCCCCTTTTTGTCTTTACTTAACACCCACAACTTACTGCTCACTGCTCACTGTTCGCTACTAACACCACTACGCTATCGTGTCTCAAACCACACAAACTGACAACTGTAGCGGGCATTGTACAAGGCGGAAGTGATCCGAATGAAGGAGAAGCAGGAGCGCGATGCGACCAGCAACAAGGCGGAACTGGAAAAACTGACTGCACAGGTAAGTTGATTATGTCGTTATGTTAATAGTATCGTTGTATCATAATATAATAATATTTTCCAGAACAACAAGTATGACGAACATACGCGTGCTCTATCTGCTCAGATTGTGCGTCTGAACGAAATCATTTTGGAGCAACAAAAGCAGCATGCCATACTCAGCACCAAGCTGCGCCACCTACACGAGACCGAATCGGCGGCTTCCGCTTCTTCTCCCAGCGATGACTGGCACCCGTTTAAGCGGCCAAGCGCCCCATCTGCCAATCTGGGCAGCAATCTGGCCATGGAAGATGAGGAGGGTGAGGTGTTTAATAACACCTACCTCACAGATCTTAAGCTTGGCCGTGTCCCGGACATAACGTAAGTGCCTGTTACTTGTGCATTAACAACAATTTGTCGCTTATCTGCATCCCATCTTTTTCCGCACAAATAGCACTGAAGAATTGCAATATCGCAACTCGTTGCAACCGCCGCATTTGAAGAGCACATATGCGGCACAGTATGACTTGGGTAGCCAAGAAAGCGATCTCAAAGTAAGCATTAACATGGGTCGCGCTGCCGCCGGAGAAGCAGCAAACACAAATAAACAACAATAACAACAACATCAACACCCATAGGAGCAGCTCCCCGCTCGGAATTCCGCTCAAGGCACAAGTGCACGCAAAGTGGTTACAATTGACATGTAGCTTATAGAATCTATTTAGACAGCAGACGACTATCAAAGTCAGACCACTTGCATATGTATGTTTAAGATCCTCTCCATCCCGTTCCAATATGTGTCCTGTTGTTTCTGTGTTGTTTATCGTTAAATGTTGATGTTGATGTTGATGTTGATGTTAATGCGTCTGTTTCTGTTCAAAATCATTTACTGAGAATGAAATTGAGAATGTATTTATTGTATTGTGTTCTCACCCCCAACAGGACGGGCCACATGGCCTGGACGACAGCATGAGCGCGCTGCTGAGCACAACGGGTGGCAACTGTACCGGTACGCGTAAAAAGTCGATGGGTACACATTACAAGCGGCCAGGTCCACCAACGCCAAGTAAAAATGGTGGGCGACTTTCATTTGGAAGCTCGGAACCAGCGCGTGAAATATTGCGCGAAACCTATGACAATAATGGTAGCACCAAGACGCCGGCGCGCTTCAAAATCTTTGCGTCACGGTTCAGCATGGGCAGCAGCGGCGCCACTGGTGGTGGTGGACAATGCCTGCCACGCGACGAGGTAAGTAGTAAATAGTGTATTTTTGATGTTCTGTGCTGGTGCGTGGTTGCGATTTGTGTTTTGTTAGTTTGTTGGAAAACATATATAGGTACAAACTGTGTTAACTGCCAGTCATCGTTGTCGTCCGTCGTCCTTGTGATTGTTTTGTAGCTAGTACTACAACGGGTCATTTACAAAAACGCTGTGCTCCTTCACAGCAGCGGCACTCTCATCGTAAAAAAAAAGTGTTGCCGCTAAATCAACGCCGCAATCCGCGCCTGCGAGAAGAGGGCGTTTTTTGCACCTCGACGCCGCGCACGAGTCGCTCCTACTTCGATAATTTGCGTCGAAATCTGCTATCTGATGCGGCGATAGTGGCTCAACAGGAGGTTCAAGAAGGCACCACACCACATTTATCCAACGCTATGCCCCTAATAATGAATAACCCCCAGGTCCGCAGGCTGACCTTGTGCAGACGGCCTCCAGTGTCATCCGCCAGTTCAACGGCCAGCGGTGTCTCATCGCACAATAGGCGCAAGCGAAAAAGCACTGCACGAAAATCCGTGTGCCCGCATGGAAATATTTTTGTAATGGACAGGCGACGTGGCGTGTTGCCGGCAACGGGAAGTCAGCAGCGCTTGCAGCAGCGCACCAAGGGAAAACAAAATCGCATTCAATGCTTTGATCAGGCTAGGCATATGGGCGACAATAGCAGCGAGATCGAATCCGAGTCGGAGCAAAAAACCAACGATAACAACAATTATAGCAGCCACAATCGCAATAAAGCAACATACTCCAACTTGACGGAGCTGGAGGAGTCGCAACAGCCGCAGATGGCGCTGGACGTCACGCAGGAGGGCAACAACTATATACAACAACTACATCAACAATTTGAAGCGGATCATGTTTGCGCATGGCTTAATGGCGCCGCCAACGTCTCTGCCGCCAATGCCACTGAGCATAGCCACGATTTTCACTTTGACCAGCTATGCCTTCAAACCGAATCGACAGCTCCGTTTGAGCTGCAGCCGCTGCAATATGATGAATTACCATCAAACACTGAGCAACAAAATGATGTTGGAGCGATCGTTTTGCCAACTAATATCACTGCCATCAGCACATCGAACGTCAGTTACACGACCAACGTCTCGTCGTGTCAATCGTGGACCACATTATCTTCGGTTGCCGTCCGTTCCCATGCCTTGCCGGAGGTCACTTTGATGCCCTGCAAGCACTCCAGTACCGCTCCAGAGTGGCGAGTGGTGTATCAGCCGCATGCCAATATTTTATCGCAACTCGGGCATTGCATTGGTATCAGAAAATGTCTAGTGCTTGTAGTGTTCATACTTTTGATATTGATGTTCCCCAGCAAAATGAGCATCTCAGCAGCTATAGGAATATTACTTGTATACCTGATTGTCGAGCGCTTCTACAGATAGCGGATGTGTGACGCAGTTTGACGACAGCAGGGGCATCATGCACATACATACAGAAATCAATTTTCAATTCAAGTGTTTCAAGTGTTATGTATAATTTGACATTAATAAATTCCGTTATATTCCACTACAGAACTCGCCACCCAAACGACGCCTCAGCAATATATTTAAACGCAAGTAGGCGTGCTTCACAGCCCAGCCATTGAGATCACAAAACCTTAAGCGTCCTTTTGTACAGTTGAACTCGGGTTGAATGGCACCCAGCAGAGTGGAAAAAGCTGAAAATAATTCGATTATCATATTAATTTATAGCTTAAGTCAATTAGCATATTCAGTATATATTTTGCTTATAGGATATCCATTACTTATATTATAATTTTTTTTTGTTTTTGCATTTGATAAAATGATATGTTAATAGATTACCCAATGTCTTCGAAATATGTCAATGAAATATGATAAACGTTGCTTATGCCATCTATGTAGATTTTCATGTTTGTATGTATATAATTTTGTATGCTTCTTTGACACGTCAAATGATGCGATAATGCCATATTTTCCATACTTTTTTCATGCAACAATAAATTGATCGGTCAACCAGAAAAATTGTACACATATCAATAATGTATATATAAGAATGCATAGTTTCATATTACTAATTCCACATGTTATTAAGTTACTTTCATTAAATCTATCTTATATATATATATGCAAATATATACATATATATATATATATATAATTCATAAATTTATTTAATTCTTTCTGTTTTGTCATCCGACCAAGCAGGTTCGTTTTTGATACAAAGGAACCTTTTTACTCAATTAAGCTTTGTTTTCTCTTAATTGTCCATTATAAGCAGTAGTGGCAATAAAAAATATATGCATACAGTTAATAGTTCAAAAATCAGGTGACATTATGCTTGCTGCGTGTAGTTTAATCAAATATTAAACCAGTTTGGAAGAGCAAGGCGAGCAGGAGGCTCGCTCGCCACATGCAAGGTAACAAACTGATTGAATGAATGGCGCTTACCGAGTCAAGCCGATGCCTACATTACGTGCTACATTTGCGCAACAGCGTCAACAATTATGAGTGAAACTGTGCGAAGTCCACAATAACAAATTGTTTGTTTTGATTTTGCATTTTTTCTTTTTTTTTGGGCGTGCAGCGCATTTATGACGCGGATGGCGAACGGCGACTGCTGACTGGCGAAAACAACTGCTATTGCGTCGTCTTCGCCATTTGCATTTCCCGCTGGAAACAAGAGCTGCTGTACTGTACATATATGCATATGTAGGCATATACCTTCTATAATTACAAAAATTAACAGCAATTCGTAAAAAAGCTAGAGGGATGGTCTTGATAGTTAGACAGTATGATAAAGGATCCTACTCCTGGTCTAGTTGCTGCACGAAATTATTAACTGATTGAATATCCTCTTGTTATCAAGGGGGAGCACTAGCTACTTAAGTTCATTAAAATATATTTTAAAAAAATATTGTTGTTGTTTATCAAACTAAAAATCTGGTTCCAAGTCAGACCAGTCCGACCAGGGTTTTTTTTTGTTGTTTTGTATTTTTTTTCTCCACTGCCAGTATTCAAATCAGAGTTAGGCCCGAGTACAATCCGAAGTTTCATTAGTTGTTGTTCTTTGGCTCGGCCCTCCCGAGGCGCGTGTTGTGATGTGTGTGCCATATATACATGTTTGTATATATATATATATATGTATGTCTTACAATATCGTATTTATATCAAATCATTATGATTATAAAGCGGCCAAGCGACGCAGCCAGAACCGATAAAAGCACCAAGAGATCAGCCAAGTAAGTCAGTGTTGTCGCAGCGACCTAATATACCTTGATAGCCACGCCTCCTACGTTAAAAATCTAAAACCCCACCCCAAATCTCTTGCATCTCTAATGCTAGTCTGGAATGACAAACAGGACACTAACTTTACATTCATTTGAATTTGGGAGCTCGGATATCGTTTAACGCCCTGGCAATCGACTAATTGGATTTTGAGTTTTCTCTTGCCATATATTTTTTTTTCTTTGTTTTGTGCGTGGACATTTTTGAACGCCTGCCTGGTGATAATGCCCAGTAGTGTTGCCAACGAAGGCTACAAGTTTCAGAGCAGCCGCAGTAGCCCAAGCGGCTCCCCGGCAACAGTTCCTGACGACGTTGAGGTTGTGGACGAGGCACTCACCCTGCTGCAACTGGAGACTCAAACAATTCCCCAGGATGTTGCTGTGCCGGCTCGGAGCAGAGCGGGATGGCAGATTAAAGGTTCCTCACTGTCCCTCAATACGCACAATCGCATTCGTAATATTGTCGAATCGCTGAAGATTAATCCGAATCCACAGAAGCCCATGATACCGTTGTCCATAGGTGAGTAATTAGCTAGTAAGTAAATGTTCAACATACCCATTAAGGAGTTCTTTTTTCTTATAAGAATGACATTATGTCTTCAATTTTAGTTATTTAGTTTAGTTAGTTTAGATATGTACATTCAAATATGTATTTTTATTTGATGTCCCAAATTCATCCTGGCTCATTTATGTTAGGTAGAAATGTGTGTTTATTCGGTTGCCAGATGAGCCCATTCCGTTTAAGTCGTGCTTGAATCTTATTGGTTGATTTTTGAGCCCCTTTCCAGAACATTTCGAATTCTTTGCAGAGCTAAAAATATGCGCATGCGCAGGGAATTTAAAATTTAAATAAAATATGTAATACATTGTTATATGTTATTCGATCGAGTTGCTTTTAATTAATTTCGAAATTAATAATTCAATTGAGTGAATCAAAGTGAGCACATGGATATCAGTCTGCAAGCGTGTGTTATCTTCGGCGAGACAAAGAAATCAGTTCTTGCTTGTTTTAATATAAAGTTGTGATATTTGCCGTTTATTTTTTAACGTTAAAATGCTGAAACTTGTTTGCTTAAATCGGCGACATGAATTCATTTCTTTTGGAGCCGCTTCTCTGTCCGATATTTGCAATGTCCAAATACATATATGCATATAAAGTATATAATTTGTATATGGTCCACACAAGCATATACAAAAACTCAACCAATCAGTTGAGGTTGCAAGCACCGGATTGTTTTTGCAAATACTGCTACTATCTTGAGAAAAACAATTTTATATTAATATGCATTTATGTGACTAGCGATTCTCGAATTAATTTATTTAATATTGCCAGATGGGCCGATGTTTGTATGTATAAGCTCTGAATCCGAGGTCTGGACAGTTGTTGTTACATATTGTTATTGTTTTTGTCACGGCGCACGCTCGTTTTTGATGCATTTGCATAAAATGTAGTTTCACCTGTTTGGAGAATTGAGTAGCAAGATCCAGAATCGAATTTGATTAGAATTCAAAATGTAGCCGGTATATTACAGGTATAGTTATCACAGTCACGCCCCCCGCTCCAATATCTCCCACATGGGATTCAACGAGGCGGAAACTTGGCAAATGTGTCGAACGAGTTTAGGACTGGATTGTGGAAAGTATATAGATATGTGAGGATATGTATATATACTTATACACATATAAACACGCGCACACATACACACACACACGACTAGATATTGGTTTAAATAATTTTTATGTCTAAATTCTAATTTAAAACAAAACCGGGATTAATACGACAAATTGGGTAAGAGAGGGAGACAGAAAATAGCACGGGCAATTTAAATAATTAGTAATTTAACAACAGATTTAAGCTAAGGTGTTCAATATATTGAATCGATTTCGAAAAAATGGAGAGTCAATGAAAAGATAATGAAACAAGATATAATGAACTCTATAAAAATGAAATGATTGATTGTATTGTTTTTAATGTACTTTGGCATTACATTAACAACTAAACCAATTAATCAAATCCTTTTCCTTTGAAATGTACATAAATATGGAAAAGTGAATTTAACCACAAAACTTTTTAAAGATATTTCAGAATTTAATTGACAGCCAGTATGAATAAAGTTTGAGAAAATGTGAGGCTTTCTTTCTGCACTGTTATTCTATAACTTGATAAAGGTGCTATTATCTGATCCACAGGCGATCCCACCACATTTGGTAATCTGAAGGCCGCCGATGAAACGATGAAGGCGGTGATGAAATCCCTGGAGAGCGGCAAGTTCAATGGCTATGCCCATACTCAGGGGCACGAGGCGTCGCGTCAGGCGGTGGCCAAGTATAGTGCTCATCAACGGCCGAATGGGGTGATCGATCCAAGTGATATCATGCTCTGCAGCGGCTGCTCCTCGGCACTCGAGTATTGCATATTGGCGTTGGCCGATCGCGGCCAGAACGTGCTCGTGCCGCGGCCAGGCTTCTGTTTGTACTATACACTTGCCGAGGGCTTGAACATTGAGGTGCGCTACTATGACCTGTTGCCGGAGCAGCAGTGGCGCGCTGATCTTGTCCAGCTGGAGAGTCTCATCGATGAGAATACGGCCGCATTGCTAATCAACAATCCAAGCAATCCGTGTGGCAGCGTCTTCGACAAAGCCCATCTGCAGGAACTAGTTAACATTTGCGAGCGCCATTATCTGCCCATCATTGCCGATGAGGTGAGTGAGAATTAAACCTAGACACCCATGTTCACCTATGTAAATGTGTGTGATTTCAGAGATTCGTTCGAGAATTGAACCTATAGGCTGCTTTCTGAAATGTGTATATTAATCTGTATATTAATTCTGGCTATTTGGATATTTTCTTTCTTTGTGTCTTAGATATATGAACACTTTGTGTTCCCAGGCTCGCGACACGTGGCGGTCAGCAGTCTGACGCGGGAGGTGCCTGTGCTGTCCTGTGGCGGGCTGACCAAACGTTTTCTGGTACCTGGCTGGCGTATGGGTTGGATTATCGTGCACGATGATCAGCAACGTCTGGGAACTGCCAAGTCCGGGCTCAAGAACATGTGTGGACGCATCCTTGGCAGCAATACGATCATTCAGGGCGCACTTTCTGATATACTTACCAAAACGCCACAGAGCTACTTTGACGGAGTGATCGATGTGCTCTATGTAAGTGATCATGTCTAGCTCTCATCCGTTAAAGAATGTCACTTATTTATGCTACTGCTTGTGCCCTTAGTCAAATGCTCAACTCGCCTACAATTTGCTTAAGCCGGTGCTGGGACTGAAACCCGTAATGCCCAACGGAGCCATGTACATGATGGTTGGTGTCTGCATCGAGCGTTTTCCGGCCTTTAAGGATGACACACACTTTGTGCAGGAGTTGGTCAACGAGCAGAGTGTGTTTTGTCTGCCCGGCAGTTGCTTCGAATTTCCGGGATATGTGCGCATTGTGCTCACGGTACCACGCAACATGATCGAGGAGGCCTGTGTCCGCATCGCTGAGTTCTGTGAGGCGAACTACAAGAAGGATAACCAAGCACTGATCGAGGAAAGCCTGCTAGACGATGCCCATGTGCACTACTAGGACTCGGTTGTGGATTGTGGACCGTGGAATATGGGATGGAATAACATAAATGGGAACTAGAATTGGAACCATTATTGAAACTGGGGAGCAATTTATTTATTAGATGCCCTAGGCTACAGTTTCTCGGTTTCTATACATACATACATTTATAAGTACATATATATTTCAATAAAAACCTATACGTATAATATAAGGAGTATTGTCTTGACAAATTTTTTGTGGAATTGAAACACACAGACGCATAAGAGTTTGAAAGAGTCCAAGAGTCATTTACAAAGAAAGCTATATGTGTTTTAAAAATGTTTAAACAACTTTTTGTTTAGCTTGATCGGTTATACATAAGTGGCAATATATGTATGTATGTGAACAGCACAAGCGTTCGATCTGCATAAATAAATAAGCACTAGCAGTTTTCTGCATGTATATTTAGTTAGTGTAAAAAGTACTTATGAATCTTATGATGGCAGTCTGCAACAGTAGCAAAAGTCTAAGTGTATGGATTAATAATTATTGCTCAAAATTATGAATGCTACTGAATGCAAACTTATCGTATATATTTCTGCATTATCGATGTATGGTGAATTATGTTTTGAATGAGCAATAACTATGAGCATTTAGTAGCGATATCTACATGTGATGCGGATGCATTTTCTTTTCCATTTCAACTTCGACGCGAGCCTCATCAATGCCAGCAACGGTGGGTAGTCCACCTGGCCAATGCAACAGATCCTCCTCGTGCTCCATTATCATATTCGCTTCGGCTGTGATAAGTGCAGTAAATTGATTTCTTTGAATTTTAACGATGTTATTTGATAGTTTTAGTATTCACCCTGAATGCGATGCAGTTTGCTGCCATAGGCCCAGTCCGTATAGTATCCCATGACAAATGTGAGTGGCAGCAGCGGTGCCAAAACTGTGGCACGCTTCACCCGCTGGTAGTAGCTGGCACAGCCATACAGAGCGGTCAGGTAGAAGCCGCTCATCCAGTAGAAGAGTTCTCGATGCTGGGCAATGGCCAGGGCCTGTTCCCGTTGCTTGATTTGATAGTGCATCTGTATCCAGCGTTCCATCTGCATTGTTTACACTATTGTAAGCAGCACTGGTACATGTATAGGTTATGTAAATGAGGTGTACGGGACTTGCCTTCAATTCCTGGCATTTGCGGTATGCCGGATCATCATGGCCGGGATAGCTTAGACTAGACGATTTCTTAGACGAGGCCGAAGCGCCCATTTTTGTTTAGATTTAGCCAATGCTGAATGGAAACTCAAACGCGCTCCACTTTGCACTTTCTGCTGTCACGCTGCTACTGTTGTCATCGACCCATTGCTGCACTGCGAGAAACGCTGAAGCTTTTTCAATCACAAGAACCAATCAAATAAAAATTATGATAAGATTTTTAATAATTTGCCAACGGTTTGTACAGCTAGTCATATTTTAAATTAATATTGGATACATTCAAGAAGTGTTCTCTGAACAAGCAATCTACATTTTGAAATTCGTTTCAATCAATATTCAAGCAGACGTAAAAGTTATTTTTTCCGGTGTTTCACTGCGCAAACGCCATCCTCAACACCCGCTTGGTATCTGACAGAATGGCAGCTGTCAGATATTTGGCTGACTAAAGCTAGGCAAGACACTGCCCGACTGCCAGCCTGCTCGACTGTTCGCCTGCCCGATTGTCGGAGTGGCCCACCCGTTCGTTTAGTATATCTTTGCATTCGTCGTTTTGCTGTTCTCAGCAGCGCGTGATTTCCGTACAAAAGTGCAACTGTTTTTGTTTAAATTTTCGTTGCTATTGTTTTTGGCATAGAATGTAAGGAAAGTGTTGTATTGCCTGTAATTGTTGTCGTTAAATTTGTTGTTTGCAAAGAAGTTGCATTCAGTTTATTGTTGTTGACATATACATATATATATATATATATATGTATATATAAATATATATATTAAGTAAATATATATATTAAGCATTATGCACCCAACCTGAAACGCCTCCTAAATGGGTCTTTGTGATAGGGATAGGATACGCGCGAACTTGGCCAAAATCGAAAAGTATGTAAGCATAAGTATGCTATGTAGATATTTACTTGTGTATGTATGTATGTATGTATATGCGTGTACATACATAAGCATAATATATATGTACACACTTATGTATGTATTTGTGCGTGTCCTTCTCTCATGTCCCATTATTGGGGGTTGCAAATGTTGTGCACGGTTCGTCAAAATGTTTTCGAACGTACATACATACATATGTAAATTATGACAGAATGTGGCCAATCTAGTTGTTGTCTCGCTCAAAATGAAAATATCATAATAATTAATAAATCATAAATAAATAAAACAGAAACAGAAACAGGAACAGGAACAGGAGCACAGTCCAGTAGGAGTCATTGGTGGCCCACTGCACTTAACAACGGTCACGGGACAGGAGCAGGATGCGCTGTTTGAATGATTGACCGCTTACAGATTCGTCGCTTGGGTGCAGCTGCTAGAAATAAACGCACGGGAGGCGGCGGCGGCAGCTTTCATTCAGCCAGCGGCATCACAACACCGGCGACGGCCAGCACCAGTTCCTCCAGCGGCAACAGCTTAACACCACAGCAGCATCAGCACTCCCTGCCATCATCCCACCATCCTCACCAGCATTCACAGCACTCGCATCTGCGCAGCTCCCAGCAGCATTCGCAGCAGCAGCTCAGTCACTTCACCTTCAATCCATCGCCGGGCAGCAGTCCTGGCAACGGTTTGGGCACACGTCAAGATGCGTCCAGCGCCCTCAATAGTCCGACAACCATTGTGAACTCGGGCAGCGGCAGTGGTGGCGGTAGCAGCACTGCCTACGGCATGCATCCTCCGGCTGGAGGATCATCGATAGCAGCAGCACCACCACCGACAGCCACGTCGACAGCCGCGAGCAATGCCCACAACAATGGAGCGGGCGGGCCGCCTTGCCCCGTGGGTGGTGGCCTCAATCTGCTGGGTGGCATCGGAGGATTGGGCGGTGGTGCCGCTTCCGCTGGCATGGGCATATGCGGCGGTATCAGCAGTACGGTGGGCAGCGCTGCCATTACGGGTGTGCCGCCAATTGGACTGGGCATCGCCACTGGTATCGGCAATAAAATTATGCTGGGCCGCAAACAAAGCCTTAAGGGTGGCGAGCCCTTTCTAGCCGATTACGGGCCAGAGGAATCGCTCAACGAAAGCGCCGACATAGAATGGGTGAATAAACTCTGGGTGCGTCGTCTGATGCGCCTTTGCGCACTTGTCTCGCTGGCGTCCGTTTCGCTGAATACGCCGAAGACGTTTGAGCGTCATCCGTCGTTGCAGTACATCACCTTTGTATCGGATACGGCGGTGACGTTCCTCTTTACGGCCGAGATGATTGCCAAAATGCATATTCGTGGCGTTCTAAATGTGAGTTACAGTTACAGTTACAGTTACAGTTGGTTGCAGCCTTCAAAGTACTTATACCCATTCATTACTGGCATAGGGCGAAGTGCCTTATTTAAAGGATCATTGGTGTCAGTTTGATGCCTCCATGGTTAGTTTTCTCTGGGTCTCCATCATACTGCAAATTTTTGAAGTGCTGGAAATAGTACCGAAGTAAGTATTCACTTTACCAGCTTAACTGGCTGTTTATATAATTGATTTTGCATTCTTCTCCGGCAGATTCTCGTATCTATCCATTATGAGGGCACCGCGTCCACTTATTATGATACGATTTCTACGTGTTTTTCTAAAGTTCAGTATGCCCAAAAGCCGCATCAATCAAATTTTCAAGTAGGTGGTGAACTTTTATCAATCAACACTGTGACTGTGACTGATAGCATGTGCATTATTTTTATCTGCTTTCATTCAGACGCTCGAGCCAGCAAATCTATAATGTGACGCTATTTTTTTTGTTCTTCATGTCGCTATATGGCTTGCTCGGTGTGCAATTCTTTGGAGAGCTCAAGAATCACTGTGTCATGAATAATACAAAATATGATGAAAACGGCCTGCCGTAAGTATGATTAAGTCTTTATTGAACCTATTTACATTGGCTTTAAAATAAATAACAAATTAAATTGGTGTAAATTGAATTTCATTGGAATTTTTAATATATTGAACCAATCGTGCATGCTCTTTCATCAGGGTACTCACAATAAACTCACTCGCGATACCGGACACATTCTGCTCAATGGATCCGGACTCTGGATACCAGTGTTCGCCGGGAATGCGCTGCATGAAGATGGACTTTCTAAGCAGTTATGTGATTGGCTTCAATGGCTTTGAGGATATTGCAACTAGTATTTTTACGGTATATCAGGCTGCCTCCCAGGAAGGCTGGGTATTTATTATGTATCGCGCAATTGACTCACTGCCGGCATGGCGAGCCGCCTTCTACTTCAGCACCATGATATTCTTTCTGGCCTGGCTGGTGAAGAACGTGTTCATAGCTGTAATCACAGAGACCTTCAACGAGATACGCGTGCAGTTCCAACAGATGTGGGGCGCAAGGGGTCATATACAAAAGACGGCGGCCTCTCAAATACTCAGCGGCAACGATTCCGGCTGGCGGCTGGTCACCATCGATGACAATAAGCATGGCGGATTGGCGCCAGAGACATGCCATGCCATTTTACGCTCGCCATACTTTCGAATGCTGGTCATGACGGTGATCCTGGCCAATGGGATTGTGACGGCAACGATGGCATTTAAACACGACGGTCGACCACGGCATGTATTCTATGAGAGATATTATTACATTGAGGTTGTGTTCACGTGTCTGCTGGATCTCGAGACACTGTTTAAGATCTACTGTTTGGGCTGGCGTGGCTACTATAAGCATTCCATACACAAATTTGAGCTGCTTCTCGCCGCGGGCACAACGCTCCACATAGTTCCTATGTTCTATTTGTCTGGATTGACATACTTTCAAGTGCTGAGGGTGGTGCGGCTGATAAAGGCCTCGCCCATGCTTGAGGGTTTTGTGTATAAGATTTTTGGACCCGGCAAGAAGTTGGGCTCGCTAATCATCTTTACCATGTGCTTGCTAATCATTAGCTCGAGCATTTCGATGCAGTTGTTCTGTTTTCTGTGCGACTTCACCAAGTTCGAGTCGTTTCCGGAGGCGTTCATGAGCATGTTCCAGATCCTCACGCAAGAGGCGTGGGTTGAGGTCATGGATGAGACAATGATACGCACGAGCAAAACATTGACGCCGCTAGTAGCTGTCTATTTTATACTCTACCATCTGTTTGTGACGCTCATCGTGCTCAGTCTTTTCGTTGCGGTCATTTTGGACAATCTGGAGTTGGACGAGGACATCAAGAAACTGAAGCAGCTCAAGTTTCGTGAGCAAAGCGCCGAAATCAAGGAGACTCTGCCATTTCGTTTGAGAATTTTTGAAAAATTCCCCGATTCGCCACAAATGACAATTCTTCATCGTATTCCCAATGATTTTATGCTGCCCAAGGTGCGTGAGAGTTTCATGAAGCATTTTGTAATTGAACTGGAAACGGATGACCCATCATTGGTCGAGAACTGCAAACGTCCGATGTCCGAGTGCTGGGAATCAAATGTTGTCTTTCGCAAACAGAAACCTGTACGCATCATGAACAAAACGGCAAAGGTTCGAGCCGCTGGAAGCAGCCTTCGAAAGTTGGCCATCACTCACATAATCAAGTAAATACCCATCATATTCGATTACTCCCCTCATTTAGTCTTTGCTTTAGCCACAACTCATAGCCAATTGTTTGATATGTTTATAAAGAAGACTGTAAGATATTTATTGATTGTTTATTTATCGCAGCGACAGCAATAATCAGCGCCTAATGCTGGGTGACTCGGCCATGCTACCCGTGGTAGGCACTAAGGGTGGCCTCAAATCGCAAGGCACTATCACACACTCGAAGCCATGGAGGGTCGATCAGAAGAAGTAAGCGCCTTTTGCCCATTGGCGGCATGATTCGTTTGATGTGTGTACGCTACCAATTCACAGATTTGGATCCCGCTCAATTCGTCGCAGCGTGCGCTCTGGCTCCATTAAGCTGAAGCAGACCTATGAGCATCTGATGGAGAACGGTGATATTGCGGCTGCCCCACGCGCCAACTCTGGCCGGGCCAGACCTCACGACCTGGATATCAAGCTGCTACAGGCGAAGCGCCAGCAAGCCGAGATGCGACGCAATCAGCGTGAGGAGGATCTGCGCGAGAATCATCCGTTCTTCGATACGCCATTGTTTTTGGTGCCGCGCGAGAGTCGCTTTCGCAAAATTTGCCAGAAGATCGTGCATGCACGCTACGATGCGAGACTCAAGGATCCATTGACCGGCAAGGAGCGCAAAGTGCAGTATAAGAGTTTGCAGTGAGTTGCAATTGATGAACAACATTTTTACCAGATTCTCAATGCCTCTCATTTCATAATTTTCTCAGTAACTTTCTTGGGCTGGTCACCTATCTAGACTGGGTAATGATATTTGCCACAACACTCTCATGCATATCCATGATGTTTGAGACACCCAATTATCGGTTAATGGATCATCCGACGCTGCAAATAGCTGAATACGGTTTTGTCATATTCATGAGCCTGGAGCTAGCAATGAAAATTCTGGCTGATGGTTTGTTCTTCACACCCAAGGCATACATTAAGGATGTGGCCGCAGCGCTTGACGTATTCATATATGTTGTCTCCACGTCGTTTCTCTGCTGGATGCCACACAATATACCAACTAATTCAGCTGCCCAGCTGCTGATGATTTTGCGATGCGTGCGTCCACTGAGAATCTTTACTCTGGTGCCGCACATGCGAAAGGTGGTCTACGAGCTGTGTCGTGGCTTCAAGGAGATCTTATTGGTATCCACGCTGCTGATTCTGCTCATGTTCATTTTCGCCAGCTATGGCGTACAGCTGTATGGAGGTCGTCTGGCACGCTGCAATGATCCGACAATTCTGCGTAGGGAGGATTGTGTTGGTGTCTTCATGCGGCGCGTTTTTGTCACCAAAATGAAATTGACACCGGGTCCAGATGAGTCCTACCCGGCCATGTTAGTGCCGCGGGTCTGGGCCAATCCCCGTCGCTTCAACTTTGACAATATTGGTGATGCCATGCTTACGCTTTTCGAGGTGCTTTCCTTTAAGGGTTGGCTGGATGTGCGTGATGTCCTTATTAAAGCCGTCGGACCGGTAAAAACAAATTCTTATGCAATTTTATTTTAATTGAGTATTTTGTCAATTATTTTGTTTATGATAATCTTATGAGACCAGTGCTAAAAGATAACATTTAAAATATATTTAGTTTTATATTGTATTTATTTTTGTTTTATTTTCACTTTCATCTAATTGCATAACTGACGAATATGTACTTAATTTCAGATACATGCCATCTACATTCATATCTACATATTCTTGGGCTGCATGATTGGCTTGACTCTGTTTGTGGGCGTGGTCATTGCAAACTATTCAGAAAATAAAGGGACAGCATTGCTGACCGTTGATCAGCGACGTTGGTGTGATCTGAAGAAGCGTCTTAAAATCGCTCAGCCACTCCATCTGCCACCGCGTCCGGATGGACGAAAGATTCGTGCCTTCACCTACGATATAACCCAACATATTATTTTTAAGCGGGTCATTGCTGTGGTTGTTCTCATCAACAGCATGTTGCTCTCCATAACTGTAGGTTATATATATTTTTTGACGATGGCTCGAATTGAGTTTCATTCAGAGTTCTCTATTTCCAGTGGATCAAAGGCGAAGTACACACTGAGCGTCTGGTTATCGTTAGCGCCGTGCTGACCTTTGTATTTGTCATTGAGGTGGTTATGAAGAACATCGCATTCACTCCTCGAGGCTACTGGCAGTCCAGGCGCAATCGATATGATTTACTGGTAACTGTTGCTGGCGTCATTTGGATTATATTACAAACTCTTCTCAGGGTATGTATTGAAGAACATTGCACACCTAGAAGGTTTCCGCCCCTAATAAAAACAATTAGTACACATTATTTCTTTTCTATTCTCTTTACTTGTGTTTAATTAAAGTAAATACGCATTTCATTCTTAAAGTTTGGCGGGGTGGTTACTGCTCTCCACATCAGACACTATTGACTTCACAATTGTCTGTTTGAATTTTTCTAATATTTCATTCTTAACGTTGCTTGCAGAACGATTTGTCGTATTTCTTTGGGTTTATGGTGGTTATTCTGCGTTTCTTCACCATCACTGGAAAGCACACTACACTCAAGATGCTTATGTTGACGGTGGGCGTGTCTGTGTGCAAATCCTTCTTCATCATCTTTGGAATGTTCCTTTTGGTCTTCTTTTATGCGTTGGCCGGCACCATTCTTTTTGGTAATTCAATTTTACTTAGTATTCACTCGATCAGAATTGTGCAACCAATATACATATGTATTAACTATTTGCTCTCACATACATAGGAACCGTCAAATATGGGGAGGGTATTGGGCGACGAGCAAACTTCGGATCACCGGTGACCGGTGTGGCCATGTTGTTTCGTATTGTGACTGGTGAGGATTGGAATAAGATCATGCATGATTGTATGGTGCAGCCGCCATACTGCACACTGGGTGGAAATTATTGGGAAACGGATTGCGGCAACTTTACAGCAAGTCTAATATATTTCTGCACATTCTATGTGATAATTACATATATTGTGCTTAACCTGCTAGTGGGTAAGTAACATAATGTGGAATTTGTTGCTACACATCATTTTCAATTGCCTTTCTCCACCTAGCTATTATCATGGAGAACTTTTCCCTCTTCTATTCAAATGAGGAGGATGCCCTATTGTCTTATGCGGACATTCGTAACTTTCAGAACACTTGGAATATCGTCGATATACATCAACGTGGTGTTATACCGGTGCGTAGGGTGAAATTCATTTTGCGCCTTTTGAAAGGCCGTTTAGAGTGTGATCCGCAAAAGGATCGCCTGCTCTTCAAGTATATGTGCTACGAGCTAGACAAACTGCACAACGGTGAGGATGTCACATTTCATGATGTGATCAAGTAAGTCTATTTTTTGGGTATAAATATTTACTTATTTTGTTTTATCAATATGTAGTTCAAATCGAATCTTATATTCTTCTATCGACCAACTAATTGGTCGGGCAGTTACTGTTTTATTTTTGAAATATGAGACTAACAAAATATAAATTTTAGCATGCTATCCTATCGGTCTGTTGACATACGCAAGGCACTGCAGCTAGAGGAGCTGCTGGCGCGTGAGGAGTTTGAGTACCTGGTCGAGGAGGAAGTGGCCAAGATGACAATACGTACCTGGCTCGAAGGCTGCCTTAAAAAGATACGAGCACAAAATGCAAGCGTATGTTTAAAATGAATGATTGGTTTTTTCTTTCGCTTATGCACAATCTTAAAACTTTTTAATTGGCTTACAGAAACAACAAAATTCGCTGATTGCTGGATTGCGCGCCACCAATGAGCAGCTAGTGATGCGTCCCAATGTGCAGGAGGACAAGGCACCCAGTGGAGTAATTGACAAATCAGCCATAAGCACAATAAGTGGTGCGGTAGCCGGAACTTGCCCGCCAACTAGCGACGCCTTCTCGCCCACCTTTAGCTCGACGGAAAACGATGAAAAGGATGCCAGCAGTAGTGCTGTGGTGTTGCCTCACACTGATTCGCACACAACTGCTGCTGGTGCGCGGCATGTGATGACGGTGGGCAAGCGGGCATATGCCTTAAATCGCAGCGATTCGACGGGCAGCTCGGCGGGGCGAAAGTTTTTGGCGCCCACCTCCAGTGATCCACAGCAGCGCTCCACGCTGAGCGATAAGGAGCGACTGCATATCAGCAGTCAGCAGCGTAAAAAGAATTCAATGACCACCCTGCCACATGCGGCACAGCTGGGTCAACTGGGTCAGATGGGTAAACAGCGCGAGGTGAACAAGTCATCCAGTTTCTTTTCCCAGCTGAACAGCGAGATTGGCCAGTTTCATTATCCGACAATTAATGCGACCGCTGCAGCTGCTGCAGCCGCACTGCACAATTTTGGAGATCATCATCATCATCATCAGCATCAACATCAGCATCATCACGGAGCACTGACCAGTCCCTCGGCGATGATAAGTCAGCTAATTGGAGGCAGCGGCAAACTGTTGCCGTTTAACAATCAAGCAAATGCCGTCTATGAGGTGCACGACTGGTGGCAGGAGCAGGTCCTCTGCACGCAGACGAGCGACGATGAGGTATAGGAAGGCAGCAAAAAGCATCGATATTTGATTGCAAACATTATCATCATCATGCATTCAAGAAGGAGATATAATTTTAGAATCACGTACATAAATCCTCATTTGTTGCCTGTAAAATGAAAAATTAGTGCCCTAGAGATTTATTATAAGTCCACACACAACTATGTAGTATATGTGTTCTAATGTGTAAATATTGGCACGTTGTTTTGCGATTCTGGCGTACGCACAATATATTTATATGTATATGTTGTTGCTTATTAAATTGTATAAGAAATTTTGTCAGTCAGTAATGTTGTTACACTTAAAATGTATATTTAATACACCTACGTATACAAATATGTACTAATTATGAGTAGTGCAAATTTATTTGTACGTTGCCACAGGATAAAAAAAACGCCCTTTTAGTACACTTATATGAAACATTATAATCAAAATCCAAATACTACTCTTTAGAGCAAAAGACAAAAACTACAAATATTTAGCTAATGTTAATATAGAGAAATTTCAATCAATTTAAAGCCAAATCGATATAGTCTATTCTAAATTCTAGTAATAGAAAGAGACAGAGATAAGTATATACCAACATGGACACATATGTATGTGGAACACGAAGCCTACTATGTACTACAAATATTTTGTTAAAAGACAAAAAAAAAATCAAATAAAAATAAAATAATACAAATAAAGAACAAAACCATTGCACAAACTTTAGATAATATAAAATTAGTATAGTATAAAATGCCCAATTACACATGAATACACATTATAGAAGCGTAATAAACATCGTTGAAATTTCAAAACGTGTACAAAAAATAAATGGTATGGGTTCGTGCCAGCAACAATTTATTTGCTATGATTCAGAATTCTACGTGCATTGCGAGAGCTTCACTAGCCAACAGAAAAAATCCGACCTACGAAAACCTAGCACAGCCCTACGGCACTGATAAGTTACGACTTAATAGAACAAGCGCGTGCCCTTACACGCCAAATGCATCCGCAGGTCGTCGTTTTTCACAGGAAATGTATTTTTAGACATTAGAATGTAAATTTATGCAATACAATTAACGCAGGCACCGTCATAGATGACTTAAATACTTAACATTGAGCCCGGTTCAAGTTAGTATCCAGGCCGTCGTCTAGTTGTTCGCACGCTGGTCGACCTCCACAGGATACACCTATAACTGAATACGAGATTACGCTTAATGCCTGCAAGAGCAACACGTTGGCGCAATGAGACTGCTTATACTATGCCTGTTGGTCGCTACAGGCACAACATTTACGATGTTCGGGCCGCACATTCGCATTGTGCCCGGTCAAAAGGCAAATGAAATAATATTGCATTTCCGCAATCCTTGCAACAATAAAACCAGCACTACGACTCTCAGACCGCCATCAACACCGTGCAAGTACCATCCAACTACACCAAAATGTAACCATAGCCTTCCACAGACCTCTAAAGCAACTACCCTAAAACCGACCTATAAAACGACCCTCGGCACAACATTAAAAACGACTCAAACTAAGCCGGTGCCCACAACAGCCAAACCAACCACTCAAAAACCAACAACTTTGAAACCAACTGTGCCGAGCACAACCGGCAAGCTTACTACTCCAAAACCGACAACACTATCACCCAGTGTGCCGAGCGCAACTGGCAAACCAACCACCCAAAAACCTACAACTTTGAAACCAAGTGAGCCGAGCACAAGTGGAAAACCAACTACTCCAACACCGACAACTCTGAAGCCCACTGTGCCAAGCAAAACTGCCAAACAAACTACTGCAAAAACGACAACACTGAAAACCACTGTGTCAACCGGAACTGGCAAGCCAACTACCCAAAACCAGACAACTTTGAAACCAACTGAGCCGAGTACAACAACAGACAAGCCAACTACCCAAAACCCTACAACTTTGAAATCAACTGAACCCACCACAACAACAGACAAGCCTACCACCCAAAACCCTACAACTTTGAAACCAACTGAACCCACTACAACAACTGCTAAGCCGCCTCCCCAAAACCCTACAACTTTGAAGCCAACTGAACCCACTACAACAACAAACAAGCAGACCACCCAAAACCCTACAACTTTGAAACCCACTGAACCCACTACAACAACTTCCAAGCCAACCACCAAAAACCCGACAACTTTGAAACCCACTGAGCCCACTACAACAACGGACAAGCCAACCACCCAAAACCCCACAACTTTGAAACCAACTGAACCCACGTCAACAACTGACAAGCAAACCACCCAAAACCCTACAACTTTGAAACCCACTACAACAACAGAAAAGCCGACAACCCAAAACCCGACAACTTTGAAACCCACTGAACCCACCACAACAACAGACAAGCCAACCATCCAAAACCCTACAACTTTGAAACCCACTGAACCCACTACAACAACAGACAAGCCAACCACCCAAAACCCTACAACTTTGAAACCAACTGAACCGACGACAACAACTGCCAAGCCGACTACCCAAAACCCTACAACTTTGAAGCCCACTGAACCCACTACAACAACAGACAAGCAGACCACCCAAAACCCTACAACTTTGAAACCCACTGAACCCACTACAACAACTTCCAAGCCAACCACCCAAAACCCGACAACTTTGAAACCCACTGAACCCACTACAACAACGGACAAGCCAACCACCCAAAACCCCACAACTTTGAAACCAACTGAACCCACTACAACAACAGACAAGCCAACCACCCAAAACCCGACAACTTTGAAACCCACTGAACCCACTACAACAACAGAAAAGCCAACCACACAAAACCCTACAACTTTGAAACCAACTGAACCCACTACAACAACAGACAAGCCAACCACCCAAAACCCTACAACTTTGAAACCAAGTGAACCCACCACAACAACAGACAAGCCAACCACCCAAAACCCTACAACTTTGGAACCAACTGAATCCACTACAACAACAGACAAGCCAACCACCCAAAACCCTACAACTTTGAATCCAACTGAACCCACCACAACAACAGACAAGCCAACCACCCAAAGCCCCACAGCATTGAAACCAACTACGCCGAGTAAAACAACTGCCGGGCCAACCACCCAGAAGCCCACAACTTTGAAACCAACTCAGCCGACTACAACAACTGCCAAGCCGACTACCCAAAACCCTACAACTTTGAAACCCACTGAACCCACTACAACAACAGACAAGCCAACCACACAAAACCCGACAACTTTGAAACCCACTGAACCCACTACAACAACAGAAAAGCCAACCACCCAAAACCGTACAACTTTGAAACCAAGTGAACCCACCACAACAACAGACAAGCCAACCACCCAAAACCCTACAACTTTGAAACCAACTGAATCCACTACAACAACAGACAAGCCAACCACCCAAAACCCTACAACTTTGAAACCAACTGAACCCACCACAACAACAGACAAGCCAACCACCCAAAACCCCATAGCATTGAAACCAACTACGCCGAGTAAAACAACTGCCGGGCCAACCACCCAGAAGCCCACATCTTTGAAACCAACTCAGCCGACTACAACAACTGCCAAGCCGACTACCCAAAACCCTACAACTTTGAAACCTACTGAACCCACTACAACAACTTCCAAGCCAACTACCCAAAACCCGACAACTTTGAAACCCACTGAACCCACTACAACAACAGACAAGCCAACCACCCAAAACCCGACAACTTTGAAACCCACTGAACCCACTACAACAACAGAAAAGCCAACCACACAAAACCCTACAACTTTGAAACCAACTGAACCCACCACAACAACAGACAAGCCAACCACCCAAAACCCCATAGCATTGAAACCAACTACGCCGAGTAAAACAACTGCCGGGCCAACCACCCAGAAGCCCACAACTTTGAAACCGACTGAGCCGAGTACAACAACTGCTAAGCCAACCACCCAGAAGCCCACAACTTTGAAACCCACTGAACCCACTACAACAACAGACAAGCCAACCACCCAAAACCCTACAACTTTGAAACCCACTGAACCCACTACAACAACAGAAAAGCCAACCACACAAAACCCTACAACTTTGAAACCAACTGAACCCACTACAACAACAGAAAAGCCAACCACACAAAACCCTACAACTTTGAAACCAACTGAACCCACTACAACAACAGACAAGCCAACCACCCAAAACCCTACAACTTTGAAACCAAGTGAACCCACCACAACAACAGACAAGCCAACCACCCAAAACCCTACAACTTTGGAACCAACTGAATCCACTACAACAACAGACAAGCCAACCACCCAAAACCCTACAACTTTGAATCCAACTAAACCCACCACAACAACAGACAAGCCAACCACCCAAAACCCTACAACTTTGGAACCGACTGAGCCGAGTACAACAACTGCTAAGCCAACCACCCAGAAGCCCACAACTTTGAAACCCACTGAACCCACTACAACAACAGACAAGCCAACCACCCAAAACCCTACAACTTTGAAACCCACTGAACCCACTACAACAACAGACAAGCCAACCACCCAAAACCCGACAACTTTGAAACCCACTGAACCCACTACAACAACAGAAAAGCCAACCACACAAAACCCTACAACTTTGAAACCAACTGAACCCACTACAACAACAGACAAGCCAACCACCCAAAACCCTACAACTTTGAAACCAAGTGAACCCACCACAACAACAGACAAGCCAACCACCCAAAACCCTACAACTTTGGAACCAACTGAATCCACTACAACAACAGACAAGCCAACCACCCAAAACCCTACAACTTTGAATCCAACTAAACCCACCACAACAACAGACAAGCCAACCACCCAGAAGCCCACAACTTTGAAACCAACTCAGCCGACTACAACAACTGCCAAGCCGACTACCCAAAACCCTACAACTTTGAAACCCACTGAACCCACTACAACAACAGACAAGCCAACCACCCAAAACCCTACAACTTTGAAACCCACTGAACCCACTACAACAACAGAAAAGCCAACCACCCAAGACCCTACAACTTTGAAACCAACTGAACCCACCACAACAACAGACAAGCCGACCACCAAAAACCCCACAGCATTGAAACCAACTGCGCCGAGTAAAACAACTGCCGGGCCAACCACCCAGAAGCCCACAACTTTGAAACCGACTGAGCCGAGTACAACAACTGCTAAGCCAACCACCCAGAAGCCCACAACTTTGAAACCAACTGAACCTACTATAACAACAGACAAGCCTACCACCCAAATTCCTACAACTTTGAAACCAACTGAACCCACTACAACAACAGACAAGCCTACCACCCAAAACCCTACAACTTTGAAATCCACTGAACCCACTACAACAACAGAAAAGCCAACCACCCAAGACCCTACAACTTTGAAACCAACTGAACCCACTACAACAACAGACAAGCCTACCACCCAAAACCCTACAACTTTGGAACCAACTGAACCCACTACAACAACAGACAAGCCCACCACCCAAAACCCTACAACTTTGAAACCCACTGAACCCACTACAACAACAGAAAAGCCAACCACCCAAGACCCTACAACTTTGAAACCAACTGAACCCACTACAACAACAGACAAGCCTACCACCCAAAACCCTACAACTTTGGAACCGACTGAGCCGAGTACAACAACAGACAAGCCAACCACCCAAAACCCTACAACTTTGGAACCAACTGAGCCGAGTACAACAACTGCTAAGCCAACCACTCAAATTCCTACAACTTTGAAACCAACTGAACCCACTACAACAACAGACAAGCCTACCACCCAAAACCCTACAACTTTGGAACCAACTGAACCCACTACAACAACAGACAAGCCTACCACCCAAAACCCTACAACTTTGAAACCCACTGAACCCACTACAACAACAGAAAAGCCAACCACCCAAGACCCTACAACTTTGAAACCAACTGAACCCACTACAACAACAGACAAGCCCACCACCCAAAACCCTACAACTTTGAAACCCACTGAACCCACTACAACAACAGAAAAGCCAACCACCCAAGACCCTACAACTTTGAAACCAACTGAACCCACTACAACAACAGACAAGCCTACCACCCAAAACCCTACAACTTTGGAACCGACTGAGCCGAGTACAACAACAGAAAAGCCAACCACCCAAGACCCTACAACTTTGAAACCAACTGAACCCACTACAACAACAGACAAGCCTACCACCCAAAACCCTACAACTTTGGAACCGACTGAGCCGAGTACAACAACTGCTAAGCCAACCACCCAGAAGCCCACAACTTTGAAACCAACTGAACCTACTACAACAACAGACAAGCCAACCACCCAAGACCCTACAACTTTGAAACCAACTGAACCCACTACAACAACAGACAAGCCTACCACCCAAAACCCTACAACTTTGAAACCCACTGAACCCACTACAACAACAGAAAAGCCAACCACCCAAGACCCTACAACTTTGAAACTAACTGAACACACTACAACAACAGACAAGCCTACCACCCAAAACCCTACAACTTTGGAACCGACTGAGCCGAGTACAACAACTGCTAAGCCAACCACCCAGAAGCCCACAACTTTGAAACCAACTGAATCCACTACAACAACAGACAAGCCAACCACCCCAATTCCTACAACTTTGCAACCAACTGAACCCACTACAACAACTGCTAAGCCGCCTACCCAAAACCCTACAACTTTGAAACCAACTGAACCCACTACAACAACAGACAAGCCAACCACCCAAAACCCTACAACTTTGGAACCGACTGAGCCGAGTACAACAACTGCTAAGCCAATTACCCAGAAGCCCACAACTTTGAAACCAACTGAACCCACTACAACAACTGCTAAGCCGCCTACCCAAAACCCTACAACTTTGAAACCAACTGAACCCACTACAACAACAGACAAGCCGACTACCCAAAACCCTACAACTTTGAAACCCACTGAACCCACTACAACAACAGACAAGCCAACCACCCAAATGCCCACAACTTTAAAACCAACTGAGCCGACTACAACAACTGCCAAGCCGACTACCCAAAACCCTACAACTTTGAAACCAACTGAGCCGAGTACAACAACTGCCAAGGCGACTACCCAAAACCCTACAACTTTGAAACCAACTGAACCCACTACAACAACTGCCAAGCCGACTACCCAAAACCCTACAACTTTGAAACCAACTGAGCCGAGTACAACAACTGCCAAGGCGACTACCCAAAACCCTACAACTTTGACACGCACTGAACCCACTACAACAACAGACAAGCCAACCACCCAAAACCCTACAACTTTGAAACCCACTGAACCCACTACAACAACTGCCAAGCCGACTACCCAAAACCCTACAACTTTGAAACCAACTGAACCCACTACAACAACAGACAAGCCGACTACCCAAAACCCTACAACTTTGAAACCCACTGAACCCACTACAACAACAGACAAGCCAACCACCCAAAACCCTACAACTTTGAAACCAACTGAACCCACTACAACAACTGCCAAGACGACTACCCAAAACCCTACAACTTTGAAACCAACTGAACCCACCACAACAACAGGCAAGCCAACCACCCAAAACCCTACAGCTTTGAAACCAACTGAGTCGACTACAACAACTGCCAAGCTGACTACCCAAAAACCTACAACTTTGAAACCCACTGAACCCACTACAACAACAGAAAAGCCAACCACCCAAAACCCTACAACTTTGAAACCCACTGTAGCCACTACAACAACAGACAAGCCAACCACCCAAAACCTTACAACTTTGAAACCCACTGAGCCGAGTACAACAACTGTCAAGCCAACCACCCAGAAGCCCACAACTTTGAAATCAACTGAGCCGACTACAACAACTGCCAAGCCAACCACCCAGAAGCCCACAACTTTGAAACCAACTGAGCTGACTACAACAACGGCCAAGCCGACTACAACAACATCCAAGCCAACCACCCAAAACCCTACAACTTTGAAACCAACTGCGCCGAGTAAAACAACATCTAAACCAACCACCCAAAAACCTAAAACTTTGAAGCCAACTGAGCCAAGTACAACAACAGCCAAACCAACAACCCAAAAGCCGACAACTTTGAAACCCACTGCGCCGAGTACAACAACATCTAAACCAACCACCCAAAAACCTTCAACATTAAAACCAACTGAGCCCAGTACAACAACATCCAAGCCAACCACCCAAAAACCTACAACTTTGAAACCAACTAAGCCGAGTATAACAACGGTCAAACCAACTACTTTAAGACCGACAACTTTAACGAGTACAACAACAGTAAAGCCAAGTACGCGTAAGCCCACAACTTTGAAACCCACTAAGCCGATCACCGAAAAGTCGAGTACCTTAAATCCTAGCAAACATATAACAGAGACTTCAGAAGGTTCCACCGAGTCTCTGCCACCTTTCAATATATTCTAATTCTCTATAATTTAGCATATTGAGTTCTGATTTCAGTTGACTTAATAAAAAAGTAAAAAATAAACAATTATATAAATAAATTGCGCTTAATTGCAGTTCCACTTAATAATGAAAACACTCGAAAATAAGTTAAATAAAGAGCATTCATTTAGAATTAAATTTTAAATCAGTTGTGACACACTGATTATGAAATGCATATAAAATCTATGGTGGAAACTAGAAAATTATTTTTTTTAAGTCATACTTTTAGGCTAACTCATAGTAGTATCATTATTTTTCTGAAATATAACTGTAACAGATTTTTGAAGAAAATGTTCGATAGATTAGCAATAAATAGACTTACTCCATCGAACTGAATTTAATGTATAAGAGGGTATATAAGAGACAAGAACTTTATTTCACTGTAAACTGTAACTATTTTGCTGTTCTTTAGCAAATTGGTAGCCCTAGTTTTCTGCAAAAAAGTTCGTCTTAGGACATCGAGTTTCCTAATGATATAGCCGAGCAATGACTTAAGAGCGAAAATTGCGAATAATCCAATTAAATATCGACTTACCAGCCGGTTAATGGTTAAAATTTTATTATATTAATTTTACAATTAAATTGTATCGCTTATGAATTATTTTGCTGTCGAGAATGTTTATAAAAAAAAAACGTTATGTGATACACAGTGTTCTGAAACCATTGGCGAACATACTTAAATCAAAGTGAAAATACTTGTAAATGTCTATTGTGTACTAGGGCACATATTGTAAATTTGTAAATTGCATATACGTGATCGATATATAAAGTACTTGAATTAGAAATATGGCTTCTAGCCTGCCCAATTGTCAGACTGGTATGTTGTTATCCAGCGTGTTGTTGTCCTCCAAAATTTCTTCGGTATCGGAGTTACTCGCGTCGGATTTCCAATCACACAAAGCTGGATACTTTTTGCTAATGCGATATGCGCATTTAGAAGCTGTTGGTCCCGATTTATAAACTGGATCTCCAAATATATTGTTGTAGTCGTAGTTGCAAGTCAAAAGAAACTGGAATCGGTTGGTGCTTTGCTCAAGAAATCTTACAGCAGCGCAGCCAACCCGACGCACTCGATCCGCAACTAACAAAGTAAAATGTCCGATCTTTTTTCTGCAAGTAAATTGCATTAGAGTTTATATACGTGAGTAAGCAAAATTACTTACCCCTCTGGGTGCCGTTGAAAGCTATCAATGTAGCTTTGATTGGCATCCTTATACTCGCGAAACCAGTGGAGCACAAAGGACTTCATGCGTCGCGAATGTGACTTGAATTCGCGACCAATCCAAAAATAGCCAATATTCTGACCACTGATCTGAAATCTTTGCGTATTCCGACACTGGTCATGCGCAAACTGGCAGCGCTTGGCATGGAGTGCAGCCATCTGCGCCAGCTCTTCATCCCATCTCAAAAATGGCATATGCAAGGCGGCTTCATAGCCAGGCACCTCGCCAGCAGCAATCTTGCTGCGCACTAAATTGTGCATGTCCAGCAGCAGCTGACGTCGACGATCACTCATATAGAGGAGTTTCGGTTGTGGACCGCAGCTTGCACCAAAGCTGCCATTATTTCCACATGCAGTGTGCGGCAGCTGCAGCAAATGGCTGCCATTAAATATTTCGCACAGGGCCGGTGCACAATAGTCTGTTGGTGGTGATGGTGCTTGCGGGGTCGATGGTGCTAATGTTGTTGTGGCTGACACCAATGGGATAAGCTGCATTACCAGCAGCACTGCACCAGCAGGCAAAAGACCTGGAGTGCACTTGCCAGACAATCTCAGCATCGCGACAGTCAACGGGATACTAAACTCAGATCAAACGCAAACTATTGTCTTATGAAATGTGTCGACAAGCTGAATTGTTGACGTCGGCGCCGAGCTGCGAACAGGGTTGAAAGTCCGAATTTTAAACGCCCATCGTTTTATATACTTGAAATGTTCATTCAATTCTAAGTCGTTAGCATATTGTATTGCAGCCCTGGCATGTAGGTACGTGTTTTCTTCTGCAGAATGCCTAGCTTACCCCTCAGCCACTTCCGGGGCTGTTGCAGTGCATAAGTGAACCGGTTTGTTGGCTGCCCATCGCTCAGGGCGCTCGATTAGATTTCATACAAATAAGCTGTAATCAACCACAAACTGTGGGAAAAAGTCAAGCTTCAAGGCAAATGACGATAAGTGGCAATGTTGGGGATTTACCGGTAGCTACTACAAAATTTATGCATATACAGATATAAATATAGCTGTCATAAAGAACTGTGATGCCGATGAAAAACTAAGTGCCTTTAGCACAAAATATTTAAATTTGAAATTAAAGAAACGTGATTTAAAGCAAATTGGCTTTAATTTAAATAACAATATCGTCATAATATAATTTAAAAGAAAAATTGGTTTAAAATTAGTCATAATACCAAAAGAACAAGAAAAAAGCAAACAAAACAATATGACACAACAGCCAACGTGACGTTGTGTGTCTATTTGGTAAATTCTATAAAAAGAATATAATTTAAATATTTTACTCTGCAAAACTTGGCTTAAGCTTAAGCTGTCTTTTTAGAAAACTGCAACAAAAGAAATACATATTTATATATTTGTATAAAATCTTCTGCGTATGCCAATACATAGATAGATATTTTTATATGTATTTGTGGTATTTATTAGAAGGTAACGGCAAAAATTCTTGTAGAATTAAATTAAAAACTGGAAAGCAGAGTTTACTTTTGGATGACGAAGATTAAATACTCTTAGATACATATGGCGGGCATACACTGAGATATTTTACATATCCAAATAAAGCAGTCGACGCTAGTCACGAAACATCATTAAGACGACTATCAATAAATACAGGAAAAACTTAAATTAATTAAGTATAATTGTGCTTTTTTATGTAGCAATGTTTGGGTCTGGCAGTTTGGCTTGCTGCTTGCTGCTTGCTTTCGACACGCCTCGTCTCTCACTTAATAATTTGCGCTTATCAATTTTGGATGCCTTTGTCTTAGCGTCAATAACATAGTCAAAATCTCACATTTCTGGTTGTGTAACTTCAATACTATCATATGCCAGCGTTTGTTCTTGTATTTGGTTTCGTATCGTAAAAAGTATAATATACTCGACTGATGATGATGTGTGAGAATGTAATTGTTTTCATCAGTATAATTAAAGTTAACATGATTTTCAAATTACAGAGACTTCAAGAACATTTAATTTTCTTAGAAAAGTTATTACTCACGAAATAATTAATTATTCCGTCGACGCTGATAAATCTTGGCTTCAACACAACATTCCCACAATAAAAAAAAAGACATTTAAGGTAGTAGTTAAATAAATGGCTTATCTAGTAAACACATTTTGGCCTTGGAATTGGCAGTGCTACTCTTCGTGTCTAAGCCGCCAAAATGATTTGTTGCTTATTGCTAATATTCAGCAATTATTTATCGAGACAACACATGCTATGGTCTAAGGGCGTAAGGCGCTTATCACAATGGGCAGCTGAACTTTAAGTCATTGTCTTCCAGGCAGGTGGAAATTGGGAATGCACGATGATGGCAACGAAGAGTTTCATCTGAAAATACTCGTTATCATGTATTTTATAGGATTTTTTTATTTGCATAGCACTTAAGATATTTAGACATTCATGAAGGCATACATATTTTTAATAAATTAATTATAACAATAGCTTTAAATTATTTCTACAAACAATATAGGATTGCGAGACAAATATATTTTTTTAAAAGGAAAGACTTTTTTTCAATCAATAAGTAGTGAAATTTTCCTAAAAGCATTAAAACCCCTGCATACTTTCAGGAGGAATCGAATTTTTAGCATGTTTGAAAATGATTCAAACGTGTAAAGCCTATTTTGTGGGAGAACCATAAAATGAATAAAATAAAGTGCAAACTAGAGAAAAAAACATACTTGTAAAATGGCTAAAGTGCCTAGTACAATTTCATTATAAAGACAATAGATAGAAAAATAACTCTCTCGGCCAAATCCTTGCAGATTTCTGAAGGATCTATACGATCTTTTAAGCCAACCCCATTAAAATAAAATTTTTCAAATTTTTAAATAAGTTTTCTTTAAACACTTTGTACGTTGTTATTTATTTAAGTACAAATATAATTCAATTAGCTAAAGTGATCAACAAAATTCGAACTATTTTATATTCTAGTTTGACAAGTGTAAATTTGTATAAATGTGTTCAGTTGCATTTCTTGTATTTGTACTTTGGTATTAGGGGTCGCTTTTGGTAGCTGCCCTCCAGGTACTGCCAGACGCGCTTGCGGGCCTTTTGTGTTATGGCGCTTTCCTCCTGCTCCTCTTGCAAAATCTTATGGCAGTCAGTGAGCAGTAGTTCGAGATCAGTGGATTTGACTTCTGGCTGCTCAGTTGTTGGATTCTTAATGGACTTGGCCACTTCTTCGTCGATTCGCTGGAAATCAATGTCGATATCAGGTCCCCACACAGATTCATTGCTCTTGAGAGTTTCCTGTTGCTTCTCAACGTCATCCAACTCACTTAGGTCGATGTCAGAGCCCCAGTCAAGTGACTCATTTGGTAGCTTGCCCTTCTCACGACAACGTTTGCGCTGCTTGAGCAGCTTTGCCATACGGGGTGTCGGTTCAATGATTATCTTCTTGGCTTCAGTCGGCTCGTTGTCCAGCCAGCGGCAACCTTTGAGCGTGACCTGCGGCATGAGAAAGCCAAATGCACACTTCGCATTCTTCAGATAATCATTCTGTATGTAACCTGTGGACTTCAGATGCTCAGCGAGTACCTTAAACCAGGCATTGGATCGATGGGCGCCCTTGCCAAAGTTCTCGTGGGTCCGACTTCCGATGCTAAGGCATTTGCTGCGCGAGCCGCGCAACCCCAGTATTAGTTTGCCAAGACCAAGGCTGCCATTCAAGTCCCTGAGCATGGCAAGTAGCAGACGTGATTCACTGCTGACATCCAGCTGCTCTATGGGAGTAGATTTTATGTGTTGCGCCTTGCGGCAATTGTCGCAGCAATTGCGACGTGGCTGGCTACGAGCAGCAGTCTGATCATCAAAGTAATTAAGTATGAACTGCCTCCGGCACTGGTTGCTCTGTGTGTACTCCAACATGACTCTGGCCAGCTGCTGCAGCTCCTCGCTACGTTGGGCTGTCAGTGGTTGACTGTGCTGCAACCGTTGATGAATTGCAGCATCTGCGTCGCCATAGAAAAGCACACACTTGGCATGCAGATTGTCGCGGCCGGCGCGACCAATCTCCTGGTAGTAGCGCTCCATGTCACTGGGCGCACCATAATGCACCACGAGGCGGACGTTGGGCTTATCGATGCCCAGGCCGAAGGCCGTTGTTGCCGCCATGAGGCGCACCTCATCGCTGGTGAATTGCTCTTGATTGCGGCGCTTCAGCTCCAACGGCAACTTGCTGTGGTAGCTGTGACAGCGCATGCCATGCCTGCTTATCTCTTGGGCCATCTGCTCCGTGTCGCGTATGGTGTTGTTGAAGATAATAACCGAGCCGGCCGCCTCGGCCGCCCAGCTCAGATAAGGCTGCAGGTCCGACCAAATATCCGCACTTTTCGCACGCACCGTCAGCTCCAAATTGGGGCGATCCAGGCCGCTGCAGAGGATTAGCGGGTTGCGCATCTGAAGCTGCTGGCAAATGTCTTCGCGCACACGCCTTGTTGCGGTGCCGGTGAGCGCCAGAAAGCGCACTAGCGGTACAGCCGACCGCACCTCGCTGAGCCGACGATAAGCAGGCCGGAACTCGTGACCCCATTTGGAGATGCAGTGCGCCTCATCGATGGCAATCAGCGCCAAATTGCGACCCAAATCCTGTAACAGCTTGAGGCCATTACCACGTGTTATGTACTCCGGCGTCGCGTACACCAATCTGAAGTGTAGCCCCAAAATGCGCTCCTTGATGGTGCGATCCTCCTGAGCAGTGCCCAGCAAACAGGCGCAGTCGCCAGATTTTGATTTATAATTCAGGGCATTCACCTGATCCTCCATTAGAGCAATTAGTGGCGATATGACAAAAACCACTTTATTCAGGTAAAAGGCGGGAAACTGATAGATCAACGACTTGCCATATCCAGTGGCTATAACAGCGCAAACATCGCCGCCACGGTTTTCCGTTAGTAGAGCGCGTATTATCTGCCATTGCAGTGGCTTAAACGATTCTAAGCCGAAATATTGTTGCAGACAGTTTAAGAATTTTTTTGGCTTGGGCAGCATATATGGCACAGTGTACATGTGCGTAGGTATTTGATAAAAATAAAACCTTATTGTCAACACGCTGATTGTCGTTACAATCCAGTCCGGCAGGTGCACATTAGAGATGAGCGATATGCTTACACGTGCGACTGGCTAAGAAACCTGATTTTCTAAATAACACACTTATCTTACACATACATATGTATGGATGTTTGTGGTGTGTGGTGCATGTATTTACATTGCACGTTCAATAGATAACAAGTGCACTGCCACTGCCGGCAAAGAGTGCTCTCATAATTTTATCGATAGAATTAACAGAGTTACAAGATTACGCTACGCTGCCGGACAAGTGTGCGCTTATCGAAACATTTGCAGAATTGCACGGTTACGCTACAGCAATGTAATTACTGCACGAAAAATGTTTTCAATTTTATTTTATACTTAAATTAAATTAAATTAAAAAAAAGCATTTCCCTCTCTTGTACATATGGCCCATACGCAGTCTGACGTCACAAGCAAAATCGAAATCTTATATTACCATGAACATAATCGATAGCTATGTGATATTCTGAATCGATAAGACTAAACTTGTCAAAAGCAGAAAGCAAGACAGCTGTCTTCTGCCCACGGCCTTAAATACCAAAGGCACTAGTAAATTCATATTTGTGATCGATTCCAAATCAGTTAATTTTTCTTGTAGTTTATTCCAATGGATTCGAATTTACGTAATGTATGCATGTTAAGTTCAACTGCAACACTTTAATTCATAAACATTCACCTTGCAGTTGAAGGATTTTCTCACATTATACAACAAAGTGACGGAGTTGTGCTTCAATCGTTGCGTTGATAATCTCAGTCAGCGCGAACTCTTTGAACAGGAGGTAAGCCAAATGCGACTATTCGGGTACAATAATAGTATAATACTTATTACGTGCAGAACACCTGCGTGGACAGATGCGTGACCAAATTTGCGCGCTTCAATCAAAACATGATGAAAGCCTACGTCGATGTGCAAACCAAAATTAATGTCAAACGCATGGAAGAAGTGGAAGAGAATGCCAAAAAATTGGAGCAGCACCAGCAGGAAGAACGCATTAAAGAGCAGCTTAAGGAAAAGGAAGTCGCTGCCACTAGCACAATTCTAACGCCCGCCAACAACAGCAACAATACGCCGGGCAATTTGGCCATGTAGCAGCAGGATTGGAATGTCATGCCCCTGCTCCTATTTTCAATACTAGATAGTTAAACAAACACACATACACACCCACACACACACACAAATACAAGCATACACATTGATAGCTAAAGATGTTGCGCATTTGTCTGCTTGCGCTAATAGGTCTGCCTGGCGCCGGGAAAACATGCCTCAGCAACTGGATGCTGCAGCAGCAGGCAGACCTGGGCAGCTGGAACGTTCTCCACGTGTGCTACGATGACTACTTTCACAATGACAAAGACCATAAAAGGGAACGCGACAACATCTCCCAATTGTTAATCCAAATCATCGAAACAATTCGATCCAGACATAATGATCCACTGCTTCTTGGTCTCCCAGCAAAAGTGCGACGAGCAATGTCCGCAATGGAGAGCGATAATTATTTGATTGTTTGCGATGATAATCATTATTATCGCAGCATGCGCTATAAGCTATACCAGCTGAGTCGCGTTCAAAACTGCATTTTTGCTCAAATTTACGTGGCGACCCCCTTAGCTGCTTGCCTGCTGGCCAATGGAAAGCGCGGATCAGACGTCATAGTGCCCGAAGCTGTTATCCGTCAAATGCAAACCCGACTCGAAGAGCCTAGCACTGACGCCTGGTCACACAATAGCTTAACATTAACGGATTCCGACTACAATGCAGCTTCTCATTCGATTTGTGACTTTATCAAATCCTTACTCTGTCAAACACCGCCTACCGGTCTACCAGAGGTGCGGACCAAAGAGCCGCAATTACAATCGCTAGCACATAACTTAGACTTAAAGTTGCGCGCACGCATTCAAGCCAAAATGCAGCAGACCATGCCCACCATACCAAAAGCCGTGCAGAGTCACACTTTGAACGAACAACGCAAACAGATTTTGGCACAATTTCGACTTGACAGCGGCGGTCGGCAAGCGGAGGCTTGTGCTGTCAACTTGGAATACTATGTTAATTTGTTAAACTAGGCTAATACTAAGCTTTAAATGTTTATATGTACATACTTTACATTAACTACATTAAACAAAAAACTGTTACGTCTTGCATTTTTTTACAATAATCCCTACCATATATAACAGTGCTGATAAATCACATTACAAAACTAGATTTATTTAGAGGGGCAAAAAAAAGTAAGTGTAAACTAGAGTAAATAGCCAACTTATACAACTTTAACTTGGCTCAAATCACGTTTCTCGATCATGCGCATCTGCTTCTTTTTCATGCGCTTCAGTTTGGCCGGATTCTTGATCACTTGCACAACTTCGGAGCGACGCTCATTGGCCAAGCGACGTTCGGCGTTCTCCACGCGACGCTGGTGACGCTGGACGGCGGCTTCCTTGCGCTGCTCCTTTATCTCCTTGGACTTCTCCTTAATGTAACGCATTTCATTCCGCAGCTCCATTTTCTTTTCAAACGTCAGCCGGTTTATTGTCTTCTTGATTTTACTGAATCTGCGAATAAGTTGTTTTTTTTTTTTGTTAAATTCTTTTTAACATGGCCACTCAAGTGTAGGTTGGTATTTTACTCACTTTTGTTTGGGCGTCTTCCATGGCCGATTTGATTTTGGTTGGCCGCGTGGAATACTTGCCTCCGGCTTAAGCACCTTTTTGGCTTTGGATTTGTTTTGTGTAGATTGTTTAGTTTTCTGTTCATCACCTTTTAACTCTGCTGCAGCTGCGGTGTTTGTTTTTATTTTTCCTGCATTTTCAGCCATGTCAACATCGGATGATTTATCTGCTATGTCTTCATCAATTTCAATTATTTGTGGCTTATCCATTTTGTATAGTTATTTAGAACGCAACGTAAAACAAAACACAATAGCTCGACACGTGTTTCCAGCGTTATCGATAATGGGAGCAAACATATGCTCGCCTATCGAAGTTAATCAAAGGGTTGCACTTAAAGCTATCGATAGAGCGCAAAAATATTCCGGTTTCAAAGTTTTGGCATTTCAAATTAAAACAATTTTATTTCACTCATCAATTTTACAACGGGTTCTGAAACTCAAACTGCTTAATGTGCTGCAACCCAGCGATTTTGCATTAAAGCTTAATAATAATTTACATATTTACAGGCACGTATCAATTGGCCCGAGCCATCTCCAGTCCGCCCTAATCCTTTCCACCCGTCGTGTGGACTGCAACCGCATTTGACCTTGACGCATTGTTGTTGGCCAGCAACGCCTGATTGTGTTGGTCCACGTTGTAGTGGTAAAAGAACGCTTTGCTGTATTCGAAAGTTGATATCATGATCGCACAGGCTGGCGCCACCTTAAACAGACGCGGTCCCAATCCTGAGAATACGCCACGGAGTCCATTTAACCGATAAATGCTTGCCAAGCGATCCGCAACTGATTTCGTCGGTACACTCTTTGGCGGATTATCTAGCGTAAGGCAAACCGAAGCATCAGTGGAACTGCCAACGAGCGGTATACTAGTTGTAGCAAGAGGCCTACCTGCAAATATGAATTTCTCACCGAACTCGATTTGCTCATGCGTCTTAATCACATCAAATGGCGTCGTAATGCTTGCAGCAACCTGGACGAATAAAAAGATGAATGTGATTAAGACTAAGTGCGGCAAGAAACAAGAACAGCTAAGCCAAAGATTAGATTTACATAAACAACTATCCTAAAATTGACAAATTGTACATTCAGTGACCCGCGACAAGAGTATAATAATTATTTGTAAAATCAACCCAACTTACCGAACCCGAAATGGCGCCCGCCACAAAGCTAAAGGCGAACGTGGGCTCGACGACATGAAAGCTGCTCTTCAGGTACTCATAACAGGTCCAATAGATGCCCGAGAACGGCACATCGCGCAGTATTGTTGGCGGCAGACCACGCCAGAGGCCCAAGACGCCCTGCGACTGCATCACTTGCCGGATTGAGCCCAGCATCTCGGCGTTGGTCATCTTTTGCGATTGCATTTTGGTGCGTATCAGCTCAATGGGGCTAACAAATGTGACGGCCAGGATTCGGGCTGTGACGCCAGCAAGCATCGGCACCAGCATTGGAATGTCCTTTTTGTAGGATGAACTTTGAACTGGCGCCACATATTTGTAGTGCAGATCGATGAATCGTGCCTTGAACTGTTCGTAGGCCACAAAATATATAATGGTCGAGGGCAGGGCAGAGATGAGCGTCGGACTCAGACCGGACCACAATGTGCCAATGCCCTCAGCGCGGCTAATCTTAACGAATGCATCCTGCACAGGAAAGAGTGAAGCAGACATTCAAAATATACATCCAAGCATATTATCCACAAGATATACTCACAATTGTGCCCGTAAAATGGGTTGATGATGCTGGCGCTAACTTAGTAAATGCTGAAGTAGGCGTGGGCGTAGTCGGGCCACATGGACATATGTGATCCATGAGGCCATTGCAATAGAGAAAGCACTTATTGGACAGAAGAGCCGACTGTTGAGCCTGTAAACGGGTCTTGATAACATCCAAAGGCGTCACTGCAATCAGCACAAAATGTGGTGAAATAACAATTATCATATATATACTAGTGATCTACAGTGGCTATTCGCTATAATTTGAGCTTGCGCGCATTCTGTTATATAACAATAATAATACATATATTATTGTATGGTTTGTAGAATACAATTTGATGGTAATGTGCAAAAGATTTTAGACACAGGCACAAAAAATACAAACATTTTCCCAAACACTTGGAATTTTATAATCATTGCAAGCAATTATTCAAATTTAAGGATAGTTAAAATTTAAAACAAAAAACTTCTTGCATTTGGAGCGACCACGGCACACGTGTATTTAGTAGAGGATATATATAAAACAACGCTCTGTTTTGTCACTTACTGAAGCAGGCGGTAATCATGGCACCGGTACAGGCAGACACAACTTGCTGCATGGGTCGAATTCGAAATCTGGGATCTGTCATTGTGAACTTTGGTTCTGTTCGGAACGCAGCTGGCCCATAGCTGTCCTCTGTTATTGCTGCACTGGGTTTCGTCTTTGACTCCGGCATGCTTCACTTGGCTTGGCGCGTTAAGAGGCACGTCGGTAACCTAAATGTACTTGTTAGTTTTTGTGCGCGCTGTTTCGCTGTTATTGTCATTCAATTAAGCACGCACAAGCGTAAACGTTATAAGCTTCCAATAAATACAAAATATAGTTTTCCCTATGACATCTACCTACGGTTGTCAGTGTGTGTGGTGTGTGTGTGAAGTGCGGTCAAACTTATCGATAATTTATCAGCTGACGTACGAGCCGGTTTGCAGATGCAACAGCTGTTTGCCATCTAAATTAGCGATATACATATATGTACTTTTTACTGAAAAACAGTCGATGCATGTCATCGATACTTTTAAGTCACAAGTATTTAGTTTTCGATATGTGGGTGCAACAACTGTCGCCGTTTATATTCAAATGCAGCGCTAAACTAGTGCCGTATTGGGAACGGATACATACCAGTCTCCTGGAGATCTAGATTGTACCTAAAGAAGTACGATTTGCTGTACTCAAATGCCGATATCATAATGGCACAGGCGGGCATCACACGCAGCAGCCGGGGTACAATTCCGACGTAAAGACTCCGTATGCCCTGCTGTCGATATAATGCACGGAGGCGCGAAAACACTGACTGTTTGACGGATGCCGTTGCACTTGCGGCCTGGTTTGCGGTGCCACCTTTGCCAGCTCTACCGCTCGTCGATTCCGCATATAAGATATCCTGTCCCAGCTCAATTTGCGTGTGCGTGGTAATCAAATCGAACGGCATTGTCACCAATGTGGCCAACTAAAATGTGGCCAATTCATTTGACAGATAAGGAGCATAAGATTATGTACGACGACAGAGATGATGATATTGACACCCACCGCTCCGGATGCTGCCCCCGTGACAAAGCTGAACCAAAGCGATGGCTCTGACACGTTGCAGGCACGCTTAATGTACTCGTAGGCGGCCCAGTAGGTGCCCGAGAAGGGTGCATCGCGCATCACAGTCGGCGGCCAGCCACGCCACAATCCTAAAACGCCTTGCGTCCTGATCAGCGTGCGCAACACAAGCCACAGCTCCGTGTACGTTACAAAACCCGACTGCATCTTGATGCGCACCATTTCCAGTGGCGTTATGGCCGTCACAACGACCGTACGTGCACACATCCCTGATGCCATTGGCACCGCATATGGTAGCGACAGTCTCGTCTCCGACGCTGTCTTCACCTGCTTCTTAATTTCGCCGTCTTCGGGCAAACGTGCACTCGTCTCCCATATATAATAAAAATTGGCGAACGAATGCTTCATATACTCATAGGTCAAAAAGTATATGATTGTTGACGGCAACGCCGAGACGAGCGTCGGACTTAAACCGGACCAGAGGCCGGCAACACCATTGGAGCAAATGATTTTCACAAATGTATCCTGCAGGAAAGTCGATCTGTTAGTAAGCTGCTGCTGGCCACTGCTCACTCATTGCATCCAAGTTGGATAAAATGTACGTTTTGTTGCCAACTGGCAGATAGAGAATCTTACGACCTGTACTCACCATGGTGCCGCGCAGTGGACGCAAATTGGTTGCATCGGCGGCATTTTTGGCTAAGCAATCGCTGGTACCTGTCTTGCAGATGTGCGTCATGAGACCGTTGTGGAAGACATAGCATAGCTTGGATACAACTGGGGGCTTTCGCACCCGGTTCTGCGATTGCGTCTGAACGCGTGTCTTCACCACTTCCAGGGGTGTGACTGGATAGCCAAACAATTTGCTTCAATGAGTATGAATGGAACACCTGCCTGCCCCCTTCATTGCAACTTACTCACCCACAAAGGTTGTGATTAGGCCACCAATCAGTGCGGAAATTACCTGTTGCATGGGTCGAATTCGGTAACGGGGATCCTCGATCAGCAGCGCTGTGGACATCGTGTCCGGACTTACATCCACGTTCACATCCCTGCCCATATGCGCGTGCTCGGACTTTGGCTCCTGTTGCATTTTTGTAAGTTCGGCTACATTAACAAATGTTATAAAGATGAAGTATAAATAGAAACTATATTAATTGAAAGACTTGTAAGAAACATCATGACGTACACGCCTAAGCATACGTATGTATGTATATATGTACGTTCATACATCAGAGTTTGTATATGATACAGAGATACACGAATTAGAGTGGGCCAGCATGCTCTTGTACTCGCACCTCTAAGCATGCTATCTCGAAAATTGTACACTCAACATCGATCTACTGCAGACGAGTTGGAGAGCCATAGCATATTGTATTATATATCTTATATCTCGGAACTCACTGAAAGATCCAACCTGGTTGGAGAAAATGGAATGATTGACACGTCTCAGATACAATAGCTGCTAGCGATAAGCAACAATATATAGTAGATTTATGCAAGTTTTGGTGTTATACGATCCCATCTTTAATGAGTTTTTTTTTTATTATAATATCCTCTAAGGAGGCGGGTATAAAAACAAATGCGTTTGGCGACTACGACAAGAAAATAATAACATTTAATTGCGAGAATTATAAATATCAATTAAATTAATCAAATTTAATAATAATTTGCATTACACTTAAGTTATTACAGTTAAGTATGAGAAGTAAGTCAGTATTATAATATTTAGCTTTTAATGCAAAAACAAAAAATTCTATAATCATATAGGCGGCCAATTGTTGAATTCTGATCTGTGATGTCCCCAAAAGTTCTGAAGGGTTAATCATCTGTTGCGATTTTAGTAGGTGCTAGAAATACGCTGACGGCGCACGGGATATTTGGATAGCTGGCCTCAACATGGGGGATGAAAGATGCTACCGCAACCAGTTGTTGTTCCACCTCACTTGTGCGCAATGGGAATCAGAGTTTCGCCAGCAGTGAGGGCGGGCAATGGCGCGTCCACGGTCAGGACACCATCCTTGCTGAGGGACGAGCGTATCGACTCGGGATTGACGCCCTTCGGCAGCAGAAATTCACGATTGTATTCCCTGTACACGCTCTTTGTGTCTGACTTCTCCTCGTGCTTGGCATGCACCTGAAAATATGAATAAAATATATGAGTTATACGCCTTAATATATGTCCATAAATTTATAAATATTTACCAGCAGCTTCTGATCGACAGTTTTCACAACAATCTCCTCGGGCGCATATTGGCTGACATCGAAGCGCAGCTTCAGCACTTTGCTATCACCCTCATCCTGCAATACAATAAGTGATGAATAAACAATTAGTTGGATTGGCTCTCTTTCAGCACAATGTAGATATTTAGAGAGATTTACATACCTGTATCAAGGGCGAGCTAATGTCCGACACGTAATTCTGTTGCTTGGGTACTCGCGATGGCAGTGCTGAGTTTGTCGTTGAGCTGCAAAATAAATAATGCAAATATGAATACAGCGTATTGGTTACGGTGACATAACTAATTACAATTGCGTACATAATTTATTTCTACAAAATCATAAATTGTACACCTTGTCGAAGTTTTTGTTGTTCTTGTTGATGTTGTTGTTGTGTTGCTCGTGCGAAACGTTTTATGAAAGGTGCGTGTAAATGCCTCCATTACGTCAACCAAATTCAAATCGGAATGCAGATCGATATTGGGAACTTGGCGAATGTAAAACCCGCTGTCAAACACGCTTCAAATGCAACTGATGACACATCGAAGTATGAGCTGAGCTCTGCTTGTTGCAGCACTTCCAGTTGCAGTTGCAGCAATGTGTCCTAACCGTACAACGTACTTATTTTTAAATACGATCAGGGATTTCCGCCCTGGAGCAGCGTTTATTTATAATTTATAACGGCAGCTGGCAGCTGTGCAGCTCAACAAAAAAGGGACAGCAAATGCGGATGGGGGGGTGGGGGGGGGGTGGGGCTCACAGGGTATATATATACACATATGTTTGAATGTATATGTATATATAGCACAAGCATATTTCATTTGCATTTCATATATCCTTTTAGAGGGTGGAATCTATATATATATAAATATATATATATGTATATGCCGATGAAGTTATCTTAGATTGGATTTGACCTTAATGCAATCTAGTCTACAGAAATCATTTTATTGGCGTATATATATTCTAATCATTTGTTGTTTCAGTTGCTAGAAATAGCCTCCTACTTATCGTGATCATTTTCTATATGATGTGCGCAACGGTATTTAATCTTCGGCAACTCGTAAATAACTTAAATCAAATGTTTTCGGTGATTTAAGTGTTTTCTCTTGCTCTGCTGCTCAGACACAATGGGCACAAGCATTTGGCATAGGTGCCAAGATTTTCAGGCGCCAACCTGGCCAACCAGCCAGACATTTCCAAATTTCTGTTTGAGTCATTTTCTATAACTAGAAAAAAGACATAAGTATGTGGCTCACAGATTATCCCATATTCGCACTGGAAGAGTTATTTAGTGTTTTTAGTGTAACGAAACCAAATCTGGCAACTTTCAAGTTGGTTGAACTCTCAATGCTGTCTTAACTCTAAACAATAGAAAATGTTAAAACACCTGCCAAATATTCCACATATGATTTTGTGTATGTATATTTTATGTGCATGTATGTATACATGTATATATATGTGCATATATGTATTTAGATTGTGTGTGTGTTTTTTGAAATGAATTTGTTAAACTTTTGGTTAAGTGACAACACACGAATCTGTCAGTCAAAATACAGTGCAAACTCAAAGTGTATTTATTTTTGATGTACATATGTGTGTAAAACTCAAGAAATAAATAAGTATTTACCAACACTGACATACATACATATATATGGATGTGTGGTTATTATTAACAAATCAGTCAGTATTTCGGAGAGTAGCATTTTTAGCAACAACTAAACAAATAAACCAACTGAAAATTGTACATAAAACATATTTTCAAGAAAAAAAGAAACACGTGAAGTTTTATAGCATATTTGATAGAGTACCTGGTTGTAGTTGTTGTTTTTTTAGTAGAGCTTTTCAAGAGGAAAATATTATAAATCAGTTAAAGAGATGTTTAGGTATGTATTTTAATTGCAGTTGTTTTTATTTCCAAAGCAGCATGTAATTATTGTAAGGGAAGAAAGAAATAAAGAAAGATATTGTATATATATAAATATATGTATATACACATATTTAGAAGATAAAGCTTTTTGTTAACAGTTGATCTGTGCATTATTTTTAATTTGTATGTCAACTTAAACAGTTAAGGTGCTAAAAGCTTTTATACACATTATATACACAAACACACAAATACAGACACACGCACACACACACACAGACCGAAACACACATGCACTCATAGCTTACACAGAAACGGAAAACCGAAAATGAAATGAGTAACGCAGACCAATGAACCGTAATTGCCATCCGAGATCTCTGACCACGCACACTACTCAACACTCGAGCAAATACTCACATACATATGCATAACCACACACACACACACATGCAATCTGACAAGCTGATAAGCGTGCCATAGACTGGCATCTGTAAACGTGCCCGAAGCCGACCTTGCTGCCGACAACCGTGCAGCAACTAACTTCTGTTAAATGCAACCCACACATAGACATATAGATGGCTGCCCTACCTACGTACGCTCGTGTGTGACTAATCGTGAAAACCGTTAATTCTAACTTTGGCTTATTGGCTATAGCGGAGCTACAGTAGCAGTCATAGAGTAGAGGAAGTCAAAGCACCTGCCGGAACACAGCAGTCGTGTGTTGGCGCTAAATTGCTTACGGCTAGCCAAAAACACAGCACACAAGCTAACAGACAGACACACACATACACACATATATATATATATATATCGACTCTATTCGATTGGACAGCACACATACACATACACATACGTATGGCTGTATATAGACTTGACGACGGCATACGCTCAAGTTCGAATCTCTCTCGCTCCGTTGCCGCCGCTTCTGATGATGTCATGCATTATTTTGCGTTATTCGTTATTGTTATGGAAAAAGCTTTGCAGGAAAGCAAAAAGAAAAAACAATACAACAAAATACACGAAAAGAAAAAAGCAAAACAAAAACAACAACGCATATCAAGTGTCGTTGAGTTTAGTTGCAACTAAACAAATGCTAATCGGTGAGCAGCCAGCAAGGCACTCAAGCTGATCAATCGATCATCGATCCACAACGATTACAAGTGTCATCGAATCTCGCACAGCTTACGAAATGCTTGTGCTAAAAATTAGCATGATATCATCTGGCCATTACTTATCACCGACAGCATCATCAGTTGCATCACGCCTAAGCAAAATTGGCAGTACATAAATTAACAGAAATATTACAATATGCACAATCACATACATTTGAATGTTTATTTTAAATTTAAATTAAATTTGCTGATATTGTTTACTTATGGTTTTTGACCATATCAGAATAAATCGAAATAACGAAAATATGATATGCCACGATGATTAACCACAAATACGACGTTTAATCTCTATCCATAAACGGCTAACACTTCAGTTGGCCAAGTCAACGTACCGGGTGCAAGTGAAAAGATACATATTTACATACATAGGAATGTATATAGATGCGGTCGGGACAAGTTTTGAATGTTTGCAGTATGTACGAACGAGTTATTTGCATAAACAATCCCGCTGATCCCCAACTCAACCCCGAACCCAACCTCTCCCTCTCTCTATCTCTCTCTCTCTCTCTCTCTCTCTCTCTCTCTCTGTGTGCACAATTGGCAGATCGCCCATTGAGCTGCAAATTGAATCGGGGACGCTTTAAATTACCCTGGAATTGTGTACAAAGCCAAATAATCAGCGAGCATCGAGAACAATGCCAATTTATTCAAGGACAGTGGGGCTCGGGAATTAGATTAACTGGTCTATTAGAGCTATTTCCATATATTCTGATTCGAATACGCAATATGGAATTAAGATATAATAAATTGAATACTGTACAAACTATAATTAGTGATCTCGAACCAAAGTGTTTTTATTTTGTGACACTACCACTGTATTAATTAAAAGCCGACCAATCGATCGATTGTATTTATGCACACACAAAGAATATGTTTTATATCTGGAATTTGAATGAACTAAATAGCACTTGATCATTTTCTATATATTTATACACACAGCGTACAGTTCTATACAGAATAGAGGAAAAGTACAATTTCAAAGCGTATAGAGTATATTAGAAAAATCAATTAGTTGTCTATTGTACATGTGTATGTCGAACCCAGATGCCAATGACGTGATCATTTATTTTTAAACACCCAACAACAAACAATTGATTTTACACATCCATTACACAGCCAACGGCAGATGTCCCGCAGTGGGCCCTTTGAGGGTTTGTCTGTCCTTATAGCTAATATGCAAACACCGACTAATATTCGATACCAAATGAGTCATGGCTTAATTTTCCCACCCCTATCCTATTCTACCTACCCTAAACTGTTCACCACACCACCCAGCACCCATTACCGAATTCGGTTGCACGGTCATCCAATGTGAGACATTGATGGGCCTCGAACACAAAAACAAAACCAATTTCGGTTCATTTTCAGTTGGACAAAACTTTTAACGCAGCTTTTTGTGCGAAAGTTGTTTTCCAAGCAAGCCGCACGCAACCCGAAACTTTGCTTAGAAAGTTTTTCTTGGGTTAACGCTAACGTTACCGTTAACGATAATGATAATGCGAACGCTAGCGTTGGCTTTAGTATCGCGCATGCAAATGCAATGAAGACAAGAAATCGCTTTGATTATGTCATCATTAGCCGAGTCGAAGCCAAGCTAAAGCGATAGACGTTTTCGAATTCGAATTCGCATCAAGTGGCGCCCACGCGTCGCCGCCAAACAAGATTGAAAGATTGAAAGGCCAGCGAGGCGCAACCGCGACGGCAACGGCAACGTCAACGTCAACGCAGCTCTCTTTAGACGTGTAGAAGTACATAAGTATGTATAAATGTATACATATATATACAAATGTGTGTGTAAATAGCATGTACATCTTTATGTGCTCTTTTAGCACATTTCTATGTACATATTTTTGTTTTGCTTCAATCTTTAACCGCCGCCTTCACATTGTCTGTTTATTTAGTAAATATTTGAATTATATATTCACATGTCTGCATAATAGCTGTTTGTGTATGTTTGTGTGCGTGCAGCTATACGCTATAATTCCGTTACGCCACATCATATTGTGTGCAGAAATATGTATATTTTTTGTTCTTTCTATCTCTTCTTGAATGCAACCATGGGATACCGTTATAAGCAGGGTTGCATGGCAGACACCAACAAACGTATATATATATATATATATATCTGTATCTGTTGTGTATGCGTATATGTATTTGGGAAATCTGCGATTAGTTTGCCAGCCAAAAATGATCAAGTGAAAAAATTAAAAATGAAAAAAAAAAATAAATAAATTGACATAAAAATATTTTGCAGTTTTGAAATATGCGCATATGGTGCGGAAGGCGAGGTACGCGGTTCGGCCATAGAACGAATAAACATAAATCGTTGGAGGGGCAATGTTGTAGAAAACCAAAGTGACTCATTCCCCCACATATACATATCTACAAATATATGTATATATATATAGAACATAAGAAAATGTGTGTGTGAGTATCTGGGGCGTTCAGTGCCGTTATGGCCTTAGCCCCAGTTCGTAATCCAGCCATTCTGTCGGCGCCGACGACGATAATGATGGTGATGATGATAATGATGATGATGTTACCATGCCATAGCATGCCTATTTTTAGATGAAAATGTTTGGGGTATCCTAAAGAGTACGTAACTTGCTCATAAGTGCTGAGTATCGTTTTCACAATCTAGCAAAGTTCAAGATATTTTTTTAGAAAACAAACATATTCAAGTACCGTTTTCATAATCGATATTCTCTCTCTCTTTCTCTCTCTTTATATATCTCTAGCTATTACTCCAAGATATGAGTTTCGATATATTCTGGAATATTCCGAAATAGCTGCATTTCAGCATTCGACTCTTACAAATATGAATTTCAATTAATTAATTAGTTCTTTACAATTTATGCCGACATTTACTGTTCTATTTAGTACAGTTTTATCGCAAACTAAATATAACTATGTATATAGAAGCAAATAAAGACCATTGGATTCCATTACGGAATTGACCCTTATCTTGATAAACAATTCAACGTTTTAGACTGGTGCTAAGAGCCTGGCCAAAACAAAATTAGACAAGACGCAAACACACACACACCGCACACACACACACACCGCACACACACACAGGCAAGTCAAGAAAAGAGACTTGTTAGCACATTCCGATTGGAATCTATCACGTTGGATTGCTTACCTGGTTGACTCGAAGAAGTTCGCCTCACGGTTCATCAGCTCGTGACGAAACTTGGCCATCTCCTCCTCCATTTTGCGCATCTCGGAGTCGAAGCGTTCGCGTATGCTGCTGAATTCCGTATCGATAACGCTGAAGTCTCCCAATTTGATGGGAATATTTCTCTTATTAGCCTCGGCCATTTTTGTTTCTTTGATGTGTGTGTGTTGTGGATAAATAGAACTACAAAACTTCTTGAGTTTGCAGCTGCTTCTTGTTCTTGCTTCTGTTTCGGGTTGTTTTCACGCGCACCGCTGTAGTTTTCTTGGTGCTTCTACCAATTGGACTTGGTCAGCTTGTGTTTGTATTGTGTATATATATATTCACTTTCTAATCAGAACCAAAAAAAATCACAAATGTTTTCTTCTATGTATGTATTTGTTTGTGTATGAGTTCGAATAACTCGGATCGCACAATTCACCGCGCCTCAAAGTTTTCTGTTTGACTGTTTTGCATTTTCGGTATGTGAAAGCTTTTATAGCTCAGCACCAACGCCGCGACCGTAACCACAAAAGAGAACACCAAAGCACAGAGAGAGAGCGCCAGAGCGAGACCAAGAGAGAATGCGAATGCGAACCACAAAGTAAAGCCAACATGGCAGCGACTGGCAGTAATGGCACCCACACATCTACACATCACACACATCGCCAACACAGCCCACTTACACTCTTTTTCTTGCCGTAGCTCTCTCGCCGGCAAGGAACAAGTGAATGGACTGCGAATGGAATGTGAGTGTGAATGGGACGGTAATTGGGAGTGGTCGAGTGTGAGGGAAGAGTGTGCGAATGCTCTCCAGCCTGCCTGCCTGCCCTACGAATGCTCAGTTACAGTTTTGCACGTCAGGCATATCGACAGACTTGTAGCTACACGTGCTTACCAAAGGAAAAGTATTCAATTGTCGACCATCTTCATTTTTAACTTTACATGACAATGCTCTGAAATTGCCAGACTGACAGGACCTTATTTTTAGTACAAGATTATTGGAATGCTTAGGGCTTTACTAACTTTACACATTAAATTACATTATTATGAATATTCATTTAAATTTAAGTATACAGAGTAAATCGGGTAACTTTAACCAGCTAAAAATAAACAAACAGTTATTGGTGTTTTCTGTCTCTGTTACGCATTGCTAACATTGTGGGGGTGGAAGTGTAACCAATAATCAGTAACCGGTAACGGCAATGTCAACCGGTTCAAAATTTAATGATCACTGCCGTTTTAGGGCAAAGAACGACAGACTTTAAGCCACTTTGTAACTCCAGCTACAAATCAGTTTTGCGTTCTAATAATATGCACATGTGTAAGTGCGTATTCAGACATTCACACACACACACACACACACATACGCGTGTTTTGCTCAAAACATGTGGGTGGTGGCAACGTTGGCGACACATTTCCATATCGTTTCGATTTGTTTGTAAACAAATGCAAAACGAGATGAGTAATCGATGACATTGGGCATCGCATATCGACACATGTGTGTATATCGAGCCTGTCCTTTTACGGTGCGGTGACAAACCGCAGAAGTCATCAGCCCTTGCAAATAATTTGAGTGCGCTGTTAATTATGAATATTTTCAATTGATTTAAAAATTTATGCACTCGTCACGAATCGCTGCGATCACGACAAAAAAAAACACCAAAATGAAATATGGGTAATACAATAAATTCAATCATGAATTTCAAAAATAAAATAACAATCATCAGCTGCTGCTGAGGTGTTTTCGGCAGCGCCCACATGGATGGATGCTGCTAACAGCGACAGCCGTTAATGCCACTGTCCAAACAATAAACTCATTTTCATCGAAATTGTCGACCTTGAAGGTGGGAAAGATCTCGATCTCAATCTCAGCTAAGACTACGCGACAGAAACGCACGCCAAAATATTCACATTTACATCAGTACGGTCAAAATAACAGTAGTGGCCACATATGTTTTGAAAAATGTCAACCAAAAAATAATTTGCTTAAAAAATATGTAAATTTTATTTAAACACAAGCATTCAATTCTGAAGATGAGTAAACAATAAAAAATGGCTAAGCTACAAAATTAATTAATAAACTAAAATTAAAGTCCTTAAATTTATTAGTAATAAAGTTATTTTAAAATGTATTTTTATTAAATTATTATTTAAATTTATCATTATTATAGTATTGGAATAATACTAAAGTTTTCTCAGCTTTGACTGCAGCAAAATAATTTTTCTAAAACTAGATATAATATCTGGTTATATTTTACTACGTTTAATATTTGGAAAATAATTATATTTTGAAGCATTCCCAGAAGGGATGCAAAAATTCCTTGTCTAGCAGAATTGAATTGTTCCTCATATTGAAGATTTGGAAAAGATCTCGATTTTAAATTAAATGATTTGAGAATTAGCGCTACTATTATTTTTACCGCAACTGTACATACGGACATAATGCGAATAAGTCCAAATATTTGTGCATTTGCAATATGCGAAGCAAGACTGACTAACGATCAAATTAAGAAAAACAAATTTCCCATAGCAGCGTCGAGAATGTTCATCTGCCTCTAGCATCACACAGATACACTTATCCATACATACACACTTACGCATACCATACATACATACATGCATACATATATATATGTGGAGATACAGTGATTACTCGAAGATTGCACTGGATCATTACAGGTTTTTAAAAACTTTCCGAAAATTTGCTGTACAGGAAATTTGAAATATTGGAGACAAACAAGAATCCATAGCGAAATTCAAAATAGTATTTATAGTAATTATTTCTAATTTGCGAAAGTGCCCTGTACTTATGTATGTATGTGTGTATACTCCTATATATACATATCTTATAACATTTTCTCATTTCATTTTACCTCGCCCCGCTTTAAGGCCGGACAACTGCAAATCAATCAAAATTCGCTTGAGATGATTTAGCATGGAATTTTTAGTTGATGTATAATACGCCAATTTTTCAACTAAGGCAAATAGATCTATCGCGTGGGCGTCACTGCTTGACGACAGCGCTAGAATATATATTATATATTTATATATATATAGATATGTATATATATATACGTGCATATGTGTCAGCACTCGAGGCAGCAGCAACATTTGGCAAGCAAAATAAAAAGTGCTTCAACCATAATGTGTAATGTCTATTCCTGTATATATTGTTTGAATATTTGTGTTGTCATAGCTTCAAACATGTTTATACAAATTAAAATCTTATGGAATATACAGAATATATATACATATGTTCATATATGTACATACATCGGTCTGTGTATAAAGTTGTGGGCACTATTAACCGTGGGTGGAATCTTAGCTTAACCACTCTGCTCCGATTAGCGTATGCATTCATAATGCATGATTCATAAACAATGCTACATAAATACTTGCGATTTGTAATGTGGAATGTTCTCGATTTATTTTCGCTATTATTAATCAGTTCGTAAAAAATGAATGCAGATCGAAAACTTTTCAATTGATTGATTGATTGTTTGGGTAGATCATTAGATATGAATAAGGGCGTAATTCCAATATCTCTCTATAATATCGTTTGATTCAAATGTAACGTATTTATTCAATTTGAGCGCTGTAATATATAAAGTGAAATTTCAAGATGGCTACGCTGAGTTGAATTTTCTTAAATTGATATGTCTGGTCACACACCGCCAGGGCTATCGATAATATTATGGCGTTACCAGATCAGCTAACGAAATGCATTGTACAACACTTATAGTTGGCTTACGTTTATGTGTGTGTGTATTCCTAGGGAAACAAATATAAACAATTGCTGCAATCTAGAACTGACAAAATTATATATTGCCAATTGCCATAAACAAAAATTGCTCGCCACGCTGTGCCCAGACACAAGAAGAAGAATGAACGCCTACTGCACACTGTACTCGGGCGATAACTACGACGACGAGTCGATTGGCGACGAACGCAGCGAGGAAGGTAAGAAAAAAAAAGAAGAGTCGGATTGGTTTTGGGGCTCAACGCCGCCAAAAAAGACGAAAATGCTTTCAATTTCAATTTGAATGGAATGCTTGGCAATTGCAGATACTGACGACGCGAGTGAAACCGAGTTTCGCAGCCCGACTCGCTATGGCGGCACTAACGGCACTTCGTCCAACAACAGCAACAACAACAACAATAACAGCAGCAACAATAACAACATCAATATTGGCAGCAACAGTGGCATCAACAGCGAGCTGAAAGAACAGTAAGTGCAAATATGATAGAATAGCTTGCCACACTTGCCACATCTTTGCGTTTTTGCAGAATGTACCAGCACAAACTGATCAATCTGCAGAAGCAGCTGGAGGAGCTGAATCAGCTAATGCACCCGGAGTATATGAAGCGTTTGCGCAAGCTGGACAACCAGCTGAAGGAGCGCCGGCGCATCAACGAGATCTACAAGGACTACATGCGCGACTGTGTCGAGCGCGATTACATTCTGGAGAAGAAGGCCGCGCAGAAGGAGTTCGACGAGAAAATGATGGACCTCAAGGATAATCTGTTGGCTGACTTTGAGGATCGGAAGCGACAGATCGAAAACGAACGCTACAGCTTGGAGCTGACGAACGATTCCATGGAGATCAAGACGACAGTCACCCGCAAGCTGCGACGGCGACCCAATGAGCCGCTGCCGGTTATCGAAAAGCGTCGCAAGCCCGCCACAGGCCAGCTGCTCGTCTACCAGCTGGACGACAAGGAAATCGAGTCCGATCTCAAGATGATACAGCGTGGCAAACCGTTGCCGCTGCAACAGAACGGTATGGGCTCCTACACGAACTCCCAGCAGCAGCAGCAACATCAGCAGCAGCAACAGCAGGCCCACAATCTCCTCGTCGAGGCGAACAGCTACGTGGAAACGCGCATCGAGGACAACAAGCTGCTCTACGAGCGCCGCTGGTTCTGTCGCGGCCAGCAGGTCTATGTCGAAGGCAAGGACATGAACAAGTTTGCTGCCACAATTACAGCAATCGGCAACGAAGTCGTACGTATTTAGCCCATCCCCACTCATCACTTGAATCCCCATTCATTCTTTTCTCATCTTTTCCAGATCTGGGTGAAGCGCTCCAATGAGAGCAAATTCAAGATAAACATGTCGCATTTGGCCAAGGGCAAAATATCCATAAAGCGTCGATAAAACCCGGCTAGAAACTCTAATGAATTGCTTTTATAGATGTAGAATATATATATATACATATAGAACAAAATGAAGAAAAAATGAAACAATAAATTGTAAATAATACTATCAACGCCGCATTTTATTTCAATTACTATATTATTATTGTTGTCCCTCGGAGTCAGTTCCCAGTTGCTCATTTTGAATAGTGCTCCAAAGATCTGAACTTTCCACAAATCGAAAAGTTGTTTTCGCTGAAATTCTTAATATTTTCAATTGAATTGGTTGTTGCCGACCGATAAATAAATGAATGTAAATTGTTGCCAACAATTCCCGTTGAATAATATTTATGCAAATATGACTTTGCTACAATTAGCGAATCCTCCATCGAGCAGTCTAGAATATATGAAATCGATGATTTTAACTAACTTATTACTGAATCTAAGCAGCTACTAATGAAACTGGAATTGCTTTTTACATTTAGCTTAAGGCAAACAGATTCATCAATTCCAACTGGTGCTTTGGGCGAAACATTGGTTCCGCAAATCGCTTCAGCATGCAACTACTAATTTTATAATCGAAAAAAAAAAACACTAAAATATATTTATATATTTTCTTCGTCGAGAGTTCTGGCAAATACCATTTGACTGTAAGAAACTTCAAATAACTATGAACTGTGAACTCTTCCGACAATACTTTGACACATTTTATAGTTGCTGCTTCGCAGGATTCGCAGAAGGGCTATGTGGCTACATATATATAAAATTATAATTATGATTTGATCTGGCTGCAAACATTAATCATTAATATGGAAATCTGGTAAAATGCCAGTTTCGGCCAAGCCAAAAAGCCCGCGCAAACTTTTACATTAAAAAAACAAGAATTGTATTTCACTTTGCGCCTGCTTTATATAATATATATAATGGATCGTCTTGGTTCTGCTTTATTATTATACAAAACATGCACACATTTTTCTTGTTTCTTTTCCAGTTGTTGTTGGTGTTGTTTTTGTTGTTTTGGGAACAATTTTCAAGAATTTAACCCGTTTTAGATGTAATGCAAAAAAAAGCCGCCTGGAATTGTATGGGTGGCGCTTAGTTGCGCGAGCCACGTCCAAATCCGCCACGGAATTCCACCTCGCCGGCGCCGGGGCCGACATCGCCCTTCTTGTCGACACCGCTGCCGCCGGGAGCGCGTCTGTATGCAGAGCGATCCTCGCCGGTCTTGGAGGCATCGGCTGCGCCGCGTGCACCGCCGGTCGCTGGGCGTGGTCGCAGTGGCTCGGAGCGTGTGGGACGCTTCAGCGTCGATGGGACAATCTCGGGTGGCAGATGGAGATAGCTGCGCAGCTCCTCGATGCCCTCGTTGGTCAAATACCAGTAGTAGTGGCGCCAGGCGAACTGCTCCTTGACAAGGCCGCGAGAGTGCAGCGACTGCAGTGCCTTGATGACATGCAGATTGGGAATCGACTCCAGTTCGGGATGCTTCTGTGCATGGAAATCCTTTTTGGCCACAATGACACCCTCCTTGAAGAGGTACTCATAAATGGCGACACGATGAGCCTTTGGCATGAACATGCTGCACAAACCAAAAAAAAAATACAAAAAAATTATAAAACTTATTAGAACTTGTGTTGCTGTTGTTGTTGTGGTTGTTGGTCTTGTTGTTGATTAACAAGACGCTGACTTAAAAGCGAATAATTCGTGAGCGTATATGAAAATGCACACAACGCGATCATTGGCAGCTGAAGCGATTGTCGGCGCTGGCAGTGCAATTTCGTTTGGCTTAACACTTATGTGGATTTGCAATTATTTTGCAGATTATTTTTGTTCATTTTCACGTACTTTGCGTCTTCTATGGAGCAGAGACCGGAAAGAAAGGAAAAGCGAGATGACAGCTGTCAACTCTCATATTCTTCTTCTTAGCTCTGTACACACAGGGTTGCACGGCACGTGCTCATCCGAATGGCAAAGCACAGAGTTGCATGAACCGATATGTACATATATATTCTAGTACATCCAATTTGATGATGACTTAAACTCTTATCAATAATCTGAATTTAAGCTTTGTACAAATTTGGCGTTTTGCTAAATGTTCTGCTGCTTAGAACATATCACAGAAACTCGAAGCAAATATGCCCAAAAATTCATGCAGTACATTTAAATACTGAAAAGTGGATGAGTCCCAATATCTATTATCGATTAAAAAAAAAATAATCGAACGCTGGTTGTTGCGCCAAAAATTCAAATGTTCATTTTGATAATACAATATACCATAGTCGGTAAAAATGATTTGAACACATGCAATTTCAGACTAATCAATATAATAAATATAAAATTGCTTGTGATGCTTACTCAGACAACAAAATATCCTCAAATCACCCATCTAAGCTTTGTTAACTGAGGAATTAATTTGGGGAAAACCAAATATGTTATTATATTATATCATAAGCTGAATGGAGTGACTTTTAAAATTGCACCGTTACTCAATAGCTTTCTTAGTAACTGATTAATTCGGAAGCTTGATAAGATTACGACACGAAACGATCGTCTAGTGTAAGATCTTATAATATTTAACAGTTGTAAACAACTACTACTTGTGATTAGCATTAAATGAATCATCGTGGGACTGCAGATCGGATCTGAACATTATGGACTTAACTGGAATTGTTATTTTCTTTTATTCTTATTGAAAAATTTCCAGCAAAAATTGCTGTCGATTAGATAGCTATGAATTAATGAGAAAATAACATATTGTTATTACAATAGCGTACCCAGTTCCACCTACAGTGTCCAATTTGCGAACCGAGTGCAAAACAGAAATACGAAATTCGATTTTGAGTCCTATTGAGTGTCGAAGGTTAAGCTGGCTAATGCTTTTTGAATGTCATTCAAATTGCTTATACATTTGGAAACTCTTGTTTTCTATTCACGGCTTTACATATCTAACAAAGTTAAAGGCTGATTTGTCAACTTTGATTGGGTCTTTATAATTTTTTGGCCTTCCATATCATCATACAGAATTCCCGAACACTTCTTGTCTAAATATCAAAATGATTCTGATCTTTAAATATAGTTAAAATATGCATATAAATTTACAAATATAAGCACAATTTTATATTATTATTATATGGAAACAAGTCGGCACGTTTCAGTCGCTTGTTAAATTCTCTGGTAGCAACTTAATACCAGTTGAAAATAACCAGTTTTTCTTCTCATTTCTTGAAACAAGTAGTAATAATAATCTACCTTTGGCAAATTTGGCTCTCCGGTCCAGAGAGGGCGTGGCCATATAATTTTTTCTATCATTACCGGCAACACACTTTCCAACATATGAAGACTCTAGCTTACAAATTGTAGAATATTCAAGCCTCGTTACAAAAGTTGCTGTCCAATTTTAACTGGTACCCTTTGTATCACAGTATAATAAGATGGCCTTGAGAGAGGGAGCGAGAGGGAGAGACCATTTCTAGGACAGATAATACCCAATTCTTTGAACTTGCAGTCAGTAGACCGACTGATAACGTTCGTCATTAGTCAGCGATCAGAGAGCGATTACGATCAAACTCAAGCCAAAAGAACTGTCTGTCCCAGAAGCCTATAATCAAGAGCCCATTTATTGATTAAAGCCGTAATAACTGGCAAAATAAATCAAGTACTGCTTATCATTGTGACGGAAAGTATAAAATGGATCGCATCGGATTGGAATCCAGTTAGAACTCAAACGTTCAGCAGTCTCTTCGTAATACTGCCTAGTAAATTAAATGGAAATGGATGGACGGACGCTTATGCTATTCCTGTGCGGATTGGCACTAGCTAGTGCCGATACATACACAGAACAAGCTCAACGTGTGATGCAAATGCGCCGTCTGGCGGTGGAGTTTATAGACTACTATCAGAACCTAACAGCGGTGGATCTGATAGTGCCTGGCACTAGGCTGCCAAATCAAGAGGATCTGCAATGCATGGCGGAAATGGCGCAACTCAGCCAGGGCGTTCAGTCCGGTAGCATCTGGGCATTGAGGAGTAAGTGTTGAGGTTGCTCAGATTGCTCCAGTGTCTGTCTAATTGTCCAATTGTGTCTCTGGTCTCTGTTTCGATCAGTGATTGACTCGTGGGGCCGATTGCCAGCTGGCCTACTCTATGGCAGTCTGAAGGATTTAGGCAACTTTGACGAGTGCGTGAGGGTCGATCACCACATGGAATCCACAAGTCTCCGCCTGCGTGGCAAATACTGCATGGCTAAGCTTTTCCCCGTCGATACAGGTGCTATGGGTAAGCTCAGTCTGCAGACCGCCGTTTGCTTTCCCGCCTCCTGTAATGGCGAGCATATGGAAAGGCTGCTGCGCAAGCTCTTTAATCAGCTGCTAAACATTGAGTTGAGCCCGGAGACAGAACTGATCAATGACAGCAAATGCCAGACGGCGGAGCGAGAACCCTTGGATTTTCTGGCCATATTCACAATGTAAGTAAGGACGCAGAATGAATGCACTGCCCAAAAATTGTAGCTCTCCATTGACTGACTTGCAGTGTCATCATTGGTGTCCTGGGCGCTGCTGTGCTCCTGTGCACACTCATCGATTACTTTCTGTGCGACGATCAAAGTGAGTTTGATTTACGATCTGATAACTATGAGCCTTAAAATGCCATTAAAAAAATCGCGATCCTTAAGTATTTAGTGTCATAGATAATTCCCCTTCCAATTACAGAACAACTGCCATCGCTGGTGAAGATCTTCTCGGCACGTGCTAATTCGCGTTCGCTCTTCCGCATTGTGGACGGTAAATCAAATCCAAATGTAATCGAGTGTCTCCACGGCATTCGTTGCTTATCGCTTATATGGGTGATATACGGCCATGATTATATATACCACGTGCAATCACCCAATATCAATCTGATCGATATAATTCCGGTAAGTGTGTGACTAAGTGACTCAGAAGCCTAAGATCCATACTAATCGCATTCTCCCACATTTGATATCTAGTGGTTTAGATCCTCGTACAGCATGCTTATAACGCATGCTCTTTTTTCCGTGGACACCTTCTTCTTTCTCAGCGGTCTTCTTGTGGTCATGGTTGCTCTGCGCGCCATGGAGAGGTAACTATTACCATAGCTATAACTACATTATTGGGTATTTCCAGGACGAAAATCAAATGAATATGCATATTCACTTTTTTTTTTTCACTTTTCATTTGCAGAAGCAGGGGCAAGCTGAATGTGCCGCTGATGTATCTGCATCGCTATTTGCGCATCACACCTGTCTTGGCTCTCGCCATTCTAGTATATATGAGGTTTGTGCCCCTCCTGGGCAGTGGACCACTCATTAAGACCTATGCCAGGCAGGTGTCTTTTCCTTGCGAAAAGCATTGGTTCTGGACTTTGCTCTATGTGCAGAACTATGTGCTGATCGATGACAACATTGTAGAGTACCCAATCTAGATCTCTGTGTTATAGTGTAACAACATTCAACTCATTTGTCACTTTGCCCACAATTGCAGTGTCTGCCACATAGCTGGTATCTCGGTGTGGACATGCAGCTGTACGTCATTTCTCCCCTGCTGCTGATTGCGCTCTACAAGTGGGGCAAGAAAGCCGTTGCCGGTATTGTGCTGCTAATGCTGTTGTTGGCCTCCTGTCTCTTTAGCATGATGGTGATCAAGGGGTATTCTTTGTGAGTAGTAAGCCTAGCCTGGCGTTTAACAACATCTTCTCAATTTTAACAGTGGTTAGTTTTAGCACTTATATTAACCTAATATGACTTACAGAAATAATGGCTCTTCGAATAAGATCTATTTTTCCACTCATACACGCGCCTCGCCCTGGATAATTGGTTTAATCTTTGGCTACTATCTGCATGTGAATCGTGGCAAATCCTTCAAACTAAATCGCTTATCCGTTTGGCTGGGCTGGCTAATAAGTTTGGGCTTGATCTTCACTTGTATGTTCGCTCTCTATCCCTATGCGGCAAATGGCAAAGATTTGGCCATGGTGAATGAGGCATTCTACGTAACACTCACCCGGATTGCCTGGCCACTGGCTCTGGTTTGGGTAGTTTTTGCCTGTAAATATGGATATGGTGGCCTGGCCAATAGTTTTCTCTCCTCGCCGCTGTGGCAGCCACTGTCGAAGCTCTCATACGGCGCCTATATCTGGCACGTTTTCATCGAGTCCCTCAACGCCGGCATTGGTCGCACCAACACCTATTTCAGCGATTATCAAGTGGTAAGCATACATCATATGTCAGCACATCTTGCATATCTATAGTATATACTTTGTTTATATGGACACCTTTAAGATGTTGCGCTTTTGGCATGACTTTGGCCTTACGCTTCTATTGGCCTACCTTATGTATATTCTGGTCGAGGCACCTTTCGCTGGCCTGGAGATGCTATTGCTGCCAGCTCAGAGGCCACCTGCTCCAGTTGCGCCGAAATCCACAGCGACTGAGCTGCATTCGCAGAATTTTGAGATTGCATCGCAGTTAGAGCCAAAAAAGGAAATAATCTAGTTTATTTTGAGTAGACAAGTATTTAATATGTATTTTATGAATATGACAGTATTTAAATTACTAATATGTATATAAAATCAGGTTAAGAGTATGTAATGTTTATGATTTTGAAAAAGAAAAACCTAAATATTTAAAAATATTTCAGAACTGATTTCTTGGAAATTTGATTTCATATAAATACTTTTAAATACAGCATCCCTAGAGATTATTATATATTATTGTAATCGTGCAGCTACACTTATGTTGTCTGCTCAGTGTTCCAGATTCCCAAATCGTTAATGTGAGTCTTCGCCTGGTTTGGTGTGCAAATGTGTGTACGAGGCAGATGGAAGCATCCACGACCCCATAAATAATATATATTCATGATCAACAGCGGAATCCGTCTGTCTCTTTGGAATATAGGTTCAATCAGATCAAGTTTTCCTCATTTTATCTATAACTGCCTCGTCTCTCGAATAGTGATACATTTCGATCTTCAATAGCAAATAATATTAAAAGATGCGACTTATTGATACAAAAAAAACATTGACATATTATTGACCTTTAACATATGCATGCCCAGCCAAATAATACAACCGACTTGGTTTGATAACAACCAGGCAATCTGCCTGCTAATAAAATACTTATCAATTTGTAAGCAAGCAAACAATTAGGTCATTCCTGCAGCCATAGTTCCTTCAAAATATTCGTCCGTAAGGCCCAATTCAGATAGGATAAAAAATTATTCAATGAAAAGAAGAACAGGATGATGCAATTACATTTGTAGTTTGATAATTTGTAATAATAATTCTTATTGTTTGTTAAAACTTGCTTTTCACTTACTTAGTGTGCCATGTCTATTCCTAAATTTTCATATTCGTTAATATTTGTGTATAGACATTGTTCGATGCATAAAGCGTTTTTTATGCAAACATGAAACTTCAGATCTGGGCGGTGTTTTAACTATTTAAATGAGCAAGTTTATTTTTGACCGGAACAAAGCCAGGTTTGGCTTGCTCGAATGAAAACTATCGATATTTACTCAAATTACAATGTAGTGTTTACATAAGTGAATAAGATTTAACAGAGTTATGTAAATAGCGATAAATTGACAAATTAACAGCTGATCATTCAATATCAGTTCGTATTCAAATTAGTTTGACCAAACAGTCATCTCTGTGACTGAGCGTTCCCAGGTACATCTATTTGTTCAAATATGTGCACAACTATAGCGTATGTTAATCAGATGGCACGAAAGCTAAAGGATACCTTCCCCTTACCATATTGAAGTACTATTAAAGCTACAGCCTTGAAAATTGGAACATGTCTGGTCTGTTTCCGAGTCAGATGGAGTGTCAAAATCGATAAGGTCAATAATCGCAATTCGATAAAGCTACTTACTGTCTACAATTTTAAAGCCACAGACATCAAATTTAGTTGGTAATTGTTGGCGATGTCGTTCAAAGATCGGCATCGACCACGCGTTCTTAGAAACTGAGTAAGTCAGAAGTATGATAAGATTAGAACACGATCCGATCGTTGTTCAAGTATGAAAATGCGATGCTCTACGAAGCAGAAGCCACCACAAGCTGCTGCGTAAGATAACAAATATAATAAATGTATTTAGGTTCAAGAATATTCAATAAAATAAAGGCCTGCTCGTCAGAGCAGACAGTCCGATTCTAAACGTCGTCTCATCGTGTTGACTACACACTATACATGTTTCAAACAATTGTCTATATATATTATAGAGAAAATAACATATTACAATAGCGTGCCCAGTTCCACATACCGTGTCCAATTTGCGTACCCGACCATGAGTTGGCCGAGTGCAAAACGGAAAAACTAAGTATTTAAGTTAGATTAAGAGGTTCAATTGGCTGATGCTATTTTGAATGTAACCCAAATTGCTTGTACATTTGGAAATTGTTCTTTTTTATTTACGGCTGGCTTTAGAAATCTAACAAAGTGAAAGACTCGTTTGACAACTTTGATTGGGTCCTTATAATCATATGAAACCATTTACAGAAAGCTTATCTAAATATCTAAGTGTTTCTGTTTTTTAAATATAGTTAAAATGTGTACATAAGTACAACATCAGATTATTATTGAAAAACTCTCCTATCATTATTATATAGAAACAAGTGGGCACGATTCAATCGCTGGCTAAATACTCTGATAGCAGTTGACAACACTTAATAAAGAACAGATAGTAATAGTTGTTTACCTTCCATATTTGGTAACTTTGGCTTTTATTTTTTGGTGACCGGAGTGGGCGTGGCCGAAAACGGTTTTAGACGATCTGCCTTCCAAATTTGGTAACTTTATCTGATAAGTTGTGGGAGATATATGCTATTGGGCCGACTAACAATATACATATCAAATTTCATGATACACCTTCTTGATTTACATTATCAAATATATATATATATATATATATATATATATATATATATATATATATATATAGATCCATTTCAGGTTTTTGAGGGCGCAGTTTCTGAGGGCAACGCACCACGCCCACGATCTGAAAGTGTGTATCCCTCTTAGAAGGAAGTTATCAACAGCTTCTCTATATCAATTTTTATATATTTCCTAGTCTCCTAGTAGACGTTGCTACCCAATTTTAACTTGTGCCTTTTTGTACCAGAGTATGATTAGAAGTCCTTGCGTCTCGATATCTCAGTGACTAATTCTTCCACAAGATGTGAAATCTACTGAGTATATAACAAATACTAACTAGTTGAATTCAAATAGGTTATGAACAAGAAAGGGAGAGAGAGAGAGAGAGAGCAACTATACCCAATATTCTTAACTGGCAATCAGTAGACCGACTGGTAAAAAACTGTGTGTCCCAGAAGCCTATAATCAATAGCCCACTTATTGATTAAAGCCGTAATAAATGGTGATATTAGACAAGTACTGCTTATCATTGTGACGGAAAGTATAAAATAGATCGCATCGGATTGGAATCCAGTTAGAACTCAAACGTTCAGCAGTCGCTTCGTAATACTGCCTAGTAAAATAAATGGATATGGATGGACGGACGCTTATGCTATTCCTGTGCGGATTGGCACTAGCTAGTGCCGATACATACACAGAACAAGCTCAACGTGTGATGCAAATGCGCCGTCTGGCGGTGGAGTTTATAGACTACTATCAGAACCTAACAGCGGTGGATCTGATTGTGCCTGGCACTAGGCTGCCAAATAAAGAGGATCTGCAATGCATGGCGGAAATGGCGCAACTCAGCCAGGGCGTTCAGTCGGGCAGCATCTGGGCATTGAGGAGTAAGTGTTGAGGTTGCTCAGATTGCTCCAGTGTCTGTCTAATTGTCCAATTGTGTCTCTGGTCTCTGTTTCGATCAGTGATTGACTCGTGGGGTCGATTGCCAGCTGGCCTGCTCTATGGCAATGTGAAGGATTTAGGCAACTTTGACGAGTGCGTGAGGGTCGATCACCACATGGAATCCACAAGTCTCCGCCTGCGTGGCAAATACTGCATGGCTAAGCTTTTCTCCATCGATACAGGTGCTATGGGTAAGCTCAGTGTGCAGACCGCCGTTTGCTTTCCCGCCTCCTGTAATGGCGAGCATATGGAAAGGCTGCTGCGCAAGCTCTTTAATCAGCTGCTAAACATTGAGTTGAGCCCGGAGACAGAACTGATCAATGACAGCAATTGCCAGACGGCGGAGCGAGAACCCTTGGATTTTCTGGCCATATTTACAATGTAAGTAAGGACGCAGAATGAATACACTGTCCAAAAATTGTAGCTCTCCATTGACTGACTTGCAGTGTCATCATTGGTGTCCTGGGCGCTGCTGTGCTCCTGTGCACACTCATCGATTACTTTCTGTGCGACGATCAAAGTGAGTTTGATTTACGATCTGATAACTATCAGCCTTATAATGCCATTAAAAAAATCGCGATCCTTAAGTATTTAGTGTCATAGATAATTCCCCTTCCAATTACAGAACAACTGCCATCGCTGGTGAAGATCTTCTCGGCACGTGCTAATTCGCGTTCGCTCTTCCGCATTGTGGACGGTAAATCAAATCCAAATGTAATCGAGTGTCTCCACGGCATTCGTTGCTTATCGATAATATGGGTGATATACGGTCATGATTATTCAGTCTACTTCATAACTCCTAACATCAATGTGATCGATCTAATTCCGGTAAGTGTGTGACTAAGTGACTCAGAAGCCTAACCACCACTAATCGCATTCTCCCACATTTTATATCTAGTGGTTTAGATCCTCGTACAGCATGTTCATAATGCATGCTCAATTCTCCGTGGACACTTTCTTCTTCCTCAGCGGTTTTCTTGTGGCCATGGTTGCTCTGCGCGCCATGGAGAGGTAACTATTACCATAGCTATAACTACATTAATGGGTATTTCCAGGACGAAAATCAAATGAATATGCATATTCACTTTTTTTTTTCACTTTTCATTTGCAGAAGCAGGGGCAAGCTGAATGTGCCGCTGATGTATCTGCATCGCTATTTGCGCATCACACCTGTCTTGGCTCTCGCCATACTAGTATATATGAGGTTTGTGCCCCTCCTGGGCAGTGGACCACTCATTAAGATCTTCGACAGGCTAGTCGCTGCTCCCTGCGAAGATAATTGGTTATGGACTTTCCTCTATGTGCAGAACTATTCCCCCACAGCAACGGTAGGGGTACCCAGTCGAGATCTCTGCTAAAGTGTAACAACATTCAACTCATTTGCCACTTTGCCCACAATTGCAGTGCGTACCACAAAGCTGGTATCTCGGTGTGGACATGCAGCTGTACTTCATCTCTCCCCTGCTGCTGATTGCGCTCTACAAGTGGGGCAAAAAGGCCGTTGCCGGTATTGTGCTGCTAATGCTGTTGTTGGCCTCCTGTCTCTTTAGCACGATGGTGATCATGGGGTATGCTTCGTGAGTATTAAACCTTGTCTGGAATTCGACAACATCTTCTCAGTTTTAACAGTAGCTAGCCTAACCTAACCTAAATTACAGAAATAATGATAAGATATATAATTCGACTCATACACGCGCCTCGCCCTGGATAATTGGTGTAATCTTTGGCTACTATCTGCATGTGAATCGTGGCAAATCCTTCAAACTGAATCGCTTATCCGTTTGGCTGGGCTGGCTAATAAGTTTGGGCTTGATCTTCACTTGT